GTGCATAAATATGTTTAAATAATAATAATAATAATAATAATAGTCGAGTTAGTCGTTTTCCGCGGAACTCGACCATGGTCGAGTTAGTCTTTTCCGGCGAACTCGACCATGGTCGAATTAGTCGTTTTCCGGCGAACTCGACCAATGGTCGAGTTAGTCGTTTTCCCGCGAACTCGACCATGGTCGAGTTAGTCGTTTTTCCGGCGAACTCGACCATGTCGAGTTAGTCGTTTTCCGGCGAACTCGACCATGGTCGAATTAGTCGTTTTCGGCGAACTCGACATGGTCGAGTTGTCGTTTTCCGGCGAACTCGACCATGGTCGAATTAGTCGTTTTCCGGCGAACTCGACCATGGTCGAGTTAGTCGTTTTCCGGCGAACTCGACCATGTCGAGTTAGTCGTTTTCCGGCGAACTCGACCATGGTCGAGTTAGTCGTTTTCCGGCGAACTCGACCATGGTCGAATTAGTCGTTTTCCGGCGAACTCGACCATGGTCGAGTTAGTCGTTTTCCGGGCGAACTCGACCATGGTCGAGTTAGTCGTTTTCCGGCGAACTCGACCATGGTCGAGTTAGTCGTTTTCCGGCGACTCGACCATAGTCCGAATTAGTCGTTTTCCGGCGAACTCGACCATGGTCGAGTTAGTCGTTTTCCGGCGACTCGACCATGGTCGAGTTAGTCGTTTTCCGGCGAACTCGACCATGGTCGAGTTCGTCCTTTTCCGGCGAACTCGACCATGGTCGAGTTAGTCGTTTTCCGGCGAACTCGACCGTGGTCGAATTAGTCGTTTTTCCGGCGAACTCGACCATGGTCGAGTTAGTCGTTTTCCGGCGAACTCGACCATGGTCGGTTAGTCGTTTTCCGGCTAATTCGACCATGGTCGAATTAGTCGTTTTCCGGCGAACACGACCATGGTCGAGTTAGTCGTTTTCCGGCGAACTCGACCATGGTCGAGTTAGTCGTTTTCCGGCGAACTCGACCATGGCACCAACATATTTAACTGAACTGTTTAGTACCTGTCAAAATACTTGCTATACTCTGAGAAGCAACGATCGGAAACTCACTTTACCAAAGCCAAACACTAACTTTCTTAAAAATATAGTTTCTCGTATCGCGGAGCAGTAGCTTGGAATAATCTTCCTCGTGAAATTCTTGACAATTATGAGTCTCTTTCATTGAATTCATTCAAATAGTCAAAGACACGAAATGAAAAACTCCGAACAACCGTGCAAAATTTATTTGTGGCGGAGACATATTGTAGCATTTTGGCTGTTGTCACTTTGTATATAATGCATGAATATATATATTAAGCTTAGGACTTGCATGATTTTGAAATATTTTTAGATTTTTATTGCATGCGTGTGGAGCACGGCCCTTTAAAAACAGGTCACTGAAAGGCTACCGTGCATAAATATGTTTAAATAATAATAATAATAATAATAATAGTCGAGTTAGTCGTTTTCCGGCGAACTCGACCATGGTCGAGTTAGTCGTTTTCCGGCGAACTCGACCATGGTCGAATTAGTCGTTTTCCGGCGAACTCGACCATGGTCGAGTTAGTCGTTTTCCCGCGAACTCGACCATGGTCGAGTTAGTCGTTTTCCGGCGAACTCGACCATGGTCGAGTTAGTCGTTTTCCGGCGAACTCGACCATGGTCGAATTAGTCGTTTTCCGGCGAACTCGACCATGGTCGAGTTAGTCGTTTTCCGGCGAACTCGACCATGGTCGAGTTAGTCGTTTTCCGGCGAACTCGACCATGGTCGAGTTAGTCGTTTTCCGGCGAACTCGACCATGGTCGAATTAGTCGTTTTCCGGCGAACTCGACCATGGTCGAGTTAGTCGTTTTCCGGCGAACTCGACCATGGTCGAGTTAGTCGTTTTCCGGCGAACTCGACCATGGTCGAGTTAGTCGTTTTCCGGCGAACTCGACCATGGTCGAGTTAGTCGTTTTCCGGCGAACTCGACCATGGTCGAGTTAGTCGTTTTCCGGCGAACTCGACCATGGTCGAATTAGTCGTTTTCCGGCGAACTCGACCATGGTCGAGTTAGTCGTTTTCCGGCGAACTCGACCATGGTCGAGTTAGTCGTTTTCCGGCGAACTCGACCATGGTCGAGTTAGTCGTTTTCCGGCGAACTCGACCATGGTCGAGTTAGTCGTTTTCCGGCTAATTCGACCATGGCACCAACATATTTAACTGAACTGTTTAGTACCTGTCAAAATACTTGCTATACTCTGAGAAGCAACGATCGGAAACTCACTTTACCAAAGCCAAACACTAACTTTCTTAAAAATATAGTTTCTCGTATCGCGGAGCAGTAGCTTGGAATAATCTTCCTCGTGAAATTCTTGACAATTATGAGTCTCTTTCATTGAATTCATTCAAATAGTCAAAGACACGAAATGAAAAACTCCGAACAACCGTGCAAAATTTATTTGTGGCGGAGACATATTGTAGCATTTTGGCTGTTGTCACTTTGTATATAATGCATGAATATATATATTAAGCTTAGGACTTGCATGATTTTGAAATATTTTTAGATTTTTATTGCATGCGTGTGGAGCACGGCCCTTTGAAAAACAGGTCACTGAAAGGCTACCGTGCATAAATATGTTTAAATAATAATAATAATAATAATAATAGTCGAGTTAGTCGTTTTCCGGCGAACTCGACCATGGTCGAGTTAGTCGTTTTCCGGCGAACTCGACCATGGTCGAATTAGTCGTTTTCCGGCGAACTCGACCATGGTCGAGTTAGTCGTTTTCCGCGAACTCGACCATGGTCGAGTTAGTCGTTTTCCGGCGAACTCGACCATGGTCGAGTTAGTCGTTTTCCGGCGAACTCGACCATGGTCGAATTAGTCGTTTTCCGGCGAACTCGACCATGGTCGAGTTAGTCGTTTTCCGGCGAACTCGACCATGGTCGAGTTAGTCGTTTTCCGGCGAACTCGACCATGGTCGAGTTAGTCGTTTTCCGGCGAACTCGACCATGGTCGAATTAGTCGTTTTCCGGCGAACTCGACCATGGTCGAGTTAGTCGTTTTCCGGCGAACTCGACCCTGGTCGAGTTAGTCGTTTTCCGGCGAACTCGACCGTGGTCGAGTTAGTCGTTTTCCGGCGAACTCGACCATGGTCGAGTTAGTCGTTTTCCGGCGAACTCGACCATGGTCGAGTTAGTCGTTTTCCGGCGAACTCGACCATGGTCGAATTAGTCGTTTTCCGGCGAACTCGACCATGGTCGAGTTAGTCGTTTTCCGGCGAACTCGACCATGGTCGAGTTAGTCGTTTTCCGGCGAACTCGACCATGGTCGAGTTAGTCGTTTTCCGGCGAACTCGACCATGGTCGAGTTAGTCGTTTTCCGGCGAACTCGACCATGGTCGAGTTAGTCGTTTTCCGGCGAACTCGACCATGGTCGAGTTAGTCGTTTTCCGGCGAACTCGACCATGGTCGAGTTAGTCGTTTTCCGGCTAACTCGACCATGGTCGAATTAGTCGTTTTCCGGCGAACTCGACCATGGTCGAGTTAGTCGTTTTCCGGCGAACTCGACCATGGTCGTTAGTCGTTTTCCGGCGAACTCGACCATGGTCGAGTTAGTCGTTTTCCGGCTAATTCGACCATGGTCGAGTTAGTCGTTTTCCCGCGAACTCGACCATGGTCGAGTTAGTCGTTTTCCGGCGAACTCGACCGTGGTCGAATTAGTCGTTTTCCGGCGAACTCGACCATGGTCGAATTAGTCGTTTTCCGGCGAACTCGACCATGGTCGAATTAGTCGTTTTCCGGCGAACTCGACCATGGTCGAGTTAGTCGTTTTCCGGCGAACTCGACCATGGCACCAACATATTTAACTGAACTGTTTAGTACCTGTCAAATACTTGCTATACTCTGAGAAGCAACGATCGGAAACTCACTTTACCAAAGCCAAACACTAACTTTCTTAAAAATAGTTTCTCGTATCGCGGAGCAGTAGCTTGGAATAATCTTCCTCGTGAAATTCTTGACAATTATGAGTCTCTTTCATTTAATTCATTCAAACAATTAAGTCAAAGGCACGAAATGAAAAACTCCGAACAACCGTGCAAAATTTATTTGTAGCGGAGACATATTGTAGCATTTTGGCTGTTGTCACTTTGTATATAATGCATGAATATATATATTAAGCTTAGGACTTGCATTATGTCGAGTTAGTCGTTTTCCGGCGAACTCGACCATGGTCGAGTTAGTCGTTTTCGGGCTAATTCGACCATGGTCGAATATGTCGTTTTCCTGCGAACTCGACCATGGTCGAATTGCAAGCATATTTTGTGGTGATATACAAACAACAATACAACCATGCTTTGGTTATGATATCAAATATTTTAATATTGATAACCACGCAGGTTAAATGGTCTAATTCAGGTGCTATGTAAAGTTTCAAGCATGTTTGGTGCTCATATACAAACTTCTATATAAAGTTGCAACTTGCAAGCATCGAATGCGGCCGGAAAACGGACGAATGTGCCGGAAAACGGTATACTTCACCATGGTGGAATGTGCTGGATAACGGTATACTCGACCAGTGTCAAATATGGCCAGAAAACGATATACTTGACCTTTTTGGTACATTCATGTGATCAATTAGAGTGTTCAACTTTGAACCTTCCTCACAATCCTCATTCAAAGCAAACCTTTCTCCGGGTGGTACCCGTTTACCCGCAGCTTTTTTGCAACTCTGCTTTAAAGAGAAGAATTAGGTAAAATAATAAAACTGAGACAGTCATCAACCTCAAGCACTGACGGTGTAGTAGTGAAGATACTGCCCTCGTAATTGGTAAGGCGACGTTTCGAATCCAGCATTGGTAAATATTATTCATTATGACTTTTTAAAGAAAATATTTAGTTAAAATAATAAAAGACAGTCATCAACCACAAGCACTGACGTCCTAGTGGCGAAGACAATGGTTTTGCAAGTGGGAGTTGATGGTGAATGGTTCGATGAACGATGGTTCGTGTCATTATATAGGGTACTCGGGTTACCCCCAGGTTACCTGGGTTACCCCCACTGGTTATCTCTGTTTTCGATTACCCCAGAGCCTTCGTGGCGTCGTAGGGAATCGTGAGCCTGGGGAAAAGGATTGTTGAATGGATTGTTGCAATATTTTCAAGTTCGAAGATATCGAAAATAAACCTTTTTTATGACACTTTGAATGTTCTCCCAGCTTTTTGTGCTAACTGCAAGAGGAGATGCACTCATCTTTCGAGATTGTATCCTTTTTTTTCATGGTGTCATTGGTGTGAAATGGTTGGCCTGTGATACAACTATCTAGCTAAGCTAAGTTTCTTGGCAAATGGCAAAGGTGTTAAATATCCAGTCTAGTATTTCTATTCTGGTATCTACTAGTATCTTTAAAAATGGGACTAAACCACATTATACGTGCCATGGGAATATAGTCAGAACAGGTTAATCTGTATCCTCTACCACATTTTAATGTTTTACCAAGAATAAGTAAGTTGACAGAAACCAGGTTTAGACAGCACTATTCGTCTATTCCTTGCCACTGACTAATTCATTTAGATAACTCTTAGGAGTCTTAGCTAGGTATATTTAGCATGAGCTCAGAAATTTCTTAGCATTGAGAAAATTAAAAACACAAAGTTTGGGCTATTTTTAAATCAGAGGGCCCCCAGGATTTCTGACATAGTATTTATAATATAGAATGCACCCTAGTACAACATGTATTCAACCATAACACTGTTTAAGATCGAGGTGATCTTGAGCAGAAATGCACAGAGATTTTCTACAACAACATAAAGACATCAAGAGGCAACCAAGCACCTTGTTTTGTAAGTATATATGTAATATGGTTGGGTCAATTTGAGACTTATTATTCATCCAGACCTTGTTTATACCTCAATCTATTCTTGCAGACATTGCAAAGTGCAACCAAATTTATTTCATTTTATATGTTGTTTGATCAGTTTTAATATTTTCTAGAATATCAATGGTGTGAACTACATATTCGTCCATACAGCTGACCTGTATTTTGTCTTAACAACAAAAAAGAACGTGTCACCAAATTGTGGTCTGGAATTCCTGCAGAGGTACGATTAGTTCAATATACGACCTCGTAAGCTGGTCAGGGTTCAGTATTTAGCTAAAATAGGTAAGCTTTGACTGGGTAACCTTTGGGGACGTAATCAATAAATAGCAAAAGCTGTTCTGATTTTTTTTTTTGCTAGGTTCACCTCTATATGCAAAGACTACTGTGGTGTGTTAAATGAAAATTCAATACAACAGAATTTTGTTTTGATTTATGAAATATTGGATGAAGTTCTGGTTGGTACATTTAATACAACACTAGCGTCAAATGAAGTTAATAAAACCATCTTGATCCCAATAGGGTATATTTATGCATATTGAATTTTGAGCATGAGTAAAATTTGATATAATTTCCATTTAGAATTTTGGTTACATCCAAGAGACATATTCCCAAGCTATAAAACCATACGTCCTAAATCAGCCTACAATTGTAGAACCTTATGATAAACCAAGTCAATTTCCTGGAAGAGCTGTGGTATGTAGGTTTCAAAGACTGCTTGCTGTTAGATAGCCTGGATATGGGATCTTGCCTTGGTCTAAACTCCTGTATCTTAACTTAGTTTGGCTTGGAGAAGCTCCGTGTTGGTAGTGATGCTGCAAATAGGCCTGTTGGACACAGTGATAGGTTTTCGGTAAGTTTATCTTCTTGTTTCATTGGGATAAAACTAGACTAAGAATTTGATAACTTGGGTTAATGCTCAGTTTTTATGTTCATTTAGACACCAAAGAAAGGTGAAATATTCTCAGACATATTGGAACATCTGTTAGTTCAAGTTGATTCAGAGGTGAACAGATTTGAACCCCCCCCTGTTCATATAATTTTGATGTAGTATTTGCTGTGCTTGCAGGGGGTAAGGGGGGTACACTGCAGCTTACATAGGCATCAAACATGTCCACCTGCCTAGATTGACCATAGTTTTTATAATTCAAAGGCTGATCCGATTTCCAATGTTTTGTAGGGCAATGTACAGTGTTCAGAACTCATTGGCAGTATTACTTTACGTAGTTTTCTTCCTGAAGGATGTGTTCTTACTATGGCGCTAAGTGATGAACTTTGTAAACTACATGTTGTCAATAGTAATATTCGCAGGCTTTTATTACATTTCCTATTCACAACTATCTCTAGCCCCCACTATTCTAGCCCCCACTTACAATTGACCATTTTCCCACCACATTCCATAACTCCACTTATACCATAGTCCCCACTAATCCCCACCCACCACACTCCATATTCCACACTTACCATATCCCCTCCTGCCATAGGCCCCATCTATCACACTTCAATTACCAAAGTCCCCACCCACCACACTTTACCTACCAAAGTTCCTGCCAACCATAGACCCCGTGCACCACAATCCCACTCCCCACAGATTGTGCTCACCATATTCACCACCCACCTGATGGGTCCCACCCGTACTCACGCAGAATATTTTTATAAAGGTTTTGGGCTGCAACTCGAGGATTACAATCTTCATCCTTCTGTAAACAGCGAGGAGTTTGAGTCAAGCGGAAAGCTCTCTGTTATGCCTTTGGTTGGTGAGGTGAGGCCGCGTATGACTTGAAGACACATTAAAACTGGAAGTTAAATAACAAACCGCTTTCTGTGGCATCAACGAGTTCAGCTTGTTCTTCTTCTTTCGTGTAGTTTGCCATGATGAATTATCGCATGTCTGGAACAATTCTGGAAAGAAACCTTCCTTTCACCGTTGAAATGATGTTCGAAGATTCCTGTTCCTCAAAGCAAGTGAAATTTTATCTTGTTTGCAAAAACTATGCACGTATTACAAGCAACCATATAATAAAATCATTTTTCGGCTGTTCTAGATAGTGTATTTTTACACAAATGTCCTTCATCAAACCTTCTAGTCTGCTACCTAGGAAAGAGTAAAACCATCCTTTAAGGATGTAAATTGGCTCTTTCAAAATGTCTTTCAAAAATGAGTAGTGCTGTCAAGTAAAGTCATCTAGCGTTATACAAAGTAAAATGTCTCAGTATATTGCATACGTTTTCATTTAGATCCATAGATGTTTCCTTGAGAATAAACTGCAATATACCCACGGACAAGTAAGTAAAATGACTAGCAATATTGAAAATTTTCGGGTCTATTTTATTAGTACTCTCACGGCTACGTCTTTTGTTCTTCTTTAAGATATGCGGATAAAGTTCTCGTGCAATTCAACGTCCCAAAAGACACCAGGAGGTACACTTTTCCGAATAAGTATTCATTATTAAATCTCAAGCTGGAGTGAATGACTCAATCATAAAATGCTGATCTTATTTTTCCCTTCAATTCAATAGTGTGTCTTGTTCTGGGCAGACTGTAGAGTTTGTCGAAGATAAAAACTTGGTAACTTGGCATATTGCACAGTTCCAAGGTGGAACAACAATAAGAGCGTTGTTTAAGGTAATAACCGGAAATCTTTAGCAGAAAGAGCAAAAAGAAGGTTCGCAGATTGTCTATTCATTGCTACCATACTAAAAAATATTGCAGAAATTTATTTGTGTATTTGTCACGTTTTACAGTTAAATGGATCATTTGATGAAGATTTTCAAAGTCGACGCGAGTTAGATGCAATCAAGTAGGTTGATGCCTCGCTATAACAATCGCTTCTTTCTTTCATTGGAATTCGAAATAATTTGTGTGGAAAGTTCGATAGTTAATAATTTTCTTCTGTAGCATTCGATTTGAAATTCCTCTCTTTCTCTGCTCTGGAGCGAGAGTGAAATCTTTGAGGATCTCTGGTGGCGCGGCAAAAATTGAACACACCACGAAGTGGGCCAGGCAAATTACGTACAGGTTTGAGTTATTGAGAAATCATACCCAGAACAAAATCGTAATTTGTTGAGATAATTCACATGTTCATTTACAAAACTAAGACTTTCTGAAAACTAAGACTTTCTGGTCTACTTTCCTGGAAAATAATATGGTATAAAGAACCTCTATTATTTTAATTTGCAACGTAATTTCTGCACAGTGTGTTTTGAGTCGGTGAGAAACTCGATTTCTTTCTTTCAATTTCCTTTACTTATAACACGGCTCTGTAGCTAAAATTTTGTTGCACATTAATCAAAAGTTTGCCCCTAATTCCAACAGCTCTTTTATCCAGGTTTTCAATGTGCTTTTGTAGTGATTCGTACGTTATACGAGTGTGATAAGTTATGGCAACCCCGAGAAATCAAGAAAATAAATATGGATGGTAGTAGCATCGTGTGTAAATTCTATTCCTCCAACGCGTGTGTCTGGCTCTGCGATGTAGAATGACCGTCAGAGAATGACCGTCAAAGTCATCAACAGCGCCATTTTTAAAAAGATAACACATTATAAAGAAAATGTGGTCAATATGGACAACTTCATTACCGACCGAAAAGTAGGAATAGCCGGAAAATATATATACATTTAGTATGCAATGTTTTTTTGCTCAAAATGAGCGTTTTAGCATTTCTCTGTCACAAATGCAACGACTGTAATAAAATTCAGTTTGTTAACATCGATGTTTTGAGAAAAAAAATAGAAAAAGCGTTTTCAGACGCTTTTACCTCATCTGTAGTTTGTTTATCTTATATGAAGTGTTGCAGCAGACGGCTGACTGAGTGAAATGAGCCGGAAATTTTAAAGTGGAGCAAATCCTTTATTTTGAAAAAAAATCGATGAAAAAGCCTAATTTACGCAGATATTTTTCCAGTATTTCTTCATAGTTCCACTCAGAATAAAACGGAGGAGAATTAATTTAACTTCTTGTATAAAAATGTATATTCCACGGGACGCTTTTGAGCTCAAGCCTCAAGGAATTGGATGATGATGTCATGAATATTCAAGGTGTAAAAAAGGTCTTTCATGGATTTACGCAGGTATAAGCTAATAAGATTGATTTTTTATTGTTTAAAATTAGTTTATGTATGCATGTGTGGTCTAAGAATTATAGGAAGAATGTGTAGTTCATAGTCTTATCATTTTGAAGGAGGGTTGCTTACCAGTAATTTAGCCTGGTCATAATAACCATCTTATACTGTTATACACCGAATTGAAATGGGCAAAGCAATAAGGGTCTGTTACCAAGCTGGTTATATTTTATGAACTCCAGTCAAAATATATGAGAATACAAATGGCCATCAACCTAAGATGACATTTAAATACCACAATAAATTCAGAGTTGTTACAAGGTTTGCAATAAATGCCTCCCTCGAATAAACGCCGCATCTTAAGTGCTTCTTCCATATTCTCTGTAGATTTAAATTAAGTGTAAGATGTTATCTGACTATGAAAATGAAGACATTACATATAAGCCAGTTACTACATGTGCTGAATAACTAAACTATTTCAAGAAGAAATTGTGTTAATTTAAGAATGCATATAATCAAAAGAATAGTTTTACAGTGATCAAATGAATAATAAATAAGTTAGTTCTCTCATCTTAACAACACTTTGTACATCCTTTATCTTCCTCTGATTTCTGTGACCAGATCAGTACTTTTATCAATGATATCCTGCGGTGTTGCTGTGGTGATATTCACGTCTACGAGTATCACTCCATCCACTATAGGATCTTGAAAACAAAACTCGAAGATCCTGTCTTTACGGTCAATGCCTTCTTTCAATGCTTGAAAATTGTAATTTGTCAGCAAACAAATCAGTACAATGTAACCAGAGGTTGCTCTGTCTTTCATCCATGCTACAAGATCTTCACTTGGATCTGAAACATTCCAGTCTTTCTTCTCTGCAATTTTCAGGCTGCCTGGTGGTTCGTAGTCATGCATTGCTTTACGAAAGTTGTCCATATTTGTTGGCGTTCCGCTGTGTAGAACCCCTAAACAAATTTTGTCCTTCTTTGCTCCAGGTCTGTCTTCCTTAGTGGGTTTACCTCCCATGGCTAGTAAAAATTGCAATGGTAAATTTCCTAATAGAATAATAAGCACCACATTAAAGTGCTCTTACTTTAGTTCATCAATTTTAATAATCTTTTACATTAAACAATGCTACATTTTGGAAGGGTATGCGCACTACCCAGCACTATCTACCAGTGTTCTTGGTTAAGTATAAACTAACCTCTAGTTTCACCCATCTCATGTTGTCATTCAGACAGATGTACTACTTGGATATTACAGTAGACCAATAATTTGAAAATCAGTGGAAGAGTTCTGATGGTTTGTCATATATCGTTAATCAACATTATAGCTACTTAACCCTGATGGGCAACAATACCCCAGCCACAATTAATGCAGTGATGTCAGTTTTCACTCTTTTGTAGAGTTTCATAAGACAGATTTTGGGTTTTATCTTACTGGGGAATTATGGAAAGGAATGAGACTTATCATAAAATGCTAATCCATTCAGAGCCAGTAGTGTTTAGTTATACTTATAGATAAAATTTCCAGAGATCAATGTGTAACCGTGTTTATACATTATGGTGCCCATGCAGTCATCCGTGACTGGTACACGCGAGATGTCGCGAATAATATAAGGTCGACACAGAACGGACGCGATGCGTCAAAGCGACGGAAATTTTCACGTTTCAGAAGCATATGAATTAAATTCTGGAAGCAAAATTTAGAATCTATGGACGTCAAAGCAGTCAAAATGTATAATTGCTACGTAATCTATAAGAATATTATGATAGGTTAAAATTTATTTGCTTTTGGAAAATAAAAAAACTTGTCGCGTTCTGTCTGTGTGGGCCTTTACTCCTTAAATAACTCGCGCCGTTTTCACGTTTGGAACGAAAACTTAGGCCTATCAGGCTATAAAACTATTCACCTTACTAATCGCCTATAATGTTTAAGCATGTGTTTCCTTGTCTAGTGCCAGATGGTTTTAATCAGAAGAACGTGTTGGAACGTGCCTTTATTAATATAATCAAAGTGAAACTGCAATTCTATGATGTCTGCATAGTTCAAATGAATCAAATCCATTGAACCATTCAATTCCTTTTAGCATATCATTGTGTTGACAAAATTCCCACGAGATTCAAATTGTTACCTATTACCATACCACTGGGTTGGACAACCGTTTAGCCGCACTTTTCTCTTAAAGAATCCTTTCAATGATAGTCTGTAGTTTACATTTGAATTACCTCTTTTGTTTTTGACACTTTTTATTCGTAGTGTCAAAGGCTATATATTACGTATATACGTCAGTTTTGTCACATTACCATATAACTTAGAAATCTGTCGTTTAGCACTGACAGATGTGTATGTTATAACATCGTGTGTTACTTTGAAACACATCATTTAATGCTTGAAGACGTCTTCCAACCCGAAATTTCCCTTCCATGTTAATATTCGAAAGTGTCGTGCGGTGCAACGCCAATATATGTGATAGAATTCGATTAGAATCCAATCCTACCTTTTCTTCTTTACTTTCTGCTCTTCCAACAAGAGGGAACTTTTGTTTTACGCTTTTGTGGACCAACGTACGACTCAATTTAGGACAGTTTTAGTCCTTGACAATGGAAATATTTGAGGCTGTGTTTAATCTCGACAAAGATAATAATGCGTTGGGCAGGGTTAACAAGAACGACGCAATACTCAGATGACGTCATCATTTGAGCCCGCGAAATCTGTTTTCGAAACAAGCGTTTCTCGGATCTTGGTTGCGATCCTTCGTCCGATTCAAGGGACGAGAACACTCACCTTTTGCGACGGTTCAGTGTAGAAACGATATTTTCCTGCCAAAGCAACTATTGTGTGGTACATCTTCTTCATATAAACACAGGAATCGATACGATGTCCCAGATGGATTTCCTGAATATACAAAGAGATATATACATATCAGTGTTCTTTTCATAAGTATTATAATTTAGAGTAAAGTCGAGAAACGGCAGTTCATGAAAGAGCCTTTACCTGTATTTAGTACTTTCCTTTATGACTGACACCAAGATGTTTGCAACACACAGGAAGAACCAAAATGGGGCGAACGAGATTACGAACTTTACTGAATGCTACAACAGAATATTGTATATAGCAGAATGGACAGACATAGATATATATTCGTTAATATAAGAATATTCCATCTAATCCTATATTGTTCCATTTAGAGAGGGTCGCTGTATGATCACTCCAATTCAGAATCATAAGAAGAAGCTACTGATTAAAGATCATCGCGAGGTATTCGTTATGTACGTTTCAATCTCTTGCTACAATGTTTCACCTTTCTTTCTTCCCTTTTTTTGTAGAAACACATCCCAAAACGCGACCCTCGACACGACGTGAAATAATCTCCAGCGATAATGCAGCGGATATTATGTTCTATCAAACTTCATTCTAATTCTTGATCGCAAAGAATCAGCATTACTTCTTCTGTATGTATAATAGTTTTTAGCTATAATATCAAAGGCCGTTTTGCTATTCCATTGCCATAGATTTTCAAAGTTATTCTCTTTGTAACTCTTTGTAAAACTGCAGTAACCTAGCAAGCGTAATTATAATACTCGAATCTGTTGTCTTTTTAGGCATTGGCGCCATATGTGCCAGACTCGATGAATATACGACATAATGATTGATTAGAACTCGTGCCGTTTGAAGTACATGTCTATTGTGATGAAAATGAAGACGCAATGACTTTTTATCCCCGTTGTAAGCTTATCAAGTGGAATACAATCGATTCTGAACACTTTGTTCCCACGATTAAGGGATTCGTTATTTTCACCACAGGGAAGTTCCGTCGTCTAAAATTCACTGGTGACCCGGCTGTGAGGCCGCTACGTTGGAATGATAAACGGTTTTCGGATAATTTTCAGTTCTGACCATTGTGCATTACTTCAGTACAAAGTGTTACATAAATTAAATTCCATCTTTGGCTTCTCTATTGAAGATTATAACAACGTTAAATATGAACTAATTAAACCGATCACATGCGCCAGAAACCTGGACCCTGTTTGATGCATGTATCAGAGCATGTATCTTCTTCAGAACTTCTTCACTTCAGCAAATTCCGTCAGAGATTCAGGATATCAAGTGTGAACGTAAATAGCCAGTGGCTGGTTACCTGAAAGGTGTCATTGGCAGTGATAGTCAGATTTCTATCTCTTCTCTTTTTCTTCGCAGAAAAGCCATTCTACACCGTTCTGGAGGAGAAACCAGAATTCCAGAATTCTACGAAAAATTTTCCAATGTAGTGGAATAGCGAAGGTCCTTGATCTTTTTGTATTTCCTTCGTGCAAGTAGGAACGTTTATAGAAATGCATTTTGCAAAGTAAAATATAGGGCGTTGGGGGTGTGCTGACAGTTCTCCCTCCTTCCGCGACATTTATATGCCTATTACCGTAATATGACCATATACCATACCTACACATGTTCGTGAAGCGTGCCTATTTGTCTGTGTTTTGGGGATGACCACGGTCAAGGAAGGGTCTACCATTTTTGGTTAATTTTATGTTCTATATGAATTCAAATCATCCTTGCAATAAATACTATCATCTGAGCTCCGACGTCTAACTGGCAGAAATGGACCTTCGGTAAATGTTGTATGACTGAGCCTATGAATACATACGTCAAGCATTTGTTACTAAATATTTTTATGGTCTTTGCACTGTTGCACACGAATATGCCCATGATATTTTACGATCCCAATGGCCGAACCATCAGAGCACTAGATTCGTGGTTATTGGTGGAACTGTTATAGTACTGGGTTGATGGCATGGACAGATCAGTTAGAGAGCTAATTTCACTATTATTGACAGATCAGCCAGAAAACTGCTCACGGTTATTAGAAGATCAGTTAGAAGCAGATTCATTATTGCCGTGTTGAGAGATTGGAAAACTGAGTAATTGGTATATCAGTCAGAACCATATTCATGGTTATTTCCGTAGATATTGGCAGATCAGTCATCACTGGATTCATAGTTATTGGCAGATCAGTCAGAGCTAAATTTATAATCATTAGAAGATCAGTCATCACTGGATTCATGGTTATGGGTACAGTAAATCATTCTTGAGGACTCAGAAGTACTGAGAACCGAGGAGTTATTTTTACATAACTTCACACTATGTTCATTGTTATTGGAGAGATATATCACATATCAGAGCACTGTTGATTGGTACTCCCGTTTTTGGAAACTTTCCAGTCGTTCACCAAATCATTGCAAATCATCTCGATTGTTCGAGCATTTTCGGTCGGACATTCCCTTGGGTCCCCTATGGCTCGATCAGATTTGGAAGAGACGAGCCACACCCTGTATAGTAAACGTATTTTGTGGTGCAAGTATTTATATTTTATCATGTCCGTTTCAAAAATACCACACAAGTTAATTTCACCCGAAGAAAGAGAAATGACAGAAAAGCCAAAAGCTTCGAGCACTGCAGCAGATGAAGATGTCGAGGAAGAAAAATTTGATAAAAATTTCTGGGTTGAGGTATCGATTATTCTGTTGTATTTATATATTAAATGCTAACATTCTTTTTATGTTCTGAATTTCCGATCTAGTTTTACTTCCAAAAGACGTTTTACGGTTTTAGTGGAGCTATGCCCGAATTTAGTCGTATTTCAGTCTCGATCTCTCTAAATTACTGAGTCAGAAACTCAGATATAAATTTTTCTTGGCAGCTAAAGTATTTTTAATTTTTATTCTTTATGTTGGCAAACTTATAACACACATTACGTAATCCCCTTTGATGTAATGACCCTATCATAATAACAACCAAACACAATTTAACACATCCATAAGATAAAACTCTCCTACCTGACTCAACTGATTGGATTACCTAAAATCTTATGAATATCTTGTTACTACTGTAAAAAGATCATTCATGAGGTATGCTTGAAGAATGATGAATAAAAATTATGTCCAGGCCCATCACTATATGCTTAATTGTGGGGGTGCTGTGTTCATACTCGCATACTGTAAAACCAATTGTTTCAAAAGAAATCAGTCGGGTATAAGGTCAAGTATATGATGCACATGCTACCCCCCCCCCCCCCAATTATTGATGAACCAAATAGCCCTGGTATGATGGCCTTGGTGAGGAGCCTATGTCTATAAGAAATCTTGGGATTGCATACATGTATCAACCTTGCATGTTAAATACTTACCAAGCCCCCTGCTATGCCAAGGTCAAATAATTTTAAAGTATTTTAAAAATTCCTGCATATGTTATAATAAGAATTGGCAAATGTGGCATTTATACCGATTTTCAAAACATTTTAAATAAGTTAATTAAAGTTAAAATACTAAACAGTCAATCATATATTGTTCCAATGTCATCCTATATATCTCTCATCTATCTTAACTTATAATAATCAACTTGGGACATACTATAAAGTAGATTTAGTTTGAATGGTGAACAGGTCAAGAATATTGATCACATTTATTCTTTCCTAGCACAACCAGACATAATTAGCTCAACATAAATGTATTGCTTTACTCCAAGTTTAGTCCATCCAATTTAAACACTGCTGTCATTCGCAGAATCTGTGGAAACATTTTATAAATTTTAGCATACCCATTGCTTTAAACTAAATTAGCTTGCTTCAAATGGCTTCGGTAATATGCTTGCAAAGTAATAAAGCCATGGCTGTCTTGACCTTGAGGGTGGATATAAAAATAAGGTTCTTCAGGAATTTGACAAAATGACAAATGACTCTTAGGTTGAAAAAAAAGTGAAGAAAGGCATATCATGGAATAAGGCAATGGATGAAGTCAGGGCAGAAAGACTGATGACAAAATATGGTAACCAAGCTTTGGTGGTTCTTATTCACAAGTGGCCAAAGATGAAAAAGTTTAAACAGAAACCGAAAGCGAACCAAAAGAAACCGAAAAAAAACCAAAAGCTGATAACAAGCTTAGAGTATTTGGTATGATGATAGATTCTGTCAATAACATTTCTCAAACAAGAGCATCCCTAGATCTATATTCTTAGCCTTAGGGCTAACTGAGGGCCTTTTGCTCACATACCATAATAAACTTAATGAATCTACTAGCTGTATGGTACATCCCTGCTGGTGACTCCCCTTACGAAGACTTGAAACCTTTATAGATCAGCCGACTGACGGAAATAATTCTGGACAAAGACAAGGAGACGGATTATGCTGCTTTTCGTTTTGAAGAACCAGAAAAGCCCCCCAAAACCCTGCTGCATCTTGCAGCAGAGCAGAATTTTCTTCATGTCTCAAGATGTCTGGTCGATCGTTTTCCAACTCTGCTGCACGCGACCACAGACGATGATGAATGGGACAAGGCTGTCATGCCCGTTGAATTAGCTTTAGAAAAGCATAATGATGACACTGCAGCTTATCTTATTTCTCAAATGTTGGCTCGTCGGTGAGTGATACGTGATTTAGCCTGATGAAGATAATTTTTTCCACTGAATTTAGGTCCTCTTCACCTTTGCAAGCAAAGAGACCGAAGAGTGCTTTGTTTTTTCATGTCCTGGTAATACTCGAACTAATTTCGGATAAACATTTCATTAAAGTCGTGAGGGAGCCTCAGTTACGACCAGTCTGGGGTCTGCGGAAGCGTGTAACACTGAGGAAATAGGGCAAATGTTGGGTAGATCTCTGTATCTAGGAGAATTGGCTATGTCAAAAATTGGATTTGATGCCATAAACCGCTACTGATATGAATACTTGGGAACATTTGTTGGATGATTTCATGATTAATACTTGCCTTACAAGCATTAAGATATCCTCAAACCAAAGATATAGCTACATATACCAAAGGTATAAAAGATGTAGCTACTCAATTTTTTTTATCTTATGTGTAGCGTCACGGAACTCTTTCTGTATGACGACATTGGAGAATCAGTGAAATTTTATTTTGGTGATATTATTAGTTATCGTGATCCAGAGACAAATGAATATGGAATGAAGGTACACCATGGCATGAAACTCCCTACGTCAGTAGAATCGTTGCATGTGCAAGGTCTGTACAATTTTGCTTTTGACGAGACAGTCCTCCGTTTAAACGTCGTCCATTTCTGAGAGCGTGGTACATGATGGCTTTTGTTATAGGCTCACTAGCCATGATACTTCTGTATGAAAGTCATTTCTGCAATGGTAACCCCATATCAGCCAAGTTAGGCTGTCGGTTGTACAGTAAGTGTTGTTCAAAGTCCAAAACCGCAAGTAAGAATAACTAGCACCCGCTTGCAATTTCTGTGATCAGTGCTATAGGCATATTTCTGTCTAATTTAGTTATTTTTTTATAACAGAAAACGGTCGTGGCTGTATTGAACAAATTGATTAACCCTTACTGGCCGTACCAGCCTGACCGCGCACTGGTCGATGAAGACAATGTTGAAATCCAGCGAGCCTTGGACAGTGTTCCAGACGATCCAATGAATTATGACTTTCACTATCACATCCTAGAAACTGACGAAAATGGAAGGACACCTAAATATGAAGATTCTGAAGATGTTGATCCATTGTTTAATCATAGATCAATGTCTTGTCTCGAACGCATTGCTGACAGCGAGAATAAGGTATTGAACGTAGTGAACTACTTACTACTTACTGAACCGGACCTGTGGCTCACGTGCACTGAACTACGGAGGGTTGATTTCAACTTATCAGCACTGCATGGATTAGACTGACTTAAGCTCTATGCTGGATTGAGCTAATATAGAATAAACTGAACTGGGCCTGATTGTAGTGCATCTGACTGGACTGAACTGGGTTTGTGTGGACGTAACTGAATTGAATTCCACTGATTTTGAACAGACTGAACTGACTGGTTGAATCGTACTAGACTTGACTCGACTCTGGACTCGATTGAACTGGACGGAACTGGACGTAACTGTACTTGGCTGGATTGAATTGCACTGAACTGTAATAGGCTGTATTGAATTGTGCTGAAATGAAATGAACTGAGCTGAACTGAACTGAACTGAATTGGACTCGACTACACTGAACTGTTCTCTTTTTGACCGAATTGGACAGGACTGAATTGGTATAAATCGTATTATAGGGATTTATACGTGAAAGTTATACCAAAATAGAGTGAATATGTGCGAATAGACGCATTGATATTATTAATAATTGATAGGAAGCTGTGAAACACCCGGTCGTTCGCATGTTGGTCCTGAGAAAATGGAATGAATTTGCCTTCAATTGGTTTTGGTGAGAACAACATTTGAGCTCTAATCTAACTTTATTTACCCTGCCGACTTCCCGAGGAATAATACATTTTAACAACAATGTCTTGACAATTTCTTTTAGTTTTAAGGCTGTCCTTTATCTCATATTTTTGGCGGTATTGTCATATGCGCTCATGTTTGGCTCCACTCGTGACGATCCAGCTCAATACGACGGCCCGGCTGATAATTTTCGAGCAGTTTGTGAAATGGCCAGTATCATCTTTCTCATTGTACACCTGCTTGATGAATTTGGTGAAATATTAAGGTATTAATCGATGGAGATTTATCCGCAGAACTATCCACAAAAATTAAAGCGGTAATTGCTACCAGTCCATACCACTGGTTTTATCCTACCATAACATCATCTGGTTTTGGAGTAGTATCAACTGGGGTTATTTAGGGTGGGATAGGGTGGAAGTAGAGTAAGTGGGTGCAATGTGTCTTGATAATGTATACTAAGATTGCGAAAAGGTTGCTTTAGGTTAGGGTAGGGTTGGATGGGTTAGAGCGGGGTGGGTTAGGGTGAAATTTGGCTGAGTTAATTATGTTAAGGTAGGGTTGGGTAGTGTAGATGATTAATACCGACCGACCTACTATTGTTAAATCATATTATCAATAAATTATATCCCAGTTTAACCACGTTGTTTTTGCAGAGAAAAAATAAGCTACTTCGAAGTTTGGCACAACTACCTGGACTTACTTGGTATTATCCTCACCCTGATCGTCCTTCCTCTCCGCTATGCCGAGGTTAAAGCACAGTGGAGCTTCGCTGCTCTTGGTTTGTTGTTCAATTTTCTACGTCTCTTTAAATTCTCTCACGTCTCGAGGTAAGTAAGATTTCTTAAGTTACCTTCACGTACAAAGGATTTATTAAGGATAATTTTCAGCGGTTGATGATTTCGCAATTATTTTTAACTTGTAGAGTCACAGGTCTTTACACCACAACGCTGGTGAAAATAATCCAGAAAGACATTCCTCGGTTTTTGTTGTTCTTTTCCGTGGTATTCATTGGATTTTGCGGAGCAATGTATTTGGCTTTGAAAGTGAACGACAAGCAAGATTCGTTCGGGTAGTTAACGTCGAAATTTTTTTGTTTTTTGTTTGTAATTTTAGTGTATTTTAGGTTGGTCTGTTGCTTTTTTTTGTTCTGTTCTATGCCTATCATAATATATTTTATTATTCAGTGGCTTCGCTTGGCTGATGTTGGCTGGTTTCAGAGCTCTCGCCGAACAACAATCGTTAGAAGATGACTACCAAAAGTTTAGGTAACATCTTTCATAGACACCGTGAATGTTTAAATCACTTCTATTCGATATTTTATGCTACTTGATCTATAATTTATCAGTTCTTTTCAAAGAGCTCAATGACCAGTGATCGGTCAGGTTCACGCTGTTATCGTTTGTAAGTGATATTCTTTTTTCTCTGTTTTCCAGTTGGCTGCCAATTATTATTCTTCTTGCATACATGATGATCGTAATTGTAATCTTACTAAACATCCTCATCGCTCAACTCAGCTACACTTACGATGAAGCAAAGAAAATCGCCAAACTGCAATACGCTGCTGATATAATGAGGATTGTCTCCCGGGTGGAGTACAGCCCAATTCGATATTTTGTAAGCGAAACGCAATACTTCATTGGGACGTTGAACAGAGTGCTTTTTGTTAGAGGAACGAAAACTATTCTCGTGTACCTATATTACTCACGTGTAATAGTTTATTCTCTCCTTCATTGAAGAGTTTAAGAATACGAAATTTCATATATGCTGACTGGATCAACGACGAGGAATTGGCCAAAGGTACGTCTTTCATGATACGCTTTGGTTAGGAATTCTTGAGCATACTCGGTCAATAATTCTAAGTGTCATACGGTAGGGAATTAATAGCTTTTATTATATAATATAGTGTATTGTAAAATATAATACTTGTTTTTTCTGTAGAAATGTTGGAGTACACGGATGATAGACACCCTTGGGAGACGGTTGGGGAGAGATTATCTGACGTTAGGTAATAAGTATTGTTAGGGCTAGGAAAAGCCTCTGATCTTAAAGAAAGACTGGGTTTAGCTGCGTAAATAAATGACGCCACTGGCTATGTTTGCATCATCCAAGAATATCTACTGCGCACCCAATCAGAATGACGTCTTTTTATTGCAAAACCACATTAATCTCTCCTAAAACATTCACCTTAAATGTTATCTTCAGGGAAATTATGGGGAAACTTGTAAGAAAAGGCAAAGAAAAGGATCCCTTGGAAACTATTGATGACAAAGTAACTCATCTCACGTAAGTAAATGTTATTTTTGATTGAAAAGCTAAGAAAAATCATTTAGGTTTCTTCCTGTGTCAATAAAAGAAGAAAACACTGGATCAATAAGAGACGATCCTTACTAGTTTAAAAGTGATGGAGCTATCTGCCATAAATATAGTTAGTTTAGTTTAGGTTTCCTCCTGTAGTAACACTGGATCAATAAGAGATGATCCTTACTGGGCCTCTAAGAAGAACAGTATAGAACTATCTGATAGAGCTATATCCAGTTTAAATAAAGTTAGTTTAGTTTAGGCTTCCTCCTGTGTAGTAACACTGGATCAATAAGAGATAACCGTTAAAGATTCTATTTTTAAATCTTCACTATAAGATATTCTTTATCTTCAGGGAAATTATGAAGAAACCAGAGGAGGAAAGCACAGAAGAAGATCCTTTAAAATCTATTGATGAAAAAATAGCTCGTCTTACGTAAGTAAATACAACTAGTCAACTAATGCATTTCATTACGCGTGTTTAATTTTGGCACGGGTTTAGGTTTTCCGTTGTGGTATTTGATGGTCCTCAAGGGACATCTTAATATTGATTTCACCTTTTTTCAGGGAGATTTTGGAAAAGTTTCCAGAAGCTATGAAATAACACACATTCTGAGCTAGCTTCCCGTGCAAGCTGACGAGGAAAAGTTTCACTTTTTTATGTTCTATATTATTTCATAAATAATTATGATTCGTGTTCAACACGCATACGCTAAACTTATAACAGTAAGGGCATGCCCTACATATATTTATTTTGAAAGAGTCTCAACGTGATGACCTGATCGATGTTGTAAACTACCAGAAAGCTATCAAGTATTTCAGTTAATAGGCTGGAAGAGCCCTGCATAATACCAGTAGTAGACAACAGCAATATTCGTTTTTGTATTAAAATAGCTACAGTCTTGTTAAACTTGTGTTGTTTCTGTTTTTCAAATTTCAAGAACAAGTGCCTTCAGACAATCCAAGACTTTAAGGTCCACTAGGTTACCGGCGAAGATTCAGACGAGATGAACACTTCGTAACTGTGTGCGTGTTATGTAATTTTATATGAAGTACGCCTACAAACAGCTGACTCTTGGCATAATGAGCCGCGCAATTTCGCTTCATGGCTACCAGGGGAAGTTGAAAAGAAATTATTTTGAAAGAAAAAGTGTTCATTTACGCCGATATTTTTCATCATGCTCCAATATTTCTCTATGGATTCACTTATTATGAAATGAGGAACGTCTAGTTCAATTTTTAATGTAAAATGTGTATTTAAAGGAATGAAATTTTGTGAAAGAATTTGACAGTGACATGTTTATAGTCGAAATGGGAAAGAAGCTTTTCCATTCCAATCCACAGGTTAGTTCGGCTTTTGTAACTTGATAATGTTGATTTCCAATTGCTAAGCCTATTTAGCATGTGGAGTTAAGGAGAAGGGTTGTTTAGACAGTTTAGTGTTTACTATGTGCCCAAGGCAACAAATCTTTCGTTGTCTCTTGCATATGGTAAATTTGTAACCAAAGTGTGGCATCCTAAGTGACTATGACAAATAAAGTGGCTGGATGTTGACAAACTAACACATGATACCACCAAACCAATCCTACAGACAACTGCATTAATGATAAGTGCATGTAATATATTAAGTAAAAAGTTTTACCAACTGTATGTTCTACAATGTAGGTTTGTAACTACGTGTTACATGTGCAATTACGACTATGAATATAAATAATGAATAAAGTTAGTTTCCACATCACAAACTGTCTCATAAAACCGTCTGATGACTATGGCAAATAGAGTTGCTGGATGTTGACAAACTAGCACATGATACCACCAAACCAATCCTACAGACAACTGCATTAATGATAAGTGCATGTAATATATTAAGGAAAACTTTTACAAACATGTTCTACAATGTAGGTTTGTAACTACGTGTTACACGTGCAATTACGACTATGAATATAAATAATGAATGAATGAAGTTAATTTTGACACCACAAACTGTCTGATAAACACCTGCAACAAAATTTCAAAGTGTGATTATGCTAAGTTCCAATGTGCACAAATATAAGATTGAATTATTTATTTACTTCTAAGCTGGGTTCTAAATTACAACTACCTTTTATGTTTATCAGTTCCAGACATGTCATTATCGAAGTTCTCTGATTTTTGCAGCAAGGCGATCCATGTTGGCGATAAAATCCTGACGTGATGCGGTGTCAAAATCCACATTTATCATGATTGGTTTAAGGCCATTCACTGGAGGATGCCGAAAGCAGAACTCAATGATCCTGTCGTTCCCTTTGATATGTGCATTTAATTCTTGATCATTGTGATCCGCTAACAAGCAAAGAAGGACGATACCACCTCGACGCGTCCATTCTGATGTCCACTGTTTAAAATCATTCTTTGTGGACTGGGAAAGATGGGCATTATAATACCTGTCATCTACAACATCCCCCAAACTGCCTGGCGGTGGCTTCGTTTGAACTGCGTTGCAAAAGGTTCTCATATCTGGTGATGAAGACCGATTGTGTATGACAACCAGGCGTATTCCATCAACTGATGTATCACTGGTAGACTGAGATTGACCCATTGCTGGTTAAAAGAATGCATTGGTTGTTAGCCTTATCAAAAAAGATACCTTGGGTTATCAAGACTGCGAAGGTAGTGTTTTTAACTGAACAATTTTGCTAATCTTTCCCTGCATTAAACAGTAGCTTGTTCTTCAGTATGCTAGGTACCTTCCATTTAAAGTACATGCAACTGAATTACTGGCCCAGGTGCTCACCTGGTCACTGAAGTTACCAGCCCTGGGTGCTCACCAAATTACCTCTGGGAATCAGAAATTCCATTCAGAAATACAAGGAATGATACCATTTGCTTTTCTGAACAGAATTTCTGGTTCCCAAAGTAAATGGTAAGCATGCCAGTTAATGGGCAACATTACAATACTATCTTGCACCAATTAACTGCTGGTAATGCTCTAGATGCACCTACTGAAGGACTTCACTTCTATCATAATGGAAACATTTTGTTTGGGTATTTGATGGAAAGACCAGATTAATTTGGCTGTATTGCATATTAGGTTGACTGCTGGTTTACTAGACCCTTGTCACAACCATGTTTATATAGCCAGCTACAGTATGCAGTAACGTAAGTCTCGCCCACACGAGGTCTCGTGATTATTATGACACTTACATACTAGTTTTCCGTTTCAAACAAAACTTTACCAGAATATTAAAACGTGAAAAGAACTAAAACAACACGCTAACAAGTACATGTAGAACACGCGATTCTGTAAAACCAAACGTTTTCCACCTATATCGTTGTCATGAATTCTTTAGCACAAAAATTTGTGCTAACATTTGTATCGATTTTACACTGCGTCATCACAAAGGAATTCTCGTTCGAACTGGGTTAAAACTTACAGGGAGGTAGTTTGGATCACGAAATTGCCTTAAAAGATGGAAACATACGTTCTCTAACTGCTTCATTGCGTTCTTTGTCTAATGTCAGATGATTTCAAATCGAAAGGGTGCATGTTGGGAATTTATGCTAATTTAAGACGTGTCGTTATTAAAAAAGCTAAAGTGAAACTACAAGAAACTGATATAGTCGTATGCTTCATATCTGTCCAGATATACCCTATTGTTTTGTTTATCAGAGTATCCTGATAGCACAATGCCCTTAAGGATCGAATTGTTACCAAACCATTGATTAACACTACTGTGATAATTTTTTCAGCGCGCTTCTCTTTCAAATAGTTGTTTCGACAATTTCACAAGAGTCATTGCAGGAGTTTCTTAAATTTCCATTACGTGTTCTTAGCCGTCTGTTCCCCCGCAAAATTGTTACAATACCATTCAACTAGTTAAACACCTGTCATTGAAGGTGATTGTACAACGCTAGATGCGTTGCATTGTACAATGGATCGGACAATTCTCTAAGAACTTTCACACCCGAAAATTTGCTTACATGTTGATATTTCAAGGCGTTAAATGGTGGTAATATAGGTGATAAATTAGTTAAATTCTAATCCTACCTCTTCTCTATACTCTTTAAACGACTCAAAACGCTTGTTTTACTTTTCTTGGCGAGATATAATGAATGCTAGCGACAGCTTTATTCCTTGGCAGTTGAGGTATTTGGCGTCTGTGTTTGGCGTCCTTCAAAGATAATCACTGACTCGTTTACAGGAACCCAATCTACGTTGACGTAATAGTTATGAGCCCGCGTTATCTGTTCTCGAAATTATTGTTCTAGGATCTAAATTTCTCCCTAGCGTCGGAACCTTTCTATCCTCAGATCCTTCCCTTTTGCGACGATAAAGTTCGGAAATAAAAGTTTTGGTTTTCGTGTTCATGGTACTGAATTACCATGCAACAATATGGTCAAATCAATGAACGGTTTCTCTTTGAAGTACCAATAGTGTTCCCAATATTTATTAAGGATATGCGATGCTCTTGATGTGAAAATCATATCCCAGCATGAAGTTCCGAGTAAGTTCACGAGAAAGCAATCGTTTTTCTCTCGTTTGTCTCGTTGAAACAACAACATCTTGTTGCAAAGCGAACTAGTTAGAAAGCGGATGAATATATACACAAAATATAAGACTACTGTTGGTAAGATATTGCTAAAGAATAAGGGACGTGGGAATATAATGAATAAAAGAAGTACCTTCCAGCTGATCCAATATTGTTCCATTAACAAAGAGATGAAGCTTTTGTATCATCATCATGAGAGCATCTGCTAAGAGCCATTGCAGTTCAGATAAACAAAAACCCACCAACTTGGAAATCACTATGAGATATGGAGTATATGTGAATTTATGATCGCTTCCGTCGTTTCGTTTTCATGTTTTGCATGAATGCACAAGTGAAAACGCAACAGTCTGGGCACAGATGAATGTAATTACCAAAATCCAAACGATGGTCAAGTTTCACCAAACTTTATTTCAACAATTGAGCATGAAGAACCAGCGTTGCTTGTGCTATCATGTTAGGTATAATATCAGAAGTCGTCTTCCTATGCTATTGCTATAGCATTCCTAACCTAATCTCTTTGTAAAATTGCAGTAACCTAGCAGAAGATAATTAGGATACTCGATAGTGATCTATTTTACCATATTAACGAGGGTCGATGAATATTCGAAGTGTTTACATTGTAACGAAAAGAAAGAATCAATATGCGTACACCATTGTAAAAGATTGCACGTTTTTGGCATAGATTTTCCTACTTGTTCATCCACTTCTACCTAGTTCATTCCTAACTTCATTATCAATTAGAATACAACCGTTTCTAACTATTTTGTCTCATTAAAGGATTCTTTGATTCATCAAAGTTCTGTCGCGGAGAAGTTTACAAAAGTACTGGCTGTTGTCTGTGGGGCAAGTTACATTACAAAGACAACCCATCGTAAAATAACTGATAAAGTTAACTACTGCTAATTACTCCTGTCAAAGAACTCCTGGAAAAGAAAAATTGAATCTAACGATCAAGCATTTCCAATGATGACTTCGGAGTAACGAGAGAGATACCAAATATTGATCAAATACATCAAATATCAATGGATATCTTAGTCAAATCTGCCAGAAAGCTTGGTTCATAAGCATTCTAACACATCCATAAGCCGCCTGGTTGACGGCTATTTCAGTCAGATCTGTCAAAACATCCAGTTGATACTCAGTCAGTAAATCAGGATGTCAAGTATTGACTTAACAAGACCAGCAGGCGCTGAAAAGCACCTGCTCTTCTGCAAATTTCTCGAAAAATTTCAAGTCACAGAAACCCCATTTAACGGACACTATTTAGAATTCTGATATGTGGTAAATGCTGTAGAGGAAAATGGAAAAGATTTAGATGGAAAGAATTCTACGTATGCATGAGTGCATTTTCCATAATAATAAGTAGTAATAATATTCCTCCTTGAACAATTATCCTCCGAGTTTAAAATAACCACTGTTTCCGTCATACTAAATCTATTTGACCTGCACTTATCAAGACGTCTTGTTTGTGTCTAATTAATCACGCTGAACATTTTCTACGCTTCTGTGTGTATGGAGTGATCGTGGTTGTCAGTTTTCGTTATAGTGCGTTAATTATGTTAATTTCATGGTCATGACCCCCGCGGGGGGTCGTATCATCGTTCATCTAATATCATTCAACGACACTCAACATCGTTGACTATTGTCGAACATTCTTCAACATCCCTCAACATCCTCTAACCTCGTTCACAACTGTTCAGCATCATTCACAACTATCCAGCATCATCCTCCCATCCGAGTCATGAGTTGTCACCATTCAACATGAACATGCTTCGGGGATCTGGGGCCGGTTGTATGAAAGCCGGATAGCGCTATCCAGCGGATAGTGATTTTTTCAACCGTTCTAAAAATGCTTGAAAAGCGATAAAAGTTCATTTTTGGAACAAGCAATTATTAAAGAGGATACTCGATTTAGGAATACTAAGATTTAATTAAAGTTACAGCAAACAACGGGCGATTTTAAAGCGATTGAAAAAATCACTATCCGGCGGATAGCGCTATCCGGCTTTCATACAACCGTCCCCTGTAGTGTAGGTGCACCAAAGGTAGTATACCTTCGAGGAACTCACAGCACTACCCCAGTGCTCTGATCCTGTCGTGAGCGTAGTACCGTATATGTAAGCTCTTTTGAGCCGTTTGTCTAGGCCCAAGCTTTACCACAGCCTTACTGAATCGAATATATGATATAGGGCTATGATCAGAGATCCTTTGAATTGAATATGTGGATAGAGAAGGTGCATATTCGTTACTATTAAAATATTTAATGCCCAGGGGCCAGTTGTATGAAAGCCGGATAGCACTATCCACCGGATAGTGGTTTTTTCAATCCCCTCAAAATCGCCCGTTGTTTGGTATAACTTCGATTAAATCTTAGTATTCCTAAATTAAGGATCCTCTTTAACGATTGTTGGTTCCAAAGCTGAAATTTTATTGCTCCTCAAGCATCTTTAGAACGGTTGAAAAAATCACTATCCGGTGGATAGCGCTATCCAGCTTTGATACAACCGACCCCAGGGGCCAGTTGTTCAAAGCTAGGTTAGCGCTAACTCCGGGTTAAATTTTACTCCACTGTTTTGGTTTATATGCTTCTGCACCGCTGTTTGTTTCAAGACTTTAGAAAATAAGACTTTTATTGATCCACAAAGAACTTCATAAACGAGCGATTAAACAAATTGATGTAAAAATTTGAGTTAACCCAGGGTAAAGCTAACCGGCTTTTGAACAACCGGCCCCAGCCCCTGGCCTTTTTCTATGATCAAACGATCGCGACTGTTCTAGCATTTTCGTCATTCTCCTTGGTGCCCTGTGGGATCAGATTTGGAAAACAAAGAGACGCCCACTTGACACACCCTGGTCGCCTTCCAATTCACACCTTTGGATTTCCAAGAAAGAAGTAATGTTAATAATGTTATCATGCCTGTTTCAAAAATACAACACGAGCTGATTCCTGCCGAAGAAAAAGAAATGACTGAGCGTTCAACAGCTTCAAGCGCTGGGACAACTGAAAATGTTGAAGAAGAAAAATTTGATGAAAACTTCTGGCTTATGGTACAGATGTATCAATTATTAATTATATCAATACAAAATGTTATTATTCTATATTCTGTATGTTCGATCCAATTTTACGTAAAGGAATTGCCCCTGTTGTGTTACAGGACAAGCGACTTTTTTTCTTAACTGAGTCATTAAATCACATTAATTGCCCTGTCAGTTTGACACTTTATAACTGGTCAATGTCAGGTGGTTTATATACTTGACAACAGAAGTATTTTTTACGCATCTACACTTATCCTAACGTACCGAATCTCTAGTAAATAATCAATTGGCAAACCTTAACAACCTAAAGTAACCCTTATTATTCTAACCCAAACCAACTTTGTCACTTAATTCCCAAAAGGATATTCCCACTCTTAATTCCACTCAATCACTAAGGATTCTCTTAAAATTTAATGAAATTGATTTGATTGTAAATTAGCCTCAGCAATTTGCCAGACAGCAGTAGACAAGAAATAGGTTTTATTGTGCTAGATATATAGATAACACATAGGATTTATAAATCCTGAATGGCAATGCATTCATGATTCCCCTTGTATGAGTAGTGATAATGTAGACACATGACAGTTTTATCAGTTTTGCATGATGATATTTTTGGACAATTCTGGAGTCAGTGATTTCTTCAGGTCAGGTCTATCAACTCAAGTCTATCATTAAATAGAGTCTATCATCTAGTCTATCATTAAATAGAGTCTATCATCTAGTCTATCTAGTCTATCATTAAATATAGTGAAAAATAACCTTATGGAGGGAACTTGTGAGCTGTTATAGTAGCTAGGTTGCAAAAATTTAGGTTCTTGCTGACTTTTGGGTTGGCAAAAGAAAAAATATCATGACAATTATAGTTAACATTTAGGTTGAAAATAAAGTGAAGGAGGAAGGTATACCATGGAATAAGGCAATGGACAAAGTCAGGGCAGAAAGACTGGTGACAAGATATGGTAACCAAGAAGCTCTGGTGGTCCTTATTCGCAAGTGGCCAAAGATGACACAGTTTAAAGAAAAACCAGAAGTGATAACAAGCTTGGAGTACTTGGTATGACTTTTAAAATGATAATTATTATACTTTTAATAAATATTTACGGGGAATTATTAAGCTAACAGAGATTGGTATTTAGCTGTGGCAGAATTTCCTGCCCTTTCCTCTGCAGTGTCAAATTTTGTGATTAAATATTAATTATTATGTGTTGATGTCATCAATGAGTGACCTTTATCCAACTGTCCTGTAGATTAGCAGACTAGCAGAAATAATTCTAGATGAGGACAAAGAAACAGATTATGTTGATTTTTATGATGAAAAGGCTGATGGATCACCCAAAACCCTTCTGCATCTGGCAGCTGAGCAAAACTTTCTTCATGTCTCAAGAAGCCTAGTTGACCGTTTTCCTGCCCTTTTGTACGTAAAGACCGGAGAAAAACAAATAAGTAAAGCTATCTTACCTGTTGAATTAGCTTTACGAGAGCATCAAGATGACACAGCCGCATATCTCATATCTCAAATGCTTGCTCCTCGGTGAGTAATACAGCTTACACTTGGACTCGGAGGAGAAAAACATCCTCATCCTTCTCATGTGAATTTAAATGAAGGATGGAACAAGGGTGATTTAATCTATGGAAGGGGTGTAGATTAGTTTCCAGGCATGGGTTGGGTTACAAGCACAAACTTTGGGGGAATGTATTAGAATGTGTGCATGTTTGAAAAATTATAAGAATGAGTATGCTGCAGATACTGCATGATGACATCTGTTAGACAGTGCCAGTGGAATGTAACTATATTAAATTTACTCGAGTTAGATATTTTTCTTATTTTTTTCTAGTGTTACAAAGCTGTTCCTTTATGATAACAATACCGAATCAGTAAAATTTAATTTTGGTGAAATTATTAGTTATCGTAATCCCAGGACGAATGAATATGCAATGAAGGTAAACTTTGAAGACTAGATCGTCTTTAGGACAAATCTCAAGGCGAGGAATTCTCCATAAATCTTCAACATCCAACAACAATAAAGGCAACATGTGTGAATATCTCCTTCTGTTGTAGTTGAGAACATCTGTGCACTTAATTTCTCGGTATGAGGGGCCAGTTGTACAAATGCTGGATATGATATATTAAAGAAATATAGTGTAATTACATAGCGCCGTGTAAATATTTGTATTTTCAGACCGTCCGTTGGCTGTTCATGAACGAGTTTACCACACTTTATAGGAATCGCTTAATAAGAAGTTATTTAAGTCAACTTCGGCATATTTAAATTAATTTATAAACAAAACTCTGTCTAATTGCGTTTGTCTAATTGTTTTTTGATAACAGAAAACGGTCGTGGCTGTGTTGAACAAATTGATTAACCCTCATTGGCCGTACCAGCCTGACCGCACAGAGGTCGATGAAGACAATGTTGAAATCCAGCGAGCCTTGGACAGTGTTCCAGACGATCCAATGAATTATGACTTTCACTATCACATCCTAGAAACTGACGAAAATGGCAGAACGCCCAAGATCATAACCAAGTCCAAGGCCAAGAATAAAGATTCTGAATTTGTTGATCAATCGTTTAATCATAGATCAATGTCCTGTCTCCAACGCATTGCTGACAGTGAGAATAAGGTATTGTACCAATAGCTTACTATAGAGTGGACTGGCCTGGTGATGGTGTGAATTGTCATTTGAACTAATCAGAACTAGACGTGCAACTATTTGACTGAGTCGTGTGCTATCCTATGCTAAAAAACCCTTAACTAATCTGAACTCTGGGCTGAACTTAATACATTTAGATTTATTGAATTGCATTGAATTGGTTAAGTCCAGTCCGGTTGATGTAGACTGGTCTCAACTGGTGTAGACTGGTCTGAACTGGTTTGGCTGGTCTAGTCTAAACCGTCTTGTCTAGTCTAATCCGGTCTGGTCTGGACTGAGCTGCCATGGTTAGACTGAATTGTGGTTAGACCCAAAATGAACAGTTTGGATGGAACTAAACTGTGTAGACTGCGTAGTGCACATGACTGAAATGGGCCGGACTTGACTGCACGTTTCTGAACTACCGTGAACCAAATTGGAATGAAACGTACATATTGAATGCACTTGAATGAATGGAGTTTATATATGCCTACATTACAGGCCCATTTATGCCAATAATTATTGCTTAAATTGATAGGAAGCTGTGAAACACCCGGTCGTTCGCATGTTGGTCCTCAGAAAATGGAATGAATTTGCCTTCAATTGGTTTTGGTGAGAACAACATTTGAGTTCTAATCTAACTTTATTTACCCTGCCGACTTCCCAAGGAATAATAATACATTTTAACAACAATGTCTTGACAATTTCTTTTAGTTTCAAGGCTGTCCTTTATCTCATATTTTTGGCGGTATTATCATATGCGCTCATGTTTGGCTCCACTCGTGACGATCCAGCGCAATACGATGGCCCGGCTGATAATTTTCGAGCAGTTTGTGAAATAGCCAGTATCATCTTTCTCATTGTACACCTGCTTGATGAATTTGGTGAAATGGTCAGGTAGAAACATTCAGTATACTATGTATATGTTACTACCCAGGTTAAGATATTACAAGAGTGGTTATGACCACAGTTGAATAATATCATCTAGAATGAAATACTATAGTAGGATCCGCCTTTTGCTGTCACTTTTATTTGTAGTGCATTAGCAGTTGACACAACAGTTATTGATAGGATAGTGTGGGGTAATTTGAATCAATTGGATTAGATGGAGTGTGGTAGGGTGAGTGCAAGGGGTTAAGTTCGGTTCAGGTAGGATTAGATAGGGTGGCCGTAGGTGGGATAGGTGGAGTGGCTATTCATAGGTAGGGTGATTTGGATGGTAAGCTGTGGGTAGTGTGGTTAAGGAGATGGTACGCATTAGATGGGATGCATGAGGGTGTCGGATGATGTGAGTGAGACACGGGGTAGGATAAATTTGGATTGACGTGGGTGATTAATACACGACCTGCTATTATTAAATCGTGGTCATGAAATAATATGTCCTCATTTATGCCAAATATCGTCCCTGCAGAGAAAAAATAAGCTACTTCGAAGTTTGGCACAACTACCTGGACTTACTTGGTATTATCCTTACCCTGGTCGTCCTTCCTCTCCGCTATGCCGAGGTTAAAGCACAGTGGAGCTTCGCTGCTCTTGGTTTGTTATTCAATTATCTTCGTCTGTATAAATTTTCTCACGTCTCGAGGTAAGCTTATATAATTTCGTAAATTACCTTCACAAACAGTTAAAGGTTAATGTGGTAATTATTATCATTCAAAACTTGTAGAATCACAGGTCTTTACACCACGACTCTGGTAAAAATAGTCCAGAAAGACGTCCCTCGTTTTTTGATTTTCTTCTCTGTGGTATTCGTCGGATTTTGCGGAGCAATGTATTTGGCTCTGAAAGTGAACGACAAGCAAGATTCGTTCGGGTAGTTAATGTCAAATTGCTCTTGTTTGTGCTGTTGTATATGCCTGTCATAAATTCACAATATATTTTCAACCTATTTCTATTATTCAGTGGTTTCGCTTGGCTGATGTTGGCTGGTTTCAGAGCTCTTGCAGAACAACAATCGTTAGAAGATGACTACCAAAAGTTTAGGTAACATCTTTCATAGACACCGTGAATGTTTAAATCACTTCTATTCGATATTTTATACCACTTGATCTATAATTTATCAGTTCTTTTCAAAGAGCTGAATGACCAGTGATCGGTGATTCACGCTGTGATCGTTTGTAAGTGGTATTCTTTTATCTCTGTTTTCCAGTTGGCTGCCAATTATTATTCTTCTTGCATACATGATGGTCGTAATTGTAATCTTACTAAACATCCTCATCGCTCAACTCAGCTCCACTTACGATGAAGCAAAGAGAATCGCCAAACTGCAATACGCTGCTGATATAATGAGGATTGTCTCCCGGGTGGAGTACAGCCCAATTCGATATTTTGTAAGCGAAACACAATAAAGCAGTGCTGGGCAAAAGTTTTCGGCACACCCGGTATTCACGATAACTTTCTTAGCTTGGTTGGAATGCCGTTGGATGCATTTGCATTATTTTATTCGTCAATACAAATGTGTACATTTGAAAAATATTTCAATAATATATTTTTCGTATATCATATACGTGAAAATTCTGACTGGTTAGAAAACTCAAGATTTCAACAAAGTTGTGATATTTAGCGGGTGACCCAAACTTTTGAATTGTACTGTATTGCATGCCAGGGCATACACAGTGAAACAATCTGGCGATAGAGTACATTTTTATCTTAATTATCCCATAAAGTTGCCTTTTGCAAACGAACAGTTTTGTCAAACTCGTAAATCTGAAAGTGGGAACTTTCAGCAAGATTTTCGACCAGTGTATGACTAATTCTAGGGTGGCGTATTCTGTTGGCGTATTTTCGTAATATTTCATGTTAACGACTTCTGATGGTTTTATTTTCTCTTTCGTTGAAGAGTTTAAGAGTAAGAAAATACAAACATGCCGATTGGATCAACGACGAGGAATTGGCCAAAGGTACGTCTTTCATGATTTCAGTACACTAGAAGTTGTTTATCACGATACACAGAGAAGAATAGACTAAATGATAAAGATTCTCAGATGCTTGCTGGCTTGTATAACCTTCTTGTAAATAATCCACCATTTAAGTTCGAAAGACAAAATCCGAATTTAATGCATGTGACGAGAGCTGCATGGATAAAGCACTCGGCTTGGAGCGCACTTTGGGCGTCACATCAAACGGCATAGAATTAAGTACGGAAGCCAACTGATAATAAATATAATGTTTCGCTAAGAAGTATATTTGTTTTTCTTGTAGAAATGTTGGAGTACACGGAAGATAGACACCCTTGGGAGACAGTCAGGGAAAGATTAGCTGACGTTAGGTAATAACTAATAGAACTCCTTTCCTGTATATTTAAAGACCCGACGGTTGCCTCTGTGCATAAATGAAAAAAGTTGTTGACCATGTTTGCATCGCCAAGACAAATGTACTAGTTTATCTCTGAAACATTAATCTTAAATAAAATATTATTTATCTTCAGAGAAATTATGGGGAGGCTTGTGAGAAAAGGCAAAGAAAAGGATCCTTTGGAAACTATTGATGAAAAAATAACTCGAGTCGTGTATGTAGATGTTATTTTTAATTTACCAACTAAGAAAAATTTGGACATCTCTTCGTACATACGGCTGTCGATAGCCAGGGTTTATGTGGTTTGGCAGACACCCGCTTGACAGAGCTATTTACTTTTATCCTTATAAATGAAGCTGGCTTATCTTTAATCGTGGTTTGGCCTGAGTTAACCTTTGGAGTGAGCGAAATTATCCTTACAGGACTTCCATTGGAAGAATAGTTCATACTGAGTAAAGTTAGTGTAGTTTAGGTTTCCTGCTGTAGTAAAACTGGATCAGTAAGAGATGATCCTTTATCCTTACTAGATCTCTAGGATGATCCGTTCAGAACATTTTAGGATCCCCTTAAGAATCGATTGTGTGTTTTCTTTTAAATCATTCGCATTCGTTTCAACCGTTTAGGCTTTATTTGTGATTATTTTTATTTCTTTCAGGGAGATTTTGGAAAAGTTCCCCGAAGCAAACGTTTTTGGGGAATAAACCACTTGTCATTCTCTGCTCAATTTACTTGTTTCTCACGCTGACAAGCGTGGTTTTTATGTGCTAAATATCGTAGTATTTGATAAAGAATTTTGATTCGTGTCCAACACGCATACATGAAACTTCTTACACTAAGGACAGGCCTAGTTATATTTGTCAATGAATCTGTCTTAACGCGAGCACCTGGCCTGTTGCAGAACTACCAGAAAGCTATCGTCAGTTATCGTGGACCAGAGACCACGATACAGCAATATTCGTGCTTTATATTTATTTGAAGTTGTCATATTTGCTTCTATTTAATGGGTCTCTGGTGAAACCAGGTTCATACTGAAGGCCCTTACATCGACAATGATAATTTTTAGACCTAGATAAGAATATATATTCTCAAATATTGTCCGTCATTGTTTATTGAAGTGATTCTTTCAAATTTCCACTGCACGCTAATTGCGCGATAGCTAGCATGCATTCCTAGAATCTAAATCAATCTATGGCTCAACAGTTTACTGCCCCCCCCCGGCTGAACGAGATTGAACTGAACTGTCCAGGTATAAACTGAACTAAATTAAAGCTACGCATATGTTAAGCAAGAAGCGCAAGACCGGAACATTTAACGCAGATTTAGGACAAGTTATATTGCACCGTTAATGGAAGGTTATTGAAAATGGTTTTTATCTGGAATTTTTTTGACCATGTAGTAATACTTGCCCCAGACCGCGCGGTCAAATGCAATATGGCCTATGATATGGCGGCGATTTTTCAAATCAATCGTTTCAGTGATGTATATTTTTGCAGCGAAAAACCTCATGAATTATACCTTTCTCAAAATATTACGTTGTAAAAGATGCTCTATTTATTCCGTATGAAACCAGGAACGTCTTTTCCGTCTAATCTTCATCGATTCACAATGCTGAGAAGTTTGTTTGCAAGTCTTCCAGAATGACCAAGCTTTTCAAAGGTTTGTTCAGCATTTTGTTTATAAGCTATGTGTGTTAATTTGGTTAGAAATGTAATGCTCACTCAAATTCGATGTAAGTTCATGTAACTAACAGTCTAACACCAAATAATGGTCTGAATCTCTGAAATCGGTTATATTTTTGGCAGTAGGTAGTTTAGTTGAGGTTGTTGTAGGTTGCATCGGACTGTCAGTTCACACCAAACTACTGCTTACTGATTAGACAGTAAACTGTAATAGCATAACTAACTGTTAAACTAAGTGTTAAAAAAACATCGTATTTTGTGGATATTTAGATTGGCTTTCCCCCCCAGAATTCTAAACAGGACCTGCCAATAAAAACGTATTTCTCTTTTCTATTAGTTAAAAAACAATAACTTTTTTATTTTTTTCATTATGTTTACAAAACACAGTATCTAACTGATATCTCTATAGTAGTGTAACTAATGTGCCTCTACACCATGTGATTTTAAAATAAAACAGGGATGGAAATTTTTTAGGGGAGGTGGGTGAGGTTGCATGCACCTCCCAAAGCCAACACTAGAGTACGTTCAAGTTTTAGGTAACTACTACTTTTGTCTACTTATTTTAATTATTACTATTTTATCTAATGAGTTTGGGATCTAATTTGACCTTATGACAATCTAAGCAGCAGGTCTCTAAAATTTTCCTAATAAACACAAGTTCTACTATCCCTTATAGAATTGAAAATAGGTTATTCAGCTGGTAAATATTGCAAACAGTTACTGCATTAGTGTTTGCTATAATCAGGACCATAGAGTCTCATCCAAGATTGCAGTGCCAAGGCCGTTCATATTGTCTCTTATGAGTTCAGCATCTGCGTTTTCAAAATCCACATTTATACAAATACATTTTTGTTTGTTCTCTGGTTGGAGTGGTGAATCTTTGAAGCAAAATGGAATTATTTTTCTTTCATTTTGAAAGATTGTGTCTCTCTTCAATGAATCCAAGTCGTAATCTGTCAGAAAACATACAAGGACAATGTGGCGCTTCGGCTCTTCCAACTGCTTTTTCACCCATGTTTCTATCTTTTCTTTCTCAACTTCTAAAGGCACCTTCAAGAACATGAAATCACTTTTATCCTGGTCTTCTTCGGGTAGTGGAGGATTGGTGATTTTCATGCTACTTTCATCCCCCCATGCATTCACTGCATCACAGAAAGGAATCATGTGTGGTCTTTCAGAATTACTGTATAAAACAATTACGCCTAGTGCTCTTGTTTGTGGAGGCTTTTTGGATTGTTCAGGCTTTTTGGGTGATTTGGGAGCATCTTTTGGCTTTTCACTTTCATGTTGCCCAGGTTTGTCAGATATCCCACCCATTATCCTGTTAAAGAAATTAAAGCTCTATTTACAATACAGTCAAAATAATGGCAGGGTGTGGCTAAATCTGGTACCCCTGCCCAATTTTATTAGTGCTCAGGCTACCAATACAAAGGCTGGAGTTCACACTTCCAATTGCTTAAAGCTATCGCAACAAAACATTAATCTGCAGGCTTTGCTAAAATCCTGTTCTATCCTTTTTTTATTCGTCAGTTTGTATTTTAATTTTTGGTCAGTTTTGGTCAGTTAATCGTTTTTTAATACCAGACTAACCAGAGGTGGGTTGACCTGGGTGCAAAGCACTAGCATGCAAATTGTTGATTTGTTAAACCCCAATACACCAACCCATCAATTTTCTTCTGATTGGCGAGTCTTTATTAGGAGGGTAGTGAAAGGACATTCGCCTTCTAGAATTCGAAAATGCTAGGTGATGAGGTTTCTGAAAAATCTGAATACTATATGTATGGTCTAATTGGTCTTGTATGCATGGAGATTAAGGGTTAGTGTTTGCTCTCTTGGCTGTGTTGCTGAACACTGCATATACTCTGTTACCTGTAAGTCAGATACCTGATCAATAATACTACCCACTCAAATGAAATTATCAGGTATTTGGTAAAGCAATTCTAAGTCCCATCATGCATTTCTAGACACAAGGATGCAATTTCACATCTAAAGTAAACCCTCTGAAGCTTGACCTTCCGATCTTATTGCAAAATTTATGCCTTTTTGCTCGGTATTTATACCAACGTTAAGCGCATCCCATTGCTCAGGAACAGCTCGTGAGGTTGTAGCAATAAATACCAGAATCTACGTTCCTCCAATAATTTGTTTGACTTGTCAGTATATGGCTATGGCAATTTCTTGAAATTCGATTAAGCAGTTCGATAAAATTTGTTATTGGCGACCAGAGAACACACATGTTGCAATTTTGTTACATTCAGAGGCAATTGCAACATTGTTTGACTTACACCCAAATCATGTGTGAATTTGGTGATAAAACAGTTACCTGATGTTGTGTTTAAACAAGATATAAAGGACGCAACATATCTTCACACTAATTTACCTAACGCGTTGAAGTACATACGACACCCAGTATATCCAAAAAGTGGAGTGTACCTCAATACCTACCTTGTTCTTGAACCCTGCTGACAACCCAAAACGTGACCAGTGCGTTTCTGTAAACCAGATTAACGTGTCTTGATGAAATGTCCCAAAAAGTTGGTATAAAGGTGGAAAGCGAAGGAGACACGAGAGGCGTTGTTCATGAAGGTCTCGGTAGCGCCGTACCGGACAAAAAAACATCGGTGACGTCATGAGTACTTTGAGCCCGCGTTAAACATTTTCGCAGTACCCTTATTTAAGATTTCAAATTGTGCACCAGACTTCTACGAATTGGATACCTTACCACGGGATTCTGCATGTTGCGTCGAAATGAGACTGTAATGAATTTGTGACAGTCCGAGGCGAGAGAATGCTGAAACCCTGCATGTGGACGGATGCAGCTCATAGAAGGGTTTTTTGCACTGAACATTTTGCCGCGATGTTTTTTTGCATAATTCGCGCGGTTTGTTTTAGGTCTCTGTGTGCGGTCTTGGTTGCGTGGTCTTATTTTTTGCAAGAGTCAGTGCGCTGACAAAAAATGGAACTTATTCCGACTGCTTCCTTGAGCAGAACTCTAGAGATCATATTTCCCGAAAATTGGCATCAAAATTGTTTTTAAAAAAATAGGAATTGTCGCGATTTTTGCGTGGATAAAACGGTGGTCTAAACTCCGCGATCCGCATAGCGTACCTATTTTTTCGAACTTTGTGAGTCATCCAGGCTATATATTCGGATCAGTTTAATTATCCATTTATCTTTTGAGGTCAGTTGAGTTATCACAAGTTATCAGTGGTTAATATTCCATTAATATCTCATGTCATTACATTTCAGATTGAGATCAGTTTCACCGTTGTTTCACATTCCAGTGACATGTCGAGGCCAGTGTTCTCAGCAACGATCAGTGGCAACGATCCGTCACTCCAGTATATCCAATGGGTCCAGACCACTGGTCCAGACAGACCAGACTTATAATAATATGGGTCCAGACCAGTCAGATGAATAAACCATCATGAATAAACAATAGTTTATTCATCTCAATTGTCCAGACTTATGGGTCCAGATCACCTATATAGCCGCGTTTACACTACGTGCTTTGACCTGGCCTGGACCAGACCTAGGCTAAAGGTGTGAACGTTTGTTTATCCCGCCTAGACCAGGCCTGGACCTCTAGGCTCTAGGCCACAAAACCTCACCTGGAGCACGATTTTTCTAATGTGAACGGGCTTTACCTAGTCTAGTCCTGACAAATTTTAAACTTAATAGTATGATTTGTATAGGATCCATACTAGTATTAACACTTTTCGACGTGTTTTGGGTCTTGCTTCAAGTATTTTGTCATTTATTTTGGCTCTCCAATATCATCAACAAGAAAGCAGTGTCAGTGTGAACGTGGCACATATCACCTAGATTTTTCCCAGTCCAGGCGAGATCAGGGCCCCTAGTCTGTGCTCTAGTGTAAACGCGGCTTATGAGACCACCGATTCTGGAATTATCACCGAATTCCTGCTCGAATGTACGATTGTATCAATTATGATTGTATAATTATGTAAATTATTCCAACCATGTTCAAATATAGAGGAGACGCCCTTTGAGGTATTAAATTTCAAGCATGATATTGTAACCAAACGGTGGCATGGCCGATTATAAGGCGGTTCCGTTAAATGAGACTGAAAATATCAGAGAAATGGAGGAAAGACAGGCAGCTTCTAACACGGATAAGCCTTTTGAAATGCCAAAACTTAGCAAAGAGGACTGGGTGAAGGTCAGAAGATTTGATGTGATATAATACCATTATTCACGTGCTTGTTTTGATTTCTCTGTGATTTCATTGGCTATCTTTTCTGTGTTGGTTTATTTTGAAATGTATTAGTTAAATCTGTGTTGTTATTAGTTAAATTACCAGATTGTAACACTATTGTTTACCTGATTATAAATCTTGAATATCGAGATAATGGAGTAAAATCCAGTAGACAGTATGTCAACGTGTATTGATTGTCAGTATGTATACACACTGTAAACACAAGTATAACTAATGTTTGCGTTGTAATTACATTGCATTGTAGCATCTCTGATTTCTACATACTACAATTGTTTGAACTTCATACTTTTATAGACTCATGACATGCATAATAAGATGCAATACTGGGCTACAGAAAGTTGTCTGTTTTGTTTTCTGTTACCTATCAGAAAGAGATGATTTTCGTATAGGTTTCCATTCTGTGACTCATGGGCTTTTCAATGTAAATTGTCCCCTTCTCCTGTTGAAGAACCATGGAATTCCTTGGTGGTTGCTAAAATGTGTCCTTGGGGGTTTACAACTAAAATATGTCCTCAGGGGTTTATAATCAAGAGAAATGTATCTTATATATAGTCGATACATAAATATAGCCTATACATAACCTTCCTTCAGGTTAATGTTAAAGTTGAAAAGGAAGGCCTATCCTATAGTGAGGCTGTAGATAAAGTCAAAGCTGAAAAACTCATTGAAAATGAAGAAGATGGTAATCGTGGTACTGACCCTCTGATAGTTATGTTAAAAGAGTGGCCTAAATTAGAGGAAAATAAAGACTCAAAACGTTTGGCCAGTTTGGAATACCTGGTAAGATGTGGAAAAGTATATAGTAATAATGATATGAAACATACTGAGGAGGATATTTTTGTCAGCCCTATTTACTAACCTCATTTCTGCAGAAAAATCTGCATGTATTTTCAGACATTTTGGGAAAATTTCCAATATATTCTAGATTGGCCGACTGACCAAAATCATTTTGGAGAAAGATAAAGGAATTACTGAAGTAAAAGAGGGAAAAGAAAAAAAGAAAAAAAAGTACAATGAATTTTTTCGTGATGATAAAGATTCATTAAAACCTACATTACTTCATATGGCTGCTAAACTGAACTACGCTCAAGTCTCAAAGATGCTGGTAGAGCATTCCCCAAAGCTTATGTATGCGATAACAGCGGATAGTGTATTACCATTGCAGGTTGCCTTAAGAAACTTTAGAGATGATACTGCTTCATATCTCATATCAAGGATGCAGTATGATCGGTATGTAATAATTGCTTTTTGGGAGTGTTGAAAAATTTGGATGTATGAACTAGCTTATATGAGTGTAGTCAAGTATGCATTATATTTTGGTTTTGACTGTGCTTTTCTTAGTTGTTTCAGTAGAAAGCTAAGTCCTTGAATAGCCATGCAAGTTCCAGTCAGAACTAACTTGCAGAGAGTGTATGTTTATTTCTAGGAGTAATGCCTATTCTACTTTGGAAAACATTCATTTATGATTGTTTTTTAAAAGTGTCCAACAGCTGTTTCTGCACAGTAAGGGTAAAAACCAAAGGACCCTAGTTTTGGAGAGATCATCGGTCATCGTGATCCTAAAATGAAGGTACATGTTGCATTTTGTGTTATGAACCTCTCAAAGTTCAAACCCAACCTGCAATCAAGCCTGAGACAAGGTGACTGGATTGATCCCCAACTTTAACATGACCTAGTTGCATCACTGGATTCTGTAGCGTTGCCTGCCTGACAATTTATCTGGTTATACTAATATTTTGGTTTTCATAGACTGTAAAAACGATGAATTTCTAAAGACACAAGTAATTATAATAACTTGATATTTACATAGTGGAACAAAATTGCCAGGCTGGCTATGCCACTGCATGATTTATATATCCATTTCTGTCAACTACTAAAACCTCTGCCAACAAGAGATTTGACTTGATTTAATCCCATTACTGTTCTAGAAAACAGTTACAGCAGTATTAAACAAATTGATCGATCCTGTTTGGCCATACCTTCCGAACCGTGAAGATCGAGAAGAAAGTGGAAACAGGAATGACATTACAAAAGCATTAGAAAGTGTTCCAAATGATCCCTTGGACTATGATTTCTATTATCACATTCTTGAAACTGATGATAATGGAAATGTGCCTGATGATGATTCAAATTTCAACAAAGAATCTGTATCGTGCCTTCGACATATTGCTGATTGCAGTACAGATGATAAGGTGTATATTAGTCAATCTGCTTGACCTAGCTACTGAGGTCTTAAAGTTGAGACTAATCTGAACCATGACAAGCAGTGCTAATTGCTAAATTCAGTGGCATAACACAACCATTGGGGGCCCTCCATCCATCAGCCATTTGTAGCCCCCCTTTGCTCCACTAAAATTGGCTGAATTCACAACTTGCATGAACACAAAGCAATCTTCAATTGCATATATATGTGAATGGAGAATAAATCTATATTACTATGCTGAGATTACGCCTCCAAAATTCATAATAACATAATATTAATAGGCTGCCTATACCATGTCTGTGGATAGTAATTTTATTTTCCATCCCGTCACTTCACACCCTTCCATCCATACACATGAAATTTCATTAAACTATCATTTCATATCACAGGAAGCTGTTCAGCATCCAGTTGTTCGGATGTTAGCGGTAAAAAAATGGAAAAAATTTGGCTTCTGGTGGTTTTGGTAAGTTTGAGGTCGATCCAGTGTGGTATTGTTGGAAGGGGGGGGGTGTGCAGGCCTGTTTGTAGCCATGGAGTGTGGTGCAAGCAGTTGAGCTGTAATAAGAAACATTAGAATGTATGCTTTTTTGAAAAATCCTAAAAATTGGACCCATCCCCTTGCACCCCTCCCCCCCCTCCCCTCATACCAGGGGTGCACCTGCTCTCCTTCTCCATGGTAGATCCATGTCTGCTGTATGTTAAAGCAACATTTCTTGATTATTTCATACCATTGCCTAATGTACACCGTACAAAATATTTATCAGCCAGATACCATAGTTTAATCTGTTTGTATTATACGCTCATCTTTTGTGCATCTCTTCCTTTCACCGCTGACGTACATCTCCTGTTATTTCCTAGTTTTGAGGCTGCGTTGTATGCATTATTCTTCACGGTATTGTCATTTGCTCTCATCTACGGCTCTACCCGTGACCATCCAACGAGATACGAAGGCCCTGCTGATATATTTCGAGCGCTCTGTGAAATCTGTAGCATCATTTTCTTAATGGTCCAGTTCGTTCAGATGACATTTGAAATAGCAAGGTTTGTCTAAATGTCTGAAAAGTTTCTACATTCACTGTCTTTCGTGAACCTGTCGGACTTCGAAATCAGCGCCACTACTTTAGCTTTCCAGTCAAACACGATAAATTCAATTACCACTGGCACTGGTTAGGTATTGATCACTGACCTATATTAGACCATAATATGAACTATCTAATATAGGTCAGTGGTATTGATACAGTTGATTACTTGAATAACTTGATTGTCTCCACTGTGACTTTTGTAACTATTTTGGCTCAGAATGCGTGCCCAGCTCCTACCTGTAAGTTGGTATTCTGTGCCAGATGACTTTACTGTCAATTGCGTTTTGTGACTTGTCGTTGTTTAACAAATTTTTTCTTTACAGAGAGAAAAGCCGTTATTTTGATTTTTTCAATTGCATCAATATATTGAGCATGATCATTTTTATCCTCTTTGTTATTCCACTTCGTTTTGTTGAATCGAATTCTCAATGGCTCACAGCTGCGATTGGTTATCTTCTGTGCTTCATACACCTCTTTAAATATTCCAATGTTTCAAGGTAAACGTTTGTATTCTTCTTACAATTTATTATTCGTAACCCTACCCGTAGTCTGTTGTATACAGTTTCTCATAATCAAAGGTGTTGTGCATTCAGAAGACCTTAAAAAATAGGGTGGCAGGAATGTTGTTGATTATTAGTCAAGCATCGTTAAACCTCAAACTGTTTTATCCTTATAGAATCACTGGTCTTTACACTACAACGATTGTGAAAATGATCATGGAAGATGTCAAACGTTTTATGCTGTTCTTTGCTGTGATATTTATTGGATTTTGTGGAACAATGTTTTTGGCTCTGAAAGTCGACGGTACCCAGGATTCGTACAGGTATGTTTTCATACGATGTTGTATTCTCAATCAAACCACCTTTTCTTCATTTCGACCTCATCCTTACCTCAAACAATCCTCCATTACCTCAAACGATCCATCCGTACATCATTCGGTCTATATCCTTCCTTTTAACCAAATTATAGCTTTTCCTCGATAATGTTGGGTGGCTTCAAAGCTCTTGTTGGACAAGGAACACTGGAAGAGGACGATGAGAAAAAGTTCGGGTAATTTGCTACACTTATCTATATCAAATATTCTCTAAAATATCCTTGTCTTCAAGGCAGTCGTTATACCATATTTGATAAGAATCAAATTTGTATTTTGTATCGTATTTTTAATAGTAATCCAACATGGGCGGTTGTTCGAAAGGCGTTGAGCCTAAACGGTGGATAAGTTCAAAATGGAAAACAAAATTATCTACTTTTTAAACAACTGAGCTGAAATATTTCGATGTAAATAGTTTAATTGTCAATAGATGTAGTACATATTAAATGCATAAGATGCAGGTTCAGTCATTCACAAGATCCATTAGAGTATTTTTAAGCTTTGGCTTATCCGCCGTTTTAAGCTAAACGCCTTTCGGACAACCGGCCCCAGCCAGTTATGTAAAGCTGTTTATAGTGACGATGGTTCTCTGGGGTTTTTTAGCTGGTTAGCGAGTGTTGTTCTCCTGGTCTACATGGGAGTATTGACGGTGATGTTGCTCAATATTCTCATTGCACAATTCGGCTTCACGTACGCCGAAGCAAGAAAGACGGCGAGAATTCAGTACGCAGCCGATATCATGCGTATTGTCACTCGTTTGGAGTACAGTAGATTTGAGAGATGGGTAAGCACGCAGAGGTGCAAAACCTTTAGGTTTATCGTGTTGCCACAATCATAATTTATTACCAGAATGCTTTTCTCGTCGGTAGGGAGGAGTAATCTATAAACTGTAGTAATCTATAATCTTTCCCTTGATGTAATGTGAAAAGCATCCCTTCCCCCTCCCTCTATAGTCGTATAGGTTTCGTTAAGGCATTTTCCTAATGTATCGTGGAAACCCTGACTTTCCTTGCATGTCATGCGGTAATGCGCAACGCAATCTCAAACCAACAGCTATATCACGGTAAGTTTCATTAAGTCGAACAATTTTTCTTTAAAAGAATTACCGAGAGAATACATACGAACCGGGTGCCAAAATGACGGACGAAGAATTAGCGGAAGGTATCTGATCATAAAACATTTTGCAGAGGCCATGCTACAGTGGTAATCGCAGTGAACTGTAAAACCTGGAACGCTAACTTCTATAGTTCAGCGTAATACTTGGCTGAAGCCAAAAATTGAAGAGTTTTTGGCTCTGTTTTTCGTTCAATTTTTATAAAAATTAGCAAATGAATGTATTTTACATAGTTCTTGACATTCCTAGATAATTTCTCTCAACGTCTGTCTCTCTCAAATGTTCAAAAACTCAGAAAAACTACCCGGCTTCAAATTTGGCTACAAAGATGGCGGCCAAGTTAGCGTTCCAGGTTATATTACAATTCACTGGTTAAACGATACAATTGTACTTTTGAGAGATGTAAACTAATGAGGAGTATTATAACTTGCATGCCATTTTTTGTATTTTTTTTAAAGAAATGTTGGAGAGCACAGAAGGGCGACATCCTTGGGAGACAGACGAGGAGAAAATTGGCAGCGTGAGGTATGGTATTGATTCAAGAATGGATAGCATGAAATTCAAGGGACGTGGAATGACGGGAAAAGACTGGGACCAAATAAAACTATAAAAATCCATTTCTCGGTTGAAACAACTCGATATATTGTGAAATATACTTTTTATTTCGGTCAGAGCTGTAGTTCTTGTAAATAAACGTAATCACAAAATTTCGACTAGTTTAAAATATAGTCGATTAAATACTGCAGATTAGATTTCAACTTCAACAACCTTTCCGAACGCTGAATGATTGCCTAAATTATGAGCGTGAGATCACCCGGACTTTGACTTATCTTTCCCGTATAAATTACCTCAATGTGCGTCCCAATCTATATACCTTATAATAAGAATTCGGCGGAGCAAGAACACGCGAATTTCCTGTTTTTAGAGAGGCGATGAAAAGAGTTCTCAAGACAGACAGAGGAAAGGAAAAAGATCCTTTGGAAACTGTTAAAGAAGAACTTATGCAAAGTATTAATGAAAAATTTACTAGTCTCACGTAAGTATTATAAGCTCGATGTAACTGTCATATTTCTCCCCCATGCACTTCATATAACGAAATTTATTGAGGCCCTGTTACGCGGTGAAATTTTTTCATGCAACGTGCAATACAATTTTTGAGAGATATAAATTTGGCAAGTACGAAACTTTTGTGTTTAGTACACTTCATGGACGTTTCTCAAAGTTACACTTTAAAGACTTTTCGCCGATTTACATCTTTTAAAAGTAGAATTCCATATTTGCATTGCAAGTTGCAAGAAAAATTGAACTGCATAACACGGGACCTTTACATAATACCCCTTGAAACCAACCAGTCTGAATGGAAAATATTCAACAACGTATGTATATTTTCACTGATTGAGTTCGGAAAAAGAAACCGCAGAGTCTATCTTGAAAAAACTAACGTAAGCAGATATAATATTCTTCTTCGTATTTTATAAACCGAAAAATTCTGCTCGTATGCATTAACTTGATGCATGATCTGCGATAGAAGTTTTTCTGCAAATTAATTTGCCTCGAACGAGTTCCTCCATTGTTCTTTATTTGAACCGAGATATGTGGCCTAATAACTCGTACAAAAATATACAAAATAAATCGTGAAGACAGCTCTGCCATGCCTGCAGTATAGGTTAGCATAGCAAAGTTAGTGGAGATATCTTGTTTTATTGTAGTATTCAATTCGAATACACATCTGCGCTATCTATTTTAGAGCTATGATGGAGCAAATGAAGAAAGAATCGGAGCAAATGAAGAAAGAATCGCAGCCAAGCGAGTGACTCAACGGAAAAGAGCGCTATAAGGTTTGTTTACAAGCTCGGAAAACACAATTGACAACGATTTATCTCGTCGATTGTAGCGTTTATATATTATATGCATGCATGGCATTATGAATCCTACTGAAAGAACAAATAGACGGACTACTCCACTAAGCTATGGGTCTTGCTTCTATAAAAGGTTTTCTATATGCATTTTTTTGAAATAGCTAGGTTACAGCATTTGTTAGTATATTTTATTCACACTATCAAAAAAGAATGTTTTATTATCGCTATATAATACCAAACGATCACCAAACACACGGTCGTCACGTGAAAAAGAGACTGTCACCTAAGTCGTAGAATTTGAAAGTAGATAACTACTATCATAGGAATGTTCGAGCACCTAACCCCACACGGACATCGTCTATTTCTATATATAGTATATTTATTAGTCGTAAGTAAGTAAAATGCGTAAAACTTGGAGCGGTTAGCCAATGGTCATTGTCCTATCAAGAGCCTAGTCGATTGCGCTGCGCCAGACTGATTCAAGGCTTCAGGCGTGAAGAAGCAGATGTGTGTGTATATGACGTATATATAGCAACCGACGAACACAACCAAATTATTTCTTTGGGCGGATGATGAGAAACATTTGACTAACCATGAATAATTCAACACATCGAAAAGACGTCTGGTAGCCCCACCAAGGCCATGCTTTCGGGACGACGTCGTTGTTGTAGAACACGTAGAACTCCCAGAGGGCATAAATCTGCGTGCAGCAAATCAGGAGGCCTGTGGCGGCCGCACGTCGCGCGATTTTCATCACTTTCCTGGTGCGAGCTTCTTGGAAGCGAGCCGGTCTCGCGTTTTTCTCGTTGTTACTTTGACCGCGAGCGACCGGGGTTTCATTACCGGTGACTGTGAGATTCCTAAGAGTTTGTCTCACTTGATTTTGGAGTCTAATCGAGGCTACAATGAAACCACCAAAGAGTAGTATGCCCCAGACCACGAAGAAGGAACGACAGATGAAGAGGAATATATGCGTCTGTGAGAAGTATACAAATATCATATCAAACGTTATCACCACCACGAAGTGTATCACCAAAACTAGTGCCAGAACTTTGCGCTTGTGAATGCGGGACGGTAGCAACTGCAGTTTCGTGACCTCGACCAATGACCAGTTGATGAGAAAGAACCCGGATGTAAGACAAGGGTAACCCAAGCTGAATAACAGCAGTCCATAGCCCGGGGTCAATGCGAAAGGTCTCCGCGTGGAGTAAGGGTCGCCTAGCAACACCACAGCACGGGTGAAGCCTAGAAAACAAACCAACCCTGTTATTGCAACGAAGTAATTTCTCGAGTTTTTCATCTTGCTTTTGCAAAGCTTGACCAGATTGTAAACCCCGTAGACGGCGATGAAGAAAAAGGTTATTCCAAAGACGTAACTGTGTACAGGCAACGCCCATTTCCAAACTTCTGGATCTTCGTTCCAATCCGGCAAAGGTTCGGGTATCCCATCAAGTACTCTGGAAGAACTGTTTGAATCCTTCCCCATTTTGTTTGGAAATTCACAATGGACTTTCTATTATCAAGAAGTTGAAAGAAAGATTATCCTCAGATCGTGACCCACCGTGATCAGGATTTTCCTTGGGGGATTTTCATTTTCCGGGTCTGATTTATTTTAAGAGGCTGCTTTAGTTCCGTTAATCGTCATGTTTGATTGCAATCATTGTCTTAAGTCCGTTCTCCACTACGCGAATTTATTCGCGCGAACAGATAAAAAGTAGAAAGCGATTCTACTTTTTTTCGTGGCGATTTTTTTCGCAAAACAATCACATCACCGGATTTCAAATATCGCTTCGCGTCGCGCGAATAAATTCGGAGTGGAAAACGGGCTTTAGTGATCTATGCTGACATCGGTTAGATCAATGTTTTTTTCAATATTCATTAATGAATTCATCACTAGCTTTATTAGACACTCGTACTTATGAATTTGTAAAAGATCAGACCCGCCGGCGAGTCCCTGCACGACGGGTGTATATTTCTTTAATGTGAGCAAAAAATAGAATTTGATTACTTATACACACAAGATGATAGGAACTTCTATAATATATAAGTTCATGTCATTCTAGTTGCATGAAAATAATTAAAAATTGATGCGGTGGAAGGCGTGAACAAATGAACACACGCGAGCGAAGATTGTAGTCATTTTTTTTCCTAATGTAGCATCAGTGGGCATGCGATTCTAGATATATTGTCGGACACCAAGCCATAGCCGTGGTAGTCGAACGCGAACCCTTCGTTTCCTAGTCCAGTGCTCAAAAAGGCTATAATTTCGTATAAAAATAGAGTTTCTCGCCGTTTCGCCATTCAGTTTTAACTGTTTTTGCCTGTGCTGTTCTTTCGCTCGAAATCACATCAGAAAAAGAATAGCTGCAATGTTTTGCCAAAATAACAAGTTTATCTTATCTTATTCGTGAGTTTTTCGCGTTGTGTTCGTCGACAATTATTAATAAAAGATTAAATCGTGGAGCTGTATACCAATTATATTTAATTTCAGAATACATTATCAGGCATATTATCAGGGGGAAAAAATGAGATGCTCTAAATACAATAATAACACAATAATATGTCGTTATAGAGATGTGCTTGATCTTTTTGGGGCATATTAGCAGAAAACAAGTTCAATATTCAATATATGTACTGTTATACTTATCCAAAGTACCTCCTTAACGTGAGAGGTTATCTTTGCGTTAGCCTAAACATACATGTAATATTAAAAATACGCACCTTTTCTTGATAGTTTTGATTCAAAACTCAACGTATCCTATGTTGTTTTAAATTTTGTGCTCAGCCGATAACATGTTTACCCAGCCAAGTGGGATGGACGTTAAAAGGCGAAGTTTTAAACATGTAATGAATTATGAAGTATTATATATTATAGGATAAATAGGATCTGACGTCATTAAGTAGTGAATATACCTAACACAAACAAGCCTTCCCAAATGTTGTTGATTACAATTTCACACAGTTTTTAAAGCTGATTGGATTCTACACCACCCGAATATCATTAAGAAAGTTTTCAAAATGAGATGTGTTAATTAATTTTCTTTTTTAAGGAATTCGGCACAGCACGATGTAGCGATGTTTTTGATTAGAAATTTACATGTTCGTATTATGCAAATCTTTTGTTTAATTATGACCAGAACGGCATGGCTGAAATTCATATGTATTTTCGGCATGAAATGTGTACACATGCTTAAAAAATTTGAAATTAATGTAAATAATGTTGTATACTTAATAAAAATAGTTTTTTCTAAGACAGAACAATTACTCGAATACAAAACAACATTTCATTGACCTTGATCGACCATCATCGACCTTGATCGACCACACTAATATTTAATTCTACATTTATTCTTCTCATCGCGTGAATTAGCAAAATTTTAACTAGCTATTTTCGTTGGTAGCATAATTCGCAAGAATCATTCACTATTTATACAGCTTGTGGGAAACCTTTTTGCATAACTAGTGTTTGCTGTAAAATCGGACTCGTTTTAGGATTGCCAGAAATTTTCATGGGGCAGACGAATGATTTTATAGTAAAGGTTTCATGACTTCAAGTACAAATTGTCCAACTTATTACCCCATTCTTTCTAATCTTGTGGAGGCTGGAGGCCCTCCCACCCTTTTCTCTAACTAAGACCCTATCGTTGGGGAAACAGTAATAGCGCCCAATAGACTAGTCCTTGCGTTCACTTTAGAAACTCCTCTTTAAAAACTTATTGGCGGCCTCGTACTTTAGTATTTTACTCTCAAGAAACAGGTGGTCTATTCGTGCGTAATAAGTCGTTAATAATAGTGAACTTAAGCAAGTGACGTTTTTGACAACACGTACGTTGACCGGAAGTAAAGTTTTTGTTTTCCACTAATCACAATCCTTGACCCAGTCTTTTGACGTTACTCATGCCGTTTCTGTTGTTAAAAACGTCACTTGCTTAAGTTCACTAATATATGATGTATTACGGCAACCTGAATACATGTATACATTCAGGCGCAGCGTTAATTGAAAAAGGGGTATGAGATAGGCGCAAATGATGTTTCAAAGATATTGTTCATTCTTAATTTCTTTCATGTAAAGTCCCCTTCATACTAAGGAGATAACCGCCTTTATTCATTTTGCCATGCTGTTCCATAGCATCTTTTAATTAATTTTTAACAAATCCACGTTAACTTCCTCCGTTCCTTGAGTCGATTCTCATTCCGCAGGAGCAAAAATCACTTGCTTGTCTTGGTGTAATAAATAGCGTTTACATATGGGGCAGATAACATAATCTGCGAGAAAGCATTCAATGCAAGCAGATATTCTATCTTCTTAGGGTTTTGGCCATGCATGACAATAGGACGTGTTCCCTTATTATGTATCACACCAACCAATTTTAGCGCATCCAATTCTTTTCCAGTGTACGGAATATAGACTATTGACTTAGGTAGCAAATCAATTGAAGTCAATGCCGTCCTGCTTTATCAATAATTATGTAATTCCATACATCAGAAGTACATTGGATCCGATAAAATTGGATTTTGTGCTATTGAGATATAGGTCGAAATAAGTTACTTCAGAACGGTTCAGAAATACAGAACTCAACCTAGAGTTTATTTTCATTTTATTTTCATGATGTACTGTGACTTCTCACAGCTATAATGCCACTAATAATTAGGGACATATTTTGTTGAAAAAATTTTCAGTTATTACAATGTCTTAAAGCGTTTTTCTCGCGTGTATTCACACAGTAAAATATTAAAACTATCTCCTGAGACCAATTTGGTAAGCTTGTTGCAGCCAGCAAGCACATTATACCCATATTATATTATATCTCATACGAAAACCGTGCTAAAACTCTTCAGGTTCAGCTCGCGGGTTAGCGAAGTCGGTCATTTTCATTTCTTTGAATTACCGTATAATATACCTTGATATATGTAACAAGATTTGAAATTTATGACTATGCTCTTAAATTTATCCACCGACTAAGCTAACACGGTCTCATCCGACGCGCTACGATTCAAGGCCTCTCGGGTCCACCTTCGCAGGCGACCGTTTACGAGTACGAGCCGAATACTGTGCACAATCAGTGTCATGACAGTATGGCCATGCTAGATCGTTTCGACGTCATTGCATCGAGACTTGAAGTTCTTTTTAGATTTGGTAAAGACAAGTCTGTTAGGTTGTTGTCACAGATACTTGAAATTGCCTGAAATAAAAATGAATGGGTTACCAAACTCGCTAGTGAACACACACTGACACAGCCATGTTCTCCTAAGGGCTAAGGTTAAAAAGTAGAAACATAGTTTTTAAGCCTTATACATGCGGAGTTTCTAAGCTTAGGCTCCATGCTCTCTTAAGTTAAACAACTTTGCGTTTCCCAAAGGAATGAAACATATCAGAAGATAGAAAACAATTCACCTCGAGTTTTTTCGCTCTTTCTCTACTCAATGGCTCCAGTGGAAAAGCCAGTTCGTTTTCCTCAGCCAACGACCTTAGATCAAAATAGTATTTCGCATACACGCTTGAAGGCACGTTGATATTGAACTGAAGAAATTCCAAAAACGATCTTTCTAATTCATTCCTAAGAACATAGAAATCATTGATGTCACGAACGCTTATTCCTCGACAATAGCTTCAACTCAGAAAAGTTATCATCAAAGACAAAGGCAAAGCTGAATCCGGGGAAAAAAGTTTTTGTCTTCGAGGTTCTCGGTCGGAACCATTGCCAGCAATATGGGTTGAAGCTTTCTTCCCCCTTCAGCCTTCAATGCAATTCTTTGGATCAATTTTCTGATTGAAAACAACTTGTTTGCAATGCAGTAGATACGGGATAGGTGAATGCAAAAACCATTAAGACAGTTACATAAAATAACACACTTACATATCTTCGACTGTTATATCTTTTAGTATTTGACAATAGTCCACATTCCAAACTAGAAGAGAGATAATTCAATTAATTCACTTCACTATAAGACCTTGAAATATGAGAATGATAGTCGGTAAAAGTTCCAAAGCTTTTTCGCATGATAATAGTGCAAAGACTCAGGTGTATATATGAAATGAATATTGTGATGAATACTCTGAGTAGCAACGTCAACATCACAAGATTAATTTCTCGTTAACTTTTCGGCGTCCTTTACAAACGTGAATCACTGATTCTCGAGATATTATTCAGTCCACTTAAGGCCCGTTTAAACAGACCCAACAATGTTGGCACAATATCAGGCAACTTTGACAAAACGTCTTGACGAACTGTTTATTTCTTAAGGGTTTTTTGAATACTCAATAAGATTCATCCAAGTTGAAATCCTAGCCTTTAGGATTGAAGTGACACAGGTTATATGAAATAACGTTATTTGAAAATTGTTGGATGATGTTAGATCAACAATGTTGGTTCCGTTGGAACAGGGCTTTGGACTCGAAGACATGTTAAACCTAGAATTTACTGGGCAACCAGCCCGAAAGAAATTTACCGGCTTGATCATCCCAAACTTTTGAAGAAAGTAATATAGCACCAAGAACTATCCTTTTCCAGTTTCCTGGATATATATCAATCTCAGCGTATGTTAGTAATCTCTCCAAGTATATCTAGAATGAACAATATAGAATAAACAATAAAACAATCTTTGTTTCTATTCACTTGTTTCTACTTGTAGTTTCACTTCACCTTTTATTTGAAGAGCAGTTTAGAAGTGATGAAGATATCCAATGTGGTAGCAGATAAGATGAAGAATAAAGAGATGAGATGGTGTGAGGTGGTAGACATCTCAGGAAAGACGAGGGAAGCAAGGTTTAGATGATAAGGATGCAGAACAGATAAAGGAGAGGTAGTCAGAGATACCATGAGATGAAGTAGTTAAGAGGTGGTGAACATTGCATAGATGATAAAGGAAGCAAGGTTGATATGGTATAGTCACATTAGAAGAGTTGGTCAGAAGTGATGAATGAAGAGATTGGAAGAAGATTAGAAGAAGATTAGAGATGGTAGACGTCACAAAGAAGATGATAGAGTGATGTTGAGATTAGTCATATGATAGAAGAGCAGGGCAGGGATATTGGGTAAAGGAATCAGAAGAAGATTAGAGGTGTGAAATATTGTAGAGAAGGTAATGGGAGGGAGGGAAAGTTGACAAGGGCAAGCAATGAGAATAGATGAAAGAGAGCTCATCACAGACATTTGAAGAGACACGAAGATGCAAGGTGGTAATTATGGAGATTCAGAAGCTATGCTAGGATCATATGGACAAGTAATAAGCCGAAATGAAGGAGAACTGGTAAATGATGTATAATGAAAAGATAAGATGTGACATGGTGGACACATACATGGTGGTATATGAATGGTCATACATCATGTGGGTGCATGATGAGGGATGAAGGAGAGTTGATCAGACACATTCCATTGACCATCACAAAGTACAAAGAATAATAATTAAAATCACAGCATTATTCTGTGTCCTACCAATGTTATTATTGCACATTCTGCAGTTAATTGTGCAGCATGGAACAGTGTTTTTATAAATTTATAAATCTGTCTTTGTGTTGGGTCCACCACATCATAATCATCTGTTACATATTCCCGCTGAAATAGAGACCTGTAGTTCAGCACTTAGAAAGAGCGAGTATTCAATGAATAGTCCAAAAGATTAACATAAATCTAAGGTCTGGCATACCGTTAATGGATGTCGTTTTTCATCAAAAATATCAAGTGTTCTAGTTTCCGCATCCCTAAAGAAGCAATGACAAAAACATTGAGTATCATATTACACGTTTCTCAGAATAAAAAGGGTTCTCAACAATTTGTATTTTCAAGTCAGTATATAAATCAGAAAATGTACCATATCATCCTCTTACCTGTATTTTATTAGAAAATAGACTGCAACAGAGACACTTGAAAAAAAAACACACACACAAACATTAGTTCAATATTGCATTCAAAGATATCCTGATGGCATTCTGATGGCATTCATGGAATAGTGTATAATATTGTTAGTAAGCAATACAATCCTCACCATTTAACCATTGATTTCAAATTAGGCTGACTAACTGTGCTATCATCAAGGAAAATTGTTGAACATGAGCTGCACTTTTTTGAAAGTCTTGGATTATAATATACCTAAAAAGTAAAGTTTGTGAGTGCAAAGTTTTTCAATATTTGGTTCTATTTAGATGCTTTTGAGATTACATACTTCACCATTCTGCTTCCGACGAAGATCAACATTCATGGAAATTGCCCGTTTTCCACGTAAATATCCCCTCCCTAGTGAAAAACCATAGCACAGTTACTGGATAGACACCTGTTTATGATAGACATCTCTCTAAGACAGAAAGCATTTCAAGACCGATATTTCTAACAAAGGCAGATGTCTTCCTCAGAGAGGCAATTATGTCTTTCTAACACAGACCTCTTTCTAATACAGACTTCTGTAATTTAAATTATGTCAGACAAGGCACCCCTCAAAAGACAGACAAATCTTTTTAAGACAGATTTCTTTAAGTATAACATATATTGTTATACAGTAGTGAATACTGAGACAAAACCAACAGTCCATTTAGAGTTGCACACACACACAAACATAATTAAATTAATATGTCATTGTATGACACAGACAATGATGAATTAACTCGACTCCAGTTAGTGATTGGATAAATGCAATTAACAAACAGTATGAACTATATATATGTGTCAAACATAAGAGAAGAAAGGACGGAAATACACTTTAAATAACTTCTCAATCTACTGTGTAATGTACTCATACATGCTGATTAGGGCAGCCATAATTTACAGGCAATTTAATTAGCTACAAAGCAGGTAGACAAATTAATAAAAAACCCAATCAACTTCAAAGTAAGTGTATTTCAATTCCTAATGTGTAATATTTGTATGATATATAAACTCACCTAAAAATTTTATAGACCTTTGCATAAATAACGTTCCTTGGTGGTTGCTCAGATCTTGAAAAAAATGCATTAATGCTTTATAGCTATGTGTAGCCGGCCCTGTTTCCTGCACTTAAAAACAGGCTATTGTATGACAACACCAACCATAGAAGCATTATATAAATTCGAATGTGAAGGCCACAAAATAAGCGATAACCACCCTTCTCGCTCGCTGATGTGGGGTAAATCTAGGTTACTTGCATCGCCACGTTTCGGTGAGTAAATAGCGTTTCTATCAAAGTTATGATCGCTGGCAGAATGAGGCATACAACATGTCATATTACCCATATTCTAAAGTGGCACAGTGCAATGCCGATCCTTAAGTCGGTTTTTTCCTCTCTTGTTTGATCAGTCATGAACTCTAAACCAATATGTAGACGCTTCTCTCTTTGACTTCATTTCTCGCCAACGTAAACAAAGATATATCGTGTATTAGATAGTGTCTGTTGCGTTTCAAATCAATAGTCAATACATAATTACATATTTCCAGATTCTTAATCTTTTATCATTTAACATTTGCTCTGCAAGATTTGTTTCTTTCATATAACCTCATCGCTGATTGGTCCAAATGGACCATGACGTTTTATGAGTAACGAAATTCTATATTTCCCCCGGGAATGTTTGTTTGTGCATTCGTAGGTCCTTCATTTTGTTCAGGTCCAGGGGGGTATAAACGTTGGTGGGCACAAAATATAAGAGAAAATCTGTTATTATGGCAATTTAATATTTATTTTTAACGTATATCTGCTTATTCATGTCCCCGTTGTTATTAGTTGGAAGTAAACTACTCCAGAATGATAGTTTTATCTTGAAGCAAAGGTACATACACTTTGTACAGTAATTTGTACAGTAATTTGAACTTAAATTAGATAATGTTGTCAGAATGTTGTTCCTAGCTTGTAAAACTATTGCAAAAATGTTGCAATATCCTTAGAAAATTGTTACAAAATCGCTTTTTTTCTACAATTAGAGACGCCCGCAATTTGAGTGACCAGCAATCTTGAATACAATGTTTCCATGGTAACAAGCACGTATCACCAAGAAATCAAAAATATTTGAAAGGCAAGAAACTCTGCCATTTTTAGAGCCAAATTTTAATAAAATTTAGTGTTTTTTTCGCGTTTAAATTATGTACGACGATGACGAAGAGCAAGAAGAAGGGCCAAAGAGCTCGTTCACAACATATTTAGCTGAAGGAGATGTTTTATTTAAACAGGGCGAGTTCAAGAAAGCGCTGGATAGCTATAATTTGGTTTGTATTTTTTGTATAAATGTCCTCAAAAAGCCCGTCCTTAGTATTATATAAACTAACAGATAGTATAAGCTGGATGGGAAGGCTTTTTTGACCATTAATATGAGAAATTTTACCATTTATGCCCACTAAATATTTTTGTTAAAAATAAATCAATGTATTGTAAAACAGTGAAAAGGTATTTGATATTTTGTAAATTGATAATGATTTAGCTTGACCATATCTGCTCTTCTTTTGTGGTCAGCTAGGCTTAAATTCTATGTTATACCAAGAATGAATTGGCATTTTGAATACAGTATTAGAAATCAAGAGTTAAATTTTGTGTTGTTTTATTACCAGGCTTTGGAACTGAAACCAACGGAGAAGTTTGCGCTGGTTGCAAGATCTAGGTGCCATCTTCAGCTTGGAGACACCGAATCTGCATTGAAAGATGCAGAAACTGCGCTGGAAGATGATAAAGAGTTTATCCGGGTAACCAACTCAGATTTCTTACACTGCAGTGTTGGACATAAATCTTGCATCTAAGTAGCTTGCTTTGTGTGCATGCTACTCAGAAGTATAATATAACACCTCCATGTATATTTCCATCCTCACTTGCACTTTTAGAACACTTCAGTGGACTTTCAGTTTGTAAAAGGAGTCTAATGATTATATATAATAATATATATTTTTCAGGCATTGTATCAAAAAGCTGAAGCACTTTACTCCATGGGAGATTTTGAACATGCCTTGGTATTCTACCACCGTGGAAACAAGCTGAGACCAGAACAGCAGGAATTCAGGCTGGGGATACAGAAGGCTCAAGAAGCAATTGATAATAGCATTGGACGTAAGAAATATACCAAACTAACTTATTTATACTGGATGACGGTACTTCTCTTTCTAAAGGTCCAGTAGGGATCCTTTATTGGGATTCAAAACAAATTTTTCATACATGTAAAGGGTGATACATATAACCTTTCAACCAAATCTCATTCCATGTTTAATTATGGTAGGTGCAGCTAAGATTAAGTTGGAGAACAAAGGAGATCTGTCATTTTTTGCGAAACAGGATGAGGTGGTAAGTACAGTACAATCATATATTATATTAGCAACATTTGTAGTCTTGCTATGTTTTGTATTTTCTCAATTGTTTTTTCTCCTGTCATTGAAGAAAAAGCCAAAAGGATACACAAAGCCAAAAGCTAACATGAACAGAGGTCAACAGCAACCACAGGCGAATAGAGGAAAAAATACCAAACCTCCACCATCTTCAACAAAGACTGTTAAACAGGTGGGAAATTTTCTGTTGTATTTTTAACATGCAAGTTCTCCAAAATTTTCTATAACTTCAAACTCAATCAAAAGTTTAATAATTGGTTGAATGAACTAATTTTTTTAATGGTTTGTCAAATTTAGCTGTTGGGCGAGCTCTACGCAGACAAGCAGTATCTTGAAAATTTGTTGAATGACAAAGGTACATTCCCTTTACATATCTCTCTTAAAAGAATCCTTTTTGCAACAATCATTTTGGTCATGAAATTCTTTTTGAAGCACCACAAAATTCTTAGTGGAGATATATTATACAATTACAAGCAGCTGTATTAAAACTATTCTCCATTTTTGTGATATCTACTATCTAGCTTTCGTCCAGGGTAACAACGATAGTACGATCTATGGCCTGGTTTCCAGTGGTATTGGCTACCTTGATTCACGCACGGAGTTCTGGCGTCAACAAAAACCGCTGTACGCAAGAAAGAAAGAGAAACCAGTACTGCAGAGGAATAAACCTAAACCCAAAACAGAAGATCCGACCGATTTCGTTGTTCGCTCCCTAGAAGAGATTGACCAGAAGTTGTCGGATGGTGATGAGTTGGGCAGTTTGAAACAGGCGGAGAACACGCTGCGACAGGTCAAAAGCATGAATGATAAAGCAATACCGAACAAGCAAGAGGTGCTTGCTAACTTACATTCTTGTATTGGAAACGCCATGTTAGAGATGGACGATCCAGCAAAAGCTTTGGAGAGTCACAAAAAGGATTTGAGCATTTCGAAAAAAATGTATGTAAAGTCTGATCGATTTTCTTTGAGTTTGGCTTCAAAGACTACCCTCCGAACTATATAGAATTGCAGCCGTAGTGACTGTCCGTAGTTCTGACGGAAATCACACGATTTTTTTTCTCTCTTGTATCAGTGGGAAAGAAAGGGGTTTCTTGGATTTTTTAAACCCTTTTCATAAATATTCCTCCAGCAAAAACTCTTCTGTACTTATGGGATCTTATATTGTGGATGGGGGGGGAGTCTTCTCACCTCACATAGGCTGGTTAGAACTACACCCTCCAAAGAGGTCCACCACATTAAAATGCATATAAAGCGTTCTTAACTCAGCAAATTCTTAGACTAAGTGAAAAAGAGCATCTTGTGTGTCCACTAGACACTAGAGTGTGTAAAGGTCGAGTTTGGGAAAAAAAACATCTGTCCATAGGGAGTACGTTGGTGTTAAATACTCATTAGATCTCATATCCTCTCTTGTTTCCCATAGCGAAAGTAAGGACGGGATATCCCGTGCTTTGGATAACATCGGGCGGTGCCATGCAAGGCTTGGTCAATACGCACAGGCGATTGACAGTTGGATAGAAAAGCTGCCGTTGAGTAAAACACCTCTGGAGACCACGTGGTTGCATCATGAGATCGGGCGTTGCTATCTTGAGCAGAAGAACTACCAGGAAGCATTAGAGTGTGGTCAGCGGTCTCTCGTGTCAGCACAACAGGCCACGGAGAAAGTATGGGAACTGAATGCAACTGTTCTCATCGCGCAGTCCCAAGGTAGGTCCGTTGCGTTGTGTGTCTTAGACAACTAGCTATTATAAAGTCGATTAGAGGACTCGTTAGAAAGAGAGTTTCTAGATTTCTATAAACAAGAGATTCAAGCCCGAGGTATATGATATCAGATTTGTTTTTCGGCAATTGGCCGAAGCGATTTAAAGATTATTAATTATGTAGATATGCAGATACTATATATATTTTTATGTGAAGTTCGCAGAGTTATAGATAGCATGAATCAGAATCAGCAAATGGTTGCATGAACCAGCTTGCAGTAGAAGCACAAACCGGCTAAGAATGGTAGCATGAACCAGGTAGCAAATTATAGCTACCATGAACCAGATAGCAAATGGTTGCATGAACCAGCTTACAATGGAGGCGCGAATGGTAGCATAAACTAGGTAGCAAATGGTAGTAGCTACCATAAACCAGATAGCGATTGTAGCGAGAACCAGATCAACCAGGTAGTAAAAATGGCGTAAACCAGCTTACAGAAGGTAGATACCGTGAAACAGCTGTAGAGCATGAGCCCAGATCATCAGAAACGAGAATGGAGACAGTCTTTTGTGAACTTTTATTCAGCAAATCGGCGAGAATTTTTATTGGAATTTTTTTTAAATTTTAATGTGCGTTCATCACTGTTGTTTTGTCAGTCAAATTGGGTGAGTTAGAGGTGGCCCTCAGCTCGTTCCAAGATGCTCACAAGATCGCGGAGGGTTTGGATGACGACGCAGCAGAGATTGCCATCGCGAAGGCAATCGACGATGTTCAGAACAGAATAGATAAAGGTACTTTGAGCTCTTTCATTTTTGAAATATTTTTAGTTATTTTGCTTTTGGATTTCATGCACAATATACAGAATATACTGACCCAATATACTGTTGTTCAGGTATAGTCGAGGACAACACGACCACCACGCAGGATGGTCCCGAGGAAAGTCGCGCTTATTTTGACAATGAAGAGAGGGAAAGTGAGAACCCCACAGGAACTAGCGGTGAACAGCAGGATGGTCCTCAACGTGAGAATGATAATGTAAATACTGATGAGGACACCGCTGAGCAAACAATCGACGACTCCGATGGTAAAAAAGCAAATGAAAGCGAGGCTACGTATACTGAAGAAACGACGACATCGTCGTGAATTAACTCCTTGCCAATGAAGTGTAATTAGTGCATTATATGAATTGAAATTTCAATGCTTTTTCCCTATTGTTGCTACTCTATTAAACTGTAAAAAATGGTGTTTAAATGTTTGTGTAAATAAAGTTTTACCAGCCAGAATTTCCCAATATGATAATGGTTATTCCTCGCACATCCTCAAATTGTACAGAGCACTGAAATCTGCATGGTGGTGACTGTCAAGTATCCTATTTCACTTTGCGACTGTGACCGCACATGGTAATTGCATAAAAACATGCGGTGGATGAAACAGACGACTTTTCGATTGTGTTACGTTTTGGAGAAGAGGCAGCTGAGATCTTTAAAGATAACATCATCATTCGTGATCAATCATGATTGTAGTGGCCTGGTATGTTATGAAAGCTCAAGGAAGTAGCCAGGTGTAAATTACATGAAAACCATTAAGATGGATAAGCAGTTTATCTCTGGCCCTAGGAGAACAAGTCATAACTCAACATTTTCGCATCTGATCAAGTACTTGTTGTGACGAGAAAAGATTGCATTAACGAGCACTTCTGATCATCTCTATTCATCGCCGAACCGTGAGATCTGAGAGGCCAACACGAAAGCTGCTTCTGCGTTTATCTTTGCTTCGAGGAGGCAAGTCAAAACTTGTCGGCTGTTGTTTTGACGAGAAAATATCGTATTAACATCTTGTTCTGTTCGTTTCGGCGTTCAATACATTCTTGTTTATATGAAACTCGAGGCGCCCCACGGCACTTCTACTTCCCAAGATTTCGTCCTGATAAGCCAAACCTCTTGATAACTTTACAAAAAAAGGCGTTTGTATCCGTGTGATAGAAGCTCTTTGAAAAATATTACTTCCGAAAAATTACTGTTGTTACTGTTTCTTGGTCGAAATTTTTCTGCCCAGTGAATCATGGAGTTAGGCAAGGTCAGCTTTTGAGTTTTCTCGTGTTAAACGATGTGAAAAGCGATCCTTTACTGGCGGGGTTTTTGCTTCATCTCGTTTGTCAGGACTCAAGTCAAGAACTAAGAAGACAAGGTTCTGGAACATCAGCATCAAAAATGATAAGCCAAGATCAAGATGATGGTCTGACGGACATCCTGAGTATATGGTTACCTACGCTGTCTTCTTCGTCATCTTTGTCAAAACAACACGAATTTTGACGCCGTAATCGGGTCTTTTAAAACAAACAATCTTGAAATCTGCGCTTGGAAAGGAAATACGATTTCTTGGTTGAACTTGCCCTCGCAAGTAGCAATGTCGATGAAAGGGAATCGGTCTTTCTCATGCAAGTTCAAATCTGCCGTCATTTATGGCAAACAATGCCCTTGGGTGCTGTGCAGTTACACTGTTATGATCTGTGTTGAACTATGGCAAAAAACAAATTGTCTGACAACAAATATCTCAGATATATGAACGATATATGAACCGTGCGCGCCCTGCCAAGTAGATTAGATTGTCTCACGATATCAACATTATGCACGCGACGTGTGCATACGCCTAGTTCAAACAATAGTCCCTTTGATTTCTCAATTGAATTTATTTTACATTTTCCACGTAAATCCCTGGTCAATATTACTTATATTTATATAGTTATAGTACATCTGAATCGTTAGTTAGATGAAACAGAGTAATTTCTCGGAAAACTATACATGGTATTCTTTATTTCATAGCCTTTGGCTATATTTAGTGAGTGGACCCCCGGGTGAACTATTTACACGCGACTGGAAATGAACCATCCATCTTTAAATTTCCATATTATTCCATGCTTATTTCTGTTTAATAACTGCATAGGTTGAGTATACATTGGTCGCTTCAGTGAAAGACTGTTATTAGAATGACAAAATTATAACTTTCATATAACTTATTTATCTTGACTTATATTGAGGAGCCCGTTCTACAAAACTCGTAGACGATTGAAAAGCAAATACAGATAATATTTAGTACATAATATTTAGGTCAACTTCTTTACAAGAATGTGACTGACTTCACCGCTCAAGCCTACGGGCTTTGTATAACCTTACTCTAGAGGAGCACATACATTAGTAACTTCTGGACATCATTAGTTTTTTACTACCATAAATTGACCAGCGCGTGCAGACACAACGCCTCACTCTCTCCGCGACTTCGTTTACAATTCAAATTGAGTTCACGCAACAGGTCGATGCATCGTACAGAATATCTTTTTATTTTCAAGAAAGTATTTGTCCCCAACACAGAACCGATGATGGCAGCGATAGCATGCAAAACAGTCCAGATGATATACCAAGTCCTGTACCCGCATCACCATTTCAAACGCTGGGATTGTCTTCTCGCACGCAGGACAGAAACCAGTCCGACCAAAAAGCCTGAAAATAAGGAAAGTAGTTTCACATAAGACACGTTCGTTTGTATAGTATCCACATTTCGAATATAACGAAAAAAGCTCGATTCATAAGCGGGAGTCTAATTAATCTTGATCAAACAGGAAAGTCGTTTCTCTGTTTCATGTGCAATCGAACTCTGTTCCAACTGTTGTATGTTCTTAAACTTATATATGTGGATTATTTGTTTTGTTGAAGAATGTGATTTCATAATGCATAGGCTGTTGCTGCACCTTGCTTTTGAGTTATGTCGTATATTATTGTGTTTTACATCTGCAATAAAGTTGCAGCTGTGTTCCTTTCTTTCTTGTTGCAGTTTTTGCCTGTAACCTAGTCGCTTTGTACTTTCGCTCGTATCTCGAAAACTGATCATGTTGTATTGGTTTCAAAATATAAAGAACAATCCCTCTTATGTCATAAAGCTTTGGTTCGCGCGACGTTTGACGTTAAACTCGCTTATTATTAAGAAATTAGGAAATATTGGTGAATAAAATAACCATCACATATAGTTCTGACTGCCTTAGACGGCTGGTCAAATTGCTAAACGAATTAAAGATATATAAGGCGTATAGGAACTGAGGATCGAGTGACCAAGCAGATTCTCAAAATATTTCGGTCAAAATCTTCCTTTCCTTCGAAAAAGAGATAAAATTTTAATCTCACCGGTTTGTTTGACCATAACATGGTAGCCATTCCAGATTGCTAATGGTAATTTATGCCCATCGGGGAAATAATGTTTAAGCTATTTTCCCACAAGTGTTATAGAAAAATTTCTAAGTATGCTAAAAAGATGTTGAGCTATTTGGGCGGGACCTTCTAAGACTAAGCTCAATCCAGGAATCTCGTTAATATGCTAACCTTTCATCTGGTGAACTTTTCATCTGTTTGTAATTATCGCGAGTTTTACTTCGACTTGTTGACGGATTGCGGAAAAAAATTTCATTTCAAATGACACAGGTCGATTGCTATCTTATAATAACGTATTTGGTTTTCACAGCAATTTGCCAATAGCAGAACCTCTCGTAATATACACACCCACAATACGTACTTCCAGTGCACACATTTCCTCATTTAAATCGGTATTAATTTAACAACGATAATGTCAAATAGCACGTACGTACTTCAGACGAACAGCTGCGTAATCGCCTTGTTCAATACTCGAATTGCTTTTCTGCGCTTAATGGTTTGAAAATAAACTTTGTTATTATAAGTAATCGTATAGGCTTATAGCCGAAATGACGTTGTATCATTAGTATTTTCGAATAGTTCTACTGAAGTGCTGTTGTGATCGTCCGCTCGCAATGCAAAACATACGCAATTATATTCGTGTATGTCCTAACCACTTTAAAAGTAGTGAACATTAAAAAATGAAACAATCAAATAACTTTCATTGAGATATTTGGGTAATGTCTGAAATCTTTATTCTTCAATATGAACCACTTTAAAATGATGACAATTTAGGGCAACGCATCGTATGCTAATTAGCTTAAATCTCTTCCAGCTCGCGAATTGGCCACATGTTGAAATAATTTTACTGTCTATCGAAGTTTTAATTATATGTTTTACTTGTATTGCATAATTCTTTACAACAAATAGGTTTGTATCATCAAATACTTATAAGCATCCCCTCGTGTGTTGATAAGCTTAAATATATTGCATCGCATTCAATTTTTTTAAAGTACATTTTGAGGTACGCGTATTATGCTAATGATATTTTTTATTATATCCATATTTGCCTACATACTGCAAATCCGGGCTAGATTAGGCTAGATTTTAGCTTTGTGACATTCTATAGTGTTGGCCGTGTCAATTCGTTGCCAAAATAAGTACGTGATTTATTATTAATCTGGGCTAGCTCTCTCTATCAAATATTTCATCAATGCGAATTTCCGCAATTTAATCCACCCTTGAAACACAAAATGAGGAAACCACTGATCTTTGCTGTCGGAAAATATTTAGCGATGTATTTCATTAAAGCATTCTTTCATTGGTCTCGTATAATCCATTGAAACGACAATAAACATGATAAAACGCGTTATTGATTTGATGAAGATTGAGTCAATTGAGTCGATTTTCCATCATGTGTTTTCAGTTAAAATTTCTTATGGATTTTAATGTATATTCCACTCAAAATAGCATCGAACGTAACCCAATATCACGCGCATCTTCCTTGTGAAGTATCGTTAGTCAAAATTACCAAAATTGTGTTGTATTTTTAACTAAGTTGAGTAAATCCTATCTGACTGATAGCGTTGCTATAATCACTAATCAGTGTATTAAATAATAAACCTAGACTATCTATTGCATTTTATCGTATCGTTTCAAGCAGATCCCTTTTGATATACTATATCCTAGAACTATCATTTCGTGGATTCCAAAACACAGAGCTATTGAGACTACTTTGGATGGCATATAAAAAAGGCTGTAGATTATTCGCGAGATTACCAAATATGCACTGTATACTTCTATTCAAGTTACCATAGATGTGTATTTACGCTTGATATAAATATAGATTGCGAGTATTCTACATCATATGACAATAGATTACAGCAATACGTGTCCCCGTGATCATATCGAAAGCCTACCTCAGATAATCTCGCTTACACAGGATCAAGTTTGCTTTCGTGTAAAGAGTTGCGCCAACTTCGCCCAAGCGACAATCGCAGCACGCGCATTTGAGGCAGTCCTCGTGCCAGACCCGATCGATGGCTTTCAGCAGAAAACGATCCTCGATGCTTTTCTTGCATCCTGCGCAAAGTGGCCGGGGCATTCCTTGATTGCTGGCAGTTAGCATCTTACTGTGAAGTCCTTAAACATCAAACAAACACAACGAGAGGAAAATCGTTCATATATACGACATTATTACTGAAAATATTTGTTTAAAGGGTGTACGTTTACAGTGTACACACAGCGCGCGGATTGTTGGCGTTCGGGGAATGTCAATTGTCGAGCGCGAATATTTTCAATTGGTACATTCATAATCGGACGATGTCTCATTCAAATATCGCTGATGTGCATTGCAAATGGACCCGTTTACAAAAACCAGAGTGTTTTTCCCGCACAAATATACTTACATAGATTCGAACTATCCATACCTTGTTGTAAGTTGGGATTCATCTCTTATGGTCTGTTAACTAATCCGCCTTCGGATTTTTGCATGAGCAATAGATTGCGCACGCCTGAACTGATTTCACCAATTTTCGTGGACCACACAACTGGTCGGTGAACGGCCTCGTTTTGGTGGAAATCTCGGGAAAACCTTTTTGTCAAACGAACATTCACGGCAGCACCTTGGAGCACGACACTCAATTACTGCATATATATGTTTGACCTTACTTCAACGGTCTTGTCTTGCTCAATTGCTCGTGTTACAGGCGAGGTCTTGGCAATAAAGATTGATGACCAAATCACTGTTTATTTCCAACTGAAACCCTTCAACTGATCCGCGCAAATAACAAGCACCTGTCCGAGTGACAATCGCCGGATTAGCGGATTGGATCTATTGCGCGCATCCAGTTACGCGCTCCGTGCCGCTTCTAGATGTAGTTTTGCGCGGGGTCGTCAAAAATCCGAACGCAAACATTACGCGCACGTCACAAATTGCGGCGTTCTAATTTCCATTAGAATTCGCTTAAAACTTAGTCACGGAGACTGGGAGAAATTAAATTAGGAAAATTTCAAAGTAACCTGACTCTATTGAACACTAAGTGCACTTAAGGTGACAATTATTTCACATGAAGATTTCATTTAATTGAATAAAGATCTTGTTAAAAGCCTCTCATGATTGATATATACCATACAGAAATATCTGCCTAAACATTATCTATCGCGATATATTCCAATGTCATGTATTCCCGCAGTAGGAACTAAGTGTGGTTGGTGCGTTCCTTTGTGTGAGGCAGTCATCTTTGCGCGTTTACCCTAAGCAAAGCTACCTTGTGAAGGCAAGATAGTTTGCGAAGTTCATATCAATCTATTGAGTAAATGATACACTGGGTTGATTGGGGATCATTTGTGTATTGTTAGTGAGTTCATTTGGATAAGAGTTGATAGTGATAGCAGATGCTAAAGTAGCTTCATCAAGTCTTCGCATCAAGTCTCATCAGCGCACAAATCAATGGACCATACTGCTCAAGTCCATTCTTTGAGCGCCCACTCTTGAACGAGAAATCATATCATTGAGTACTAGTTCCTGCCAGACACCTTTCACCGCCGCACCCAAGACTCGACTCCTTGCAATAAGATGTGTTTTCGTGACACGGTGACAGTTTCGTCTTCAAAGCTCTAAAGTTGAAAGACTTTCCTGGTTTGAAAGAGAGAGTACAACCAAATAGGGTGCAACTGAAACATTCAAATATTATTGAAAGTTGTATACCCTTTCCTCTGTACCCTTAATATAATGTTTATTTACACAGGTACAAATGTACAAATAGTTTACAGCAAGTTTCTTTTCCGATAGCGTCGCAAGGCATCCTATTGTTCACCTTTAGCCTAACAAGGCACACAGTCGACGCGAAAACACACTCAAAGTCGTCGCCGCGTTGAAACGAGACTCCCTTACAGACCCCCATTACGAGCAGCAATGCACGCAATAAATGCAATTTAGATCGATATCAGTGTTCATGTCGGAGAGATGACGGATTAACGGGGTATATTAATCACACATATGGTCACGAGATTGTAAAAGGAAATTTAAACACAACTCAGAAATTCAACTGACGATTTGACGCGGTAACATTAAAACATTTCCCAAATACTTTCGTGCAATCCGCGCAAAACATCAAGGGGTTTATTTGGCGCGCGCAAAGGCGGTCAAGACATTTACACTTCGACTTTATTTGCCTTATTGTCACTTCTCAATGGCGTATTATAAAAGGAATTGCCATTCAACAACATCTTGATAACATCATCTCCAAAACAAGATACAATAAACATGTGTGAACGAAAATGTATTTCGCCATTATTAATTTCCGCGATGTTTGCTTAATTACATGAAAAATAAACAAGTAGTTATTTCCAGTCGCATACCTGGTTTCAAAGCCTGCTATATACTGTTACATACAAACTTGTTTCGACCTTTTGAAATTTGCAATATTAAAAAAACCATGCAGTAGAGCAAATCTTAAATATTGCGGTTTTCTGTCAACAAGCCATATGACTTATCTAATCCTGTTTTTCATTGTATCCAAATATTTTGCTTAATTTAATCTAACCAATGTTCCCCTAACTGAAACGTTTGATCCCCTTAACGAAAACGTTTTGCACTCTCCTGTGCTCTTCTATCGTAAATTCGTTTTGAATCCTTAAAGATCCCTAACATCCTCTGGTCTTGGGCTGTCTCAACTTCTGGCGTTATCAACAATGAAAAAACGGCGCGCAGAACATCTTCAACGCCATTGGTTGGGTTCCACTTATCCGCGCTGACAAAACCGAGGCAAACGTGGCCCGACGATTGCTCGATGTTCACGTGGAAGACGGGCGTGAGGAATCTGATCTGAAATATTGAAAAATATCCCACCTCAACTCTAGGAGATTAATTTGGTGTTAAAATTTGTTCTCTCAATCCACCCTTTTCATTAGAATCGAGTTTTCCGCGTTTGACGTCATCACGAGAAAGGCTTATTCCTGTTCCACATCTTGGCGCATTAAAAGCAATGGTTAACAGAGACACTAAGAAATATAGTTTGTTAACTAACTAATCCTTTAACTGGCAGCACTCTTTACTGAGTGACAAGTAAAGTCATCTGGCAGGCAACACGGATGCGCGCACTTCACTCTTTGTAAAGCCAGATCATTTACCTAATGTCAGTCCCTGATTAATCCTTGATAAAAAAGAGAAATATATCATACCGTAGGTGGAGACAATGGATACTCCTCACTGATAGAAGATATTAAGAATCATACAAATTGTTACACTTATACTGCAACATTTTATTATGAACATAGCACATATTACACATCCATTCTTTTCAGCAAGGTTAATTAATAGTTCAAAAGGATACGGTAGAACAATTTGAATCTTCAATGTGGCACCTTTATACAGTGATTGGTCTGGTGCAGCAAACTTTGCTTCCCATATATAGATGCTGTCTGTGGGCACTGAGACCTCTATACCATGAGGCTTTGAGGCCTGAATAGTTTGAAATTCTTTAAGAATCCTAGAAATAATGTGGGAATGATATGGAAGGAATTTTATTTCATTCTTAAATCTCCTAACCTATGGTCACATATCTTCCTATACTGCAGATATATCTAATCTTCTTGCTTAACATTGGGCATCAACCTTCTCGAATGGTCCTAACACTCCCCGAACTGCTGGTTTATGGTACACAAATGTAACCCTATATAACATTGGAGAGTTTAACATGGAGCTTGAACCTTCACCTATGGTCCTAAGCCCTAACACTCCTAGAACTGCCGGTTTATGGTACAAGAATGTAACCCCTTATAACATTGGTGAGCCTAAACATGGGGCGTCAACCTTCTCATATGGCTCTGTAATTTATGTAGTATGGTAACTCTTCTAACAAGTTGTATCAAATGATGTGAACAAAGGTAATTATCAAACATCCATCCATATTCTCCACCAATACACGTTGAACACGTAAATTAGTAAACAAGAAAATAAACAGATTTTCTATTCAAATGCCTCAGCGATAAAATATCTTCTTGACATCATCAATAACATAAATTATGCTAAAATGTTGTTCTAATACACTCTGCTTCTGATAATATTTCATATAAAACATTCGTAATTTACCGCACTTTTACTGATTAGAAATCTAATCAATGGTGAACTTCTGAATCAACAGAATTCTACTGTATACTGTCGATAATCTTACCTCTTTTTGGACATTTTAAGACGTCTAATAGCGAGGAGAAACGCAAAAGCGAAAGTTATTACTTTGCTATTTCTATTAGAAGGTTTTTTATGTCAGGGTATTTCCCTACGACGTGTCCTGTGAAAGCTGTTATCTGATTGGTCCGATAGTGGCGGGGATTTCCTTTATGTCATTTTAACGCTTTATGATTGGCTCATTTGGCTGCCTTCGAAGAGCTAGATTATTAATTGATAGTGCGAAGTGCAAGCCGAACGGGCGCAGTCTTGGTTATTTGTAGCGCAGCCTGCTTTTGCTCGAAATTTTCTCGCAATTTCAATAGTATTTTGAGGTAAGTTACTCTGGTTTTTGCACTTTTGTGGCTTTTATTTAGGGCCGTGATTTAGCCAGCATAAACCTCCCCGCTATTTGGGGAGCTCATCATTGGCTTTTATAAAACAAACATTTTCAGTAAGACTTGCATTGATTTATTCGAAAAGAACTCCTGATTGCCATACATCAAGTTCATATTTATACTACAATATATGAGCATGTATAAAAACCTAACATTAGTTTTGGGAAAGTTACGATTTGGAATAGTTTGTCCGTACTTTCGCTTTCAAACTGTTGCTCTACGTAATAGGTTATGTGCCATGTTTAGGGAATTAACCTCTTTCTTATAATTGACCTAGCTCAAGGTTCTGCTGCGATAATGCCAGAGGACAACCTTCAATTGTTTGTGAAAGGTTTGGAGGGTAAAAACAACGTGTATCAGATACACAAGGTATATAAGAATATTCTGGATGATATAGACTTTTCTTTGATGCACTTTTCATAAGTGTTACAGTACTGGATAGAGGAGGTCTAATGAATAGGCCTCCCTCTCAAGTTTTGGCTTTGAAACCCCCCCCCCCTTCTCCCACTTCAATTTGCCATGTTACAATTACCTCTCACCATAAAGATACTCCGTTTACAATTTCTTTAGGATGCAAAGACGGATGACCTTTTTAGAAAGATCAAGGAGAAATCAGGAATCCCGGTGGATGAACTTCGATTGCTTTATGGTCCAAAACAGTTAGAAACAGGCAAATACTTATCAGATTACCACGTCGAAAATAATTCAACCCTCTATCTGGTGTTGAGGCTCAAGGGTGGTATGATGGATGAAAATCAAAAACAACTGGATGGTGATGTTGAATTGACCTATGAACCAGATATGATAACCTGGGATGATGATCCAGATAACCTCAGGGCTAAAATGCCTTGTGGACATGCTATAGGTGGGGCTAATAATTATGCCTTGTGTTAGTTTGTTATTATGTCCCTTGCTCTTTAATATCCCTCGAATATTCCCTTGCCATAATTGATCTCTTTTATCTTCAATTGGCCTTCTCTGTTATTTCTCCTTTATATGCCCTCCTCCTATTATGAAACATTCTATCACACCTTCCGTATTATTTTCGATCTTCTGGTACGCCCTTAAGTACTCCATTATGCCCCAACACTGTTGTGTCACTTCTTCTCTATTGTGTCTCTAATTATAAACCTCCTTTATTCTGTCCCCTCTTCAATGCTATCTACTCTTATCCAATATACCTCTCTTCTATTATATCTGTTGCCTGCTATTGTGTCTCTAATCATAGACCTCCCCTCTTCAATGCCCTCTCCCCTCCCCATCACCCCCCCCCTCCACTATTATGTCTCTTCCTCTCTAATGTGTCTCTAATTATATACCTCCTTTATCATGTCCCCTCCTTATTTCCCTCCCTCCCCCATCACTTCCCCTCTTCTATCAGGAAACACATACAGCCTAAGCTATACACACCAATATCTCAATAGACACGTTCTTTTGTGTTTAACCAGGTCCAGAGTCCTTGACAGCGTACTGCCGAAGTCTATTGACTGCTGGTAAATTCCAGTTCCACTGTCCGTATCTTGGACCCAACAATACCAGCTACTGTGGTAAGGAGTGGGACTACGTCGACGTTCGCCGTTTTGCAGTCCTCACCGAGGAGGAGAGGCGGGAATTTGAGAAGAAGCTTTCAGAAAACTACCTCAGGAAGGCCATTGGCATACAGGAGTGTCCAAAGTGCAAGTCTTTTTGTGAAAGAAAAAGCAAGAAGGATCGTTGTGTCAGATGTCCTGTGTGCACCGTGAAAGAGAAGAAAGGCTTCGACTTCTGCTGGTTTTGTTTGCATGAATGGCAAGGCTCAGCGACAAATGCAAAATGTGGTAAGTGGTAATGACACTCGAGGGGTGCCAACTCCAGTAAAAGGGGGCACTCCCCCCCTCCCATTTTTCCAGTTTTATTCTACTATGGATAACATTCAGTGATTACATTACAAATTTACCAAAAGTAGAAGACAATCCCCACCAAAATTGGTATGTAATTAGAAACTGCCGTATAATTTTGTTTAACTGGCAAAACCCCACCTCAACAAGGAGTAAAATTGTCTGACAGAGGACTGAAGGAATTCTCAAGTGTTGCATCTGAGCTAAGCGCTGCGCCCGCTCATCGCTGACTATAAATGGTCTCACGAGGTCTTCATTTTGTTCAGGTAACACCGACTGCACTGGGCATGACCCGCGTTTGAAAATTCTCCAGGAATGTCCGAAGAAAGAGATCGTGGGTGTCGCTGGTTGTCCATCCAGACGAGCTTGCATCAAATGCGGTTTGCTCATTGAGCATATTCGCAACTGCAAGCACATGAAATGTCCGTGCGGCCAGGAGTTTTGTTTCATTTGTTTGAAATCAAAAGCAGCTGGGAAATATCCCTGCGGATCCTTCAATACCAAGTGCGAAGTCGCAGCTGTTCAAACGCAAATCCCCGGTGCCGATTAGGGGCTGATCGAAGAATCGCTTGCAAAATGATGAGGGAAATATTGGCTGCTCAGTGTGCCAATGATTGGCGAAACATCATTGGATGATAATAAAGAAGTATTGATCATTTTTGTTACATACTTTACCCTACACTATAAAGACTAAATAAGAAAGTTTACACTTGTTAATTTTTTTCTTTTGTCAGTACAAAGTTTATGTTATTATCTTGCCGCGGTCTTGTTAAAGAATTAAATAAATATGCCTTCCTCGTGTTAAATTCACAGCATCAGAATTTGGCCATGTGTCTTTAAGATGTATTCATCGAGACTTAAAATAGTATATACTATACTTGTAAGATAGAGAATATTGATTTGTGTTCTGTTAACAAGCCTTGCTAACCATATTCATCGTTATATATGTTAGAATCGTATATGAATCTACTTCAGCTGAGTGAGTTAACTAAAAATATTTTTATGCTTCAGGTCATCCTGAACAAATCAATAACAATAAAATTAAACAGAATGCCTTTCCCATGCAATTTTATATATCTGTCATTGTACTAACAGTTTTTTCCAAAAGATGACTTTGCAATTGAAATAAATACACCTTTTCCAATATTTCTTTATATTTTCCTGGAATATTTTACATGAATTTGCAGTTAAGGATTAACTTTAGAATTTCAGCAGTTATTCAAGAACCTGGTTAGTCCAAATACTATATGTTCTCCCAGGAATCTTCTCTGATTCCGGCGTGGTATTATATTTTTAAAAGTTTTGAACACCTAGACAACACTTTGTGTAAGGCTCTCGATCTTAACAGACCATATATACAGTAGGAGGCAAAAGTTTGAGTCCAGTGACTGTATTTCATTGTTTTAGCAGCATATATTAATATCCTACAGAAAACCTTACCGATAAGTGAACTAGAAAAAAGTAAATAAGTAAACAGAAAAATACATGCTGTACAACAACTATGAGATGTTATGATATTCATTTTTACGTATTTTAATGTGCAAACATGCATTTACAAGTCATTGCTTAGTTCCCTCTTTTTTGCTCTTGAAATGACCTTTATTCTTGCTCGCATAGATTCCATAGGTTTTTTAATGTCACACGTTCAATACCTTGCCAGCATTCGTTGACCACTTGCCTCAAGTCAGCCTGGCTGGCGGGTCTGTGCCTCGCCCTCTTCCGGTTAAAACGGTTCTACAAGTGCTACAAGGTTTTAGATCTGGAATATGAGGTGGAAAGCCATGACAACGAGATCACCAGAATGAGTTTGCTTCTAAAAGATTTCTGGCACATAGAAGATGTGCATGTGCTTAGGGTGATTATCATGTATAGTTAGACGTGCGATCATCTTTGTACCAGATAAAATTCCATGTCCTTGAAGAATTGGATGATACTTTTCTTTAATTAGGATCCTATTATATCTTTCAATATTGCCAAACCGAGCATGACCAAAGCAGCTAAAAGTTTGCTTGAGTAGGATTTAGTTTCTTCGAACCTCTCCAAGGTTAGTTGCATACCACCTTTTTAAATTCTCACTTTTTCTGCTACCTTACGAGGAAAGAATCCTTCAATACTTAATGCAACTATTTGTCCTTGTGCACCATCACTTTGCCCTTTTTCCCACCCATCTTGGGCAGTGTAAAGGAATGAGAACTTTATTTTGTTATAATTTAGATCATTAGGACCAAAACAGTGTGCAATTAATATAGTTTACAGTACTGAAACACTAGCACGCATGTCTTAACTCGAATACGCTGCCAGGATTTAATACTGGAATTCTACAACGACTGGACTCAAACTTTTGCCTCCTACTGTATATATACACTATACAGTCCCAAAATGATATAGATTGACTTACTCGAACTAAGAAAATAACTTATTAGAAATATTGGCTTGGGTCAACAACAGCACTAAACTGCTGGCCTTTCTACGGCTGTACATATGTATGAAATTAATTGATATTCCTGACTTCATCTTTTACTTTGATAACATACGATAGACCCTAATCACCTGTTGTTTAAAAACGTTGCACAATACAATATTCACAACGCCACGTTGTCATTGCTTGTAAATTAGCATGAATTACACATGCAGGTACCATTGTTCACTTTGCCCTACTAGAAACAAACCCTTCAGTTAAAATTCCATGTATATCAAAAACTTTGAAACTATACTGCTTCAAAGAGACGTCTTGTCAACTCTCATATTTGACGAAGTTGATTTGAAGTTTAACGCAAGGGAAACTGGTTTGCAAAAGATTTAAAGATGGATGCAAAAATGTTATTAATCGTGGAATATTCAGTCGTCGTTTTTGTTTGTTTAAACTGTGTTTATGGCCGACATTTACAAATTCAGCTGACGGGATACGAATGTTTCTACGACAGTATTGACGCTAATGTATCCTGTTCGCTCGAATACGCGCCGATCACAGGCGCAAACCCGCAACTTGATGCGTTTATTGAGGCCCCACAAGGTCAACTGATTTACAAAGCCGAGAAAAAGGACTACGATCTCTTTCGTTTTGTCTCGGAGAAGCCCGGCGTGTATCGTTTCTGCTTTAGCAACGTCTACGACAGTGTCTTTCAAACAAACCTGGTGTACTTCGATTTCGTCAAAGGCAAGGGAGACGACACAAGCTTTCCTGGGGCATCGACTCAAACTGCACTCACACAAATGGAAACCACAGCGTACTCTATCCACGAAGCGCTGGCCGTTATGGAACAGTACCAAAATCATCACAGAATACGTGAGGCGAACGGACGCATTGCCGCGGAAACGTTAAACTCTCGCGTTCAATGGTGGTCGCTCAGTCAAGCTTTTGTCATAGTTCTTGTCAGCCTTCTCCAAGTCTTTGTCCTGCGGAGGTTTTTCACTATCAAACGAGAAAATATTTAATCAATTGGGATATTTTAACTTGTCAACGTCAGCGACGCGCGTCAGGTTTGACAGCATAATGCGCGTAAACTTTGATAAATTATGGGCACATTTTGACTGCGAGTTTTTGCTGAGCAAAATATACGCATGATAGTGCAAATAATGGACTACTAACTTCAAAATTCAATATCTTCAGTAAATCAACCGATTATGTTTATGCCTTAGTTTAATGTCTAACCTTTCTCGTGGCCATTTCTTAAAAATGTGTGCTCACTTGAGCATTTCTCTTAGATGTCAGTCTAGATTTACTTTTTTTTTCACTCCGAGGCAAGTGGGTGGCCTAGCTGTCTCTTACCCGGCAATTTTTTGCCACTGACCTCAATGTATACACTTTCGATGGCTACATATTTGGGTGAAAATTTGTATCACTCGACGCGTATCTATCTTTAGATTGATTCAATATAATCCACGACCTATTTTAAATTATGAACAACTGTAAAAAACTACGTATGGAAACTCATTAAAGCGTTTCTCTTTAGCTCTGACTTTTGAGTGGTAACCTAATTTAAGTTTTGGATGGTGGCGCTGTACATTAATAAACAACGACAGGAAACCGTCCGAATCATTTCCGAAAGAAAACAGAATGTTCAAAGCAATGCCTTGTTCGTGCATTTTTAGGATATCCCACAACGTCGGGAATCAATTTTACTACGTGAAAAAGTGAAGTTTGCCACGTCCGGTGCTGACGTGATTCATTTATTAGAAACACCGCGATTGCAATTGCTAAAAATATCAAAAATTGAGAACTTTAAATAGACGCAATCAGTGAACCTCTTCGTTCATCGCGACAAGAACGCCTTCACGGAAACGCGCACAACTTACACCTTCACGGTTTTGATGGAAACCGAATCGCACTTCCGACGCGGCCGGAAAAGATCTCCGGAAAATCGTCAGATAAGATTGAAGTGGGATCTCGTCGATTTTCGGCATCCGGCCGCAGCCCAATTCCTCCTAATACACTCGCTAAAGTACGGAAACGCTTTTAATAATGTTGGAATGAGAGTCTTGCGGAAGAAAGATGCTGTTTGAAATTTTTGCTATTTTCGAACATCCGCGTCGTCCCAAAATTTGCCATCACGCGTTGTTTCTTTCCCCTGGTCGACCCAGTGTGGTGAAACCTCAAACACACCATCATCATGCAAGAATTGTCGTTTTATTTACATTTTAAAACGCGCAATTCAAGTTAAACAATTTGTTGCGCTTGGCTTGAATTTAACATCTTTGAGGCTCAGCGGGCTTGCTGTGGTTTAAGTAAATATAGGTGAGGGTTTTTAATTTAGAAAAGATGTCAAAACAATACGAGTTTGGGGTTTTGTTTACATCAGAATGATCAGATGGCCTCCGCAGCGCGCATGTGCAAAACGAAGTAGATCAGGACATCAGGTCCTAATTGCAATATAATGCGGTTAAACGAATACCGCAATTTTAGTGTATAAGTTCTGCTATTTCCCCTTTTGTTCCTTGTAAATATTTCGCGCATAAGACGTCTCGTTAGATTCGGAAAGAACGGCGAAGGAAGTTCGATTGTAGATCGATTTTACAGGTGCACTTAATTGAAATATTCCTATACGCTCTAAACACCTCGTCAACACAAAATGCTTAGGTCATATGAGAGTAAAGAAAAGGCTTTGATCAAAAGTTCAAAAGTATAAAAATTTCAATCAAACTTCACAATCATCTTCTCATAATGCAAAGCGCGTCTAGTTTAATAACAACGTTCGATAAGATATGAAATGAACTCGTTAGGGACAACCTGTTGTGATTATAAAGGTATTAAATACACTAATCCATGGCTACAGTTTTTGTCGGGTCAGGAGTCAGATTTAATCCTTGCTAGTTCTGTTTTGCTTTGCAGCAATATTGCATGCCTCATTATTCATTGCTTTGAATACTTCTCTGTAATGCTATACGACCAAATCGAGGATAGTGGGAACATTATCCAATTAAAAGACCAGATAAAATGCTTTTAAAAAAAGAGCAGATATTTCTGTATCGAACGTTTAAATTTTTTTTTGAAGATGAGCAAACCTTTTAACATACTTGGAGATGCAATCATTTTCAAGGGTGTATGTCTTAAGTTTTTCCATTGTAGCGTGATATATCGTGATATATCGATCTTCAAAATCAACAGAGAAGACTTTGAGTTACTTTTTAATCTCAAATCAGTTGACATAAATCATAATTTATAAACTTTCATTATATCATCATTTCAACAGTTCCGTGCGATCTCCCTTTAATTTGTGACTTTTTCATAAAATCTTAATGAATTTGAGAAATTCTTCTTGTGGTATTTAGAATTTTAATCTGGTAAAAAATCGTTTTTAATTTTAACAATGTATTACGCTTCTTTTGTTCGTCAACGACCTTAAATGAAAGATTAGCGTAGGTTAAAATATAAAATGCATCAAACTCTCAATGTGACTCGAGATAATTTGGTCTGAAATTCGCCTCGCAGAGAAAAAAATTTTAATAAAAATCTCCATCTGGTTTCCATTCTTTAGCAGTCACTGTCTACAGACGCAATTAATCAAAAAGCACAGCGGTATGGTTCGCACTTTATAAGGAAGCGGAATTCTCGGTCGAAAAGGCACTTTAAGCCTCGCGGGAATTCACATCTGAGCTGTTTCATGCAATCTCCAACGTAAATATCCGCGTACGGAATCTGGATGTGCTCAAGCCATGGCAATTCATAATGTTATATGAAACCCAGTCGTCCTGTGCAGTTGATTGATGTACTTGTCATGCGTCGTAATAAGTGCAAACACGAAGTACACGTCCCAGCTCAAATGGAGTGTTGCGCGTCTGCGCATTAGGTGGGCATACTTTGATAGAGCAAATGAAATTTGCATTAAACGCGCAAAGGAAACATTTTTGTCTCGCATGGTCTAAGCGCGCGCTGAAAGTGTATTTTAGGAGGACAACAATTTTTTTTTGGAAATCTTCCGAGTTTTAAGATCTCTGGCGAATAACCGGCGAGAGTCGGAATTGAACGTAAGAAAATTATGCTTCCAACTTTAAATTTTACCCCCGAGCAAGTGGCATGTGTATGCGAGGTACTCCAGCATAGCAATGACATGGAAAGGCTAGCGAGGTTTCTATGGTCTTTGCCAGAACACGACAGTGTGCAGAAGGAAGTGAGCGTTCTCAAGGCGAAGGCCGCGGTGTATTTTCACCAAGGAAACTTTCAGGAGCTCTATCGTATCTTGGAGAGCAATAATTTCCCCGTTTCTTCGCACAACAAGCTGCAATCGCTGTGGATGAAGGCGCACTACATCGAGGCGGAAAAATTGAGAGGAAGGCCGTTGGGCGCCGTTGGAAAGTACAGAGTTCGACGGAAATTTCCATTACCGCGGACAATATGGGATGGCGAGGAGACAAGCTATTGCTTCAAAGAACGCTCGCGGAATATACTACGCGAATGGTATACGCACAATCCTTACCCCTCTCCTCGGGAAAAACGCGAACTCGCAGAAGCCACCGGACTGACAACCACACAAGTGAGCAATTGGTTTAAAAACAGAAGACAGCGCGATCGAGCTGCCGAAGCTAAAAGCAGGTAGGTCCAAAAATACCTTAGTAGCATATAAACACCTCACCTATTATTGTACAAGTTGTACACTTCAAAGGATTATCGTTATATTTTTGAGGCATGTCTCAGTGTGTCTGCAAAAATTCTTACGATATAACCTCGTGTACTGGTTATATTACGTTAAAAAGGGTTCAAAAGTGCTACCGAGTATAAATTCGACTGTCCATTAATGCCTTAATGTACAATGTTCAAGAATGTACAGAATAAATATTGTGTTGTGTTTAGCTCGCAATAATGTTGCAGTCAACTGGAATTGATTGCTTTGATTATGTTTACCAGAGGTCGACGGTTACCCCTGCCCGCGTGAATGCCTTAAACGTTTAACATCCTCCATAAGCTTCACGAAATAACGGAGTTTGGCAAGGAAAATGTGTCTAATTATATTTAAACAGACAGCTTACCGATATTTAAAACGAACACATCCTGAATTGTCCTTCAGAGGAAGTAATAAAACAAAGTGTTGAGATAGACGCGAGAATGGCCATAATCACTTCAAGCTTTTCAGACGTTTGTGCGTGACCGCGGAATATCGCTCCTTAAACCAAACGCCTTTCACAATCATCGCGCAATTCACGGCCGCCAAAGTCGCTAAAACCGAGCCGATCCTTCCCTGTTCTGCGCCATGACGCAGTGCGTTGAAACTGATCGCGCTAATAAAGATCGCGTAACATTTAATACGCGCGGTATTACTGACTTTGTTTTTGCACGGATTCTATTGCACTGGCGAAGAAACCTGATTTTGCTTTTATGTCATAGCCTGTTATGTAAGGTAATTTTATCTGCCTTTCGCCAAAAAGGTGCGTTGCAATTAAGACGGATTCAAAGATAAAACAGTCATGGGCTTGCGCACGACAGGAAAGCGCGCAAAACGGCTGCCGCGCTACGGACGTTTTGCGCAATTGATTCTAACGTGCGTTCGCGTACAGCACAATTCTTGGGTGGCTTGCGCGCAATTGACAACTGAGGAAATACGGTTTTTTCGGCCTTAGGCAAATTTAGATTCTGCGTTTCTATTATGATATAAGATACAGGCTTGTATCCGAAAGCTGGGTTCAGTTCGCGCAATCTGATCAAAGAGAATGAATATTTAATTATACCTTTCTGTAGTTTATTTATGAATACCTGGAAAGTGTACCTGATATACCAAGTGATGTATATTAAAGGTGCTAGACTAACATCCTAGTTTTAGATATATCTTTAACAAAAAGCATGCTTGATGGTGTTAGGTACATTAAAGTCTAATCCTTATCTGAAATGCAGGATCAATTCAGGCATGTGTAAAAAGTATTCTACAATAATCTTTTAAAGATATTGCACTAACTACCTTAAAAAGATATCTTATTTTAATGTATAGGTAATATTCACAATAAGTTGTCGTGGTTTGTATCTGAGCTACCTAAAAAGAACATCTCAAACGTTGTGGTTCAGTGTAGGCAGTATTCTACAAAAAGCTGCCGTGGTTTGTGTTTGGACTACCTGAAAAAGATATCTCAAACGTGGTGGTTCAGTGGCGTTAGTATTCCACATACAACGCTAATATCTCCGATTCATGTTTAAACTATCGAAAAAGATCTGAGAAACTTGTGTCTGACCAACAAAAGTCTACTTTGCCATGCATGCACGGATTATCCTGAAAAAGTCGTCAGATAATTTAATGTTTTCTTAGCCAATGCTATGGTCTAGAAACCACTAATTCTTTGCTAGCTAGCTGGAACATCCTAGCAAAAACCACGTTTCATCTTTTTCGGGAAGTTCAGATTCTCAATCAACAGCAGTTAGTCATATAGGAGGCATCCTTGTAGAATACTCAACCAAATAAGAGATAAAATTTAGATAGATAATAACCGTTTAGGAATTCTATAGTTGACATTTCGTACCAAACCGTATTATTTTGTGTATTGTATCATAATATATTGAAGAAAAGTATTATGGATATCTGCGAAAAAAACTATTAACCAGTTGAAATAACCATATCATAATATCATTCCTTTCCTAGGGACCCTAACAATAACACAATGGACGAACAACACTCTCCGAAAATGAATCTAGTTACGCGTCATAGCGGGCTGGACGGAATGAAACAAAATGGTTTAACTCATGTGGATTTTGGCTGTCTGCCTCCCTCACACAATCCTCAGCCACCCATCAAACTTGAAGCTCACGAGATGCAACAAATGCTCGCGGCAAATGCACACCACGAAGCGATGCTAGCACAAAACGTTGCCGAATTTGCACAGTGTTTACCTGACTCACATATGCTCAACACACTTACACCCTCTCTTGTCGGACTCTGACTTAAAAACTAACGTATTCCTCTAATCGATAGTCAATTTTGGGATAAAATCAGGCTTTAGTACCTGTTATACACAGGAAGTTAGGATTCCTCTAAGCGCTATATTAACCTTCGTGAAATTTCGTAATTTTGACTTTTACTTTTGAACTCTCGCTGCGGGTGTTAAAAAGGTACCGTATGCCGTTCTCTTTTAGGGAAATTCAGTTGGTTTTTTTCACATATTAGCGTGCATTTATATAGCATAAAGCGTTATAGGTGTGAATTCGAACTGATCAGTGAGACTGGTTCACACTTTACAGAGCGACTGTTAAACAGCGGCTGTTAACCTTTTCTCTAAAAAAATACGTGTTTGGTTTTCCGCAAGATATTGCTGTAAAATCGCTGTTCATTTGCGTAATGCCTTTAAGCGATAATTTGATCTTTTTAGATAGGAGCAAATTTAACGAAACAAACGTTTACACCTTTAATTCTTAATATACAAAATCACATTAACATATTATGCGCCAGCCCATAGGCTGGTCAATATTGTACATACAAATTAATTGATTCTTTAGCGCGGTCCGTTTTGCTAAGCTTTATTGTACAAATAGTGATCAAAAGGGGTAGAAATATAATTATTCCAGGTGTACAATGGACTTCATAAACAATTTGTAGGCAAACACTTAAGAGTATAGAGAGGAATCATAGAATTGTGGCTCAAGTAGTGTTGAATTATCTCTCCCAAAGTTGATCATTATCTGTTGTAAACCAAAGCTTGCATTTTAGCCCACAAATAACTGTAAATATGTAGTAGATGATGTATAGAGCTGGACAATCTCTCATGAAATGAACACAAACATTGTAATTATATATTCCTGTGAATCATTCCCAACCTTAAACTGGGGCTCAGAGTCCTGAGATATGGTTGTATTATACAATTGATTGGGTACACAAAAATTCTATAATGGAAAACGATTGAACGTTTAATGTCTTGTAATTTCCTTTCGTGTTTACACATCATATCCACAAATTGTTTTGCCGCTTCGAAATCGTGGGATTATTTGCAAATCCCACGCTGTTTATTGCATCAAAGTGCCGTTTAATTTGAAATCGCGCACTACTCTTTTAAAGCAGTATTTTAACTTTGTGCCGATGCATCCTGATCCACAGGGTGGAACGTATGTATATCCCGTGCGTTTTCTGTCGTGAATCAGCGAAAAAAACACCGATCAAGTCTGGTACCTTCGCGCACTAAATTAGTTTCTTTAATTTGTAGCCGTAAGGTAATTGCTCTCCGATTTTCCTGAGCTATACATCAGAGATAAACCACAGCAAGGTTATCTTTACCACAGACTCGCTGTGTTAAAAGCTATAGTTGTTCAAATCTTTGCGCGACATATCGCCTTGTAGGAATGTGCTCGGTCGTTCAACACAGACAAAGCGCAAAATCTATGTCTATACGCTATATATAGCTGAACTGAATGGGAGTTCCTCGCGCTTGACTTGAATGATCACTCGCGTTGACATTCCGTCGAATATACAGTTTTTATAGCGTATTTCCTGCTGCTTCGCTGAAAAAATTTGCACAAAACACACAAATTCCGGGAATTTCAGGCTGTACTAGTTGATTGTTGTAAGCCCTAAACCACAAAACAGACTGCAGTTGCATGTGAGGGATTTATAAAAAAAATGGTCGGGTTTTTTACAAACCATGAATTAGGGTGTCTGTGTATATTTATGCCTGCAACGCGCATATGATCGCTACTGTTCATATTTATATATATGCATTGACTTTCACATAAATTGTGGATACCATGGCTTTGGACAGCTGGTCGCCCGAGTTAGAGTTAAAGCTAGGATTTATAATCGTGTATATTTTTAGCATTCTCGAGCAGGCTGCCAAGATTCATAATCCCACTGACTGTTCATATATTTGCAAGACACGGTAAACCATAAAGTTTATAGTTTTTGTTTTTGGTATGTTTTTCTCTGCTTCAAGTTAGACACTTAAGAGCGCAGGGGTTCAAGACACTTGTTGTTTTGTTTAGATTCGTATCAGGAGATAATTTAGACGCGCTATTGAAAGATTTTTTCAACATGTTTAACTTCGGCAAGACTCAAGATATTTTCGTCGTTGATTGTGGCTTGAGTGCCTCCTCAAATATTTCCTCAAATCGATGGCGTTGGCGCTGGACCGCATACGTCAATTGTATATATAGGCTGGCTAGCCTTTGCTGGCCTCGCTGTTAAGTTATGAAGATTTATGGGCATGCAAATAAAAACGAAGGTGCATGTAAACCTGTAGCCGTTTAGTGAATAGTTATTGAACGAGGGTATATATTTGAACGAGATTTTCAATATAAAGGCTCTCTGAACGCCAGCCTATAAGTGTAACAAGCCAGACAGTGTTACCACAGTCTGCTTTGAGTTTACCAGGTGTTAATCGCTTGTAGATCTGGCAATCGTTACCAATGTGAAAGAATTTGACCCGTACTTTCCTAGTATCAGAACTCTCTGGTTAGAAAAAATCACAGAGTAAATGTCCTTAAAAAGATGTCTCCTCCTATAGTGACCACTTGTTGTAAACTAGATCACCTGAATCTTTGTTCTTCAATTCCCGGCCCTTGCTGACGGATTTCAACTATCTTCGTTGCGTGCGCTATATGAAGTAGGTTTATCTTTAACTTTGTTTAAATGCAACCAAAAAAAATCCGAAGCTAGGACGAGGCTATGCAACAAAGTATAGATTTTAATCGCTCACGTCTTGATTCCAATCAAACATAAATCAACGGGATTTCCTGTTGTTCTTCCTAAAGATCGTATCGATGTCAAAAATGTTGTAGCTTTATATTTCATTCTTGAGATCCCATGGGCTGTTTTTTATTGGTATCACTATGTAACGACCCTCAAAACTAAACTAGCATGTAATCGTATTATTTAAAAATGGAGCCGAATTTTCTCTTTTCCGATTCCTTTTTTTAGTACATTCTTCCAAGCCGCGAAACACTGCTCATCATTTGAATTGTGGTTTTCACAGTTTCACCATGTAGTTGATGAAATCTAAGCTTCTCTCTTTCGATCCTCCGTGAAAAGGAAACTACATCATTCAAGAACGTGGTATACTCGACCTTGGTAGTAAATAGTTCAAACATCGCTCTTTTTATGCAGCGAACCTAATGCAAATTATTTAAAGTCTTTGTTTTAGCTCATTTGCATTACGTTCGGGGCATATAAAGAAGAGCGACGTTCGACCTAGGCCTTAGTGAAGGTCGAATATACCGGAATATGGTATACTCGACCTTGGAGATAAATAATTAGTGAAGGTCGAATATACTGGAATACTCAGCCTTGGTAATAGAAAACTAGTCGCCGGATTTTTTAAAAAAATTATCGTCTGACAACCACCTTAATTAATCCATCCGAATACTCTCCCCACTCCCTACGCGGCGAAATTCAAAATGGAGGTGGCCGGGCGGCGTTGGTGAAATTCAGACGTGCAAATTCGAGTCTCGAGATCTGCCACTGATGAAATAAGTCTCACAGCAGCTGCAATATTTAATTATACCATGTAAAAGCGAAGAAATAGAGATTATAACATTGATATAATTTGTAGTTTTTGCAATAGCTAATTTCAATTTGTATTTTTTGCTTACAATTAAGTACTGCAGTGTATCTTATCTTGAATACTATGGTAACTTTTACGGCTTCAACGTATATAATAACCAAACAAATGAGTATTCTAATTTCCTGATTTCCAACGATATATGTCGTACCAAATCCGCCATGTTTACAAATGGATTGAAATTAGTTATGTTCAGTGCATATATTTGGCCAAAATAAAAAAAAGAGACAAAAAAGGACAAGGTTTGACCATTAAAACAGCGTGGTTATCCATGTCAAAATATTTGACATCATAACCAAAGCAATGAAAGTATATATTGTTTAATGTTTGCATATGATCGCCAAGCATGCTAAAAACCTTGCAAAGGACAAGCATTTGACCATTAAAACAGCGTGGTTATCCATTTCAAAATATTTGACATCATAACCAAAGCATGGTTATATTGTTTAATGTTTGTATATGAGCGCCAAACATGCTGGAAACTTTACATTGGACAAGCATTTGACCATTAAAACAGCGTGGTTATCCATTTCAAAATATACATCAAAGCAAGGTTATATTGTTAATGTTTGTATATGAGCGCCAAACATGCTGGAAACTTTACATTGGACAAGCATTTGACCATTAAAACAGCGTGGTTATCCATTTCAAAATATTTGACATCATAACCAAAGCAAGGTTATATTGTTTAATGTTTGTATATGAGCGCCAAACATGCTGGAAACTTTACATTGGACAAGCATTTGACCATTAAAACAGCGTGGTTATCCATTTCAAAATATTTGACATCATAACCAAAGCAATGAAAGTATGGTTATATTCTTTAATGTTAGCATATGATCGCCAAGCATGCTAGAAACCTTGCAAAGGACAAGCATTTGACCATTAAAACAGCGTGGTTCCTCCATAAATCAGCACAAATATGCTTGCAACTTTCCATCGGAACAGCATTTGACCATTAAAACAGCGTGGCCAGAATTACACCATGTACCATTTTACCGGCGCATTTGACCATGGTCGTGTACTATTTTACGGTATATTCGAGCATGGTCGAGTATACCGTTTTCCGGCCATATTCGACCCAACCATGGTCGAATATACCGTTTTCTGTTTTACTGCAATGCACAAGATCGTATGATTCCCAGGTGGTCAAATGGAATCTGGCGCTCTCATGACTATGGGTGTGTCTGGGGTGAGTACGCTTTCTTGAATTACATATTCAGGCTGGATTCCACTTAGAATTTCAGCTAAATAAATTAGTTCCACATGTCTGTTCTCAAATATCAATTCAAAAGAAAATATGCAAATATTTCACAAGCGAGCTCTTTCTCTGTAAGTGGAAATTCATACATTTTTTTAACTTTTTTTATCCGCTTCAACTTTCAAATCAGTCGAAAAGTCAATGGCTTGTTCACATTTTTTTAAGGATTTAGGAGGGCACCGAAGAGCTGCACATAGTCAAAATTGAATTGGAGCTACGGTACTGCGTCTGAAAATATTTCAAAAATGTCGCAATTGCGTAGGAAAAAAGTTGCAATTATTGGAGCTGGTATTATTGGTGTTTCGACTGCGATATGTCTACAAGATTCAGATCCATCTCTAGAATTAACAATAATTGCTGATAAGTTCTCACCGAACACAACAAGCGATGGTGGTGCTGGATTGTGGAGTTGTCATCCCGGAAAATGGGTGAAGGGCAGTAAACCAGAAAAACAAAGGTACTAACAGCAAAGGTGCTAACTATTAAGAGCCAAGGTGCTATAGAATCATAGTTTACCAGGGCAATTATGTATTGTACAGACATTAATCAATATTTTGGGGGTGTTGTATATTCAAATGACCATTGCAGTTACTACCCTAATGGCAATGGGGTAGTCATACATAGCATTCACTGTTACTTTGTTGAGAGTTGGATGGTTCAGGTATCCTGTAATTGCATCAGCTCCCCTATTCTTGGGCTTCATGTGACGTCATAATTCTACTGGGGGTAATAGAGACAGTAAATTGGGGTGACAGTTAATTGTTCACTGTATGTGTTGGCTTTGTACTTCGTAGCAAATACATAGACAATTTCGTATCATTTGCTCACTCCTGTTCAGCATAAGGGTTGACCCCATCTCAAATCACTATATGAAAAGTTAAACAATATGTGAGATCCACCAGTTGCATGACAATGTGCAGATACCTCTCCAACGTGAAACATGTTTCCTTCTTTTCTAGACAATGGGGTGAAGGAACACTTCACTATTTGAAATCAATTATTGAATCTGACATAGAATGTAACTTTGAGATGAGCTATATAACTGGATATTTTCTCTATGACCACATTATGCCCGAGGTGAGGTACTGTTTGTAGGTCTAGTATGACTACGATTCTGAAAATGAACAAAGTTTCAAGACGGGTAACCTGTGGGTTTATCTAGACTTGGTTAATTGAATTTTTATGACATGGCCATTGTAACCTTCTGTCATTTTTTTTCTCATAAAATAATTTTGTAGGAACCAGCACTTCAAGATATCGCATTGTATTACAAAAGGTTATCTCGAGACGAATTGGGAAAATTAGGGTTCTCCAGTGACCTTATGTAAGATTTGACATTGTTGCTATTGTTAACAATTCCTAGCTTCAAGCTTGAGCTGTGGCAAAGTGCTCATATTTAGAGTTTCAGATCATATGGGATTGTTAAAATCAAGGAGTGTGTATTTACATGAGATTCATGATGAGAATCTATGAGCCACATGGCAAGAGGTTGAAAGAGATCTTAACAGCCATCCATCTATGCACAAATTGAGTGGCTGTGGAAGGTGTTCTAATGATAAATTAAAAGTAATAAAATAACTATTTCTTTATGACATGCATTAGATTACAATAAATAAATAATGTCATTTATTGTTTAGTGATGGCTTCACCACCACATCAGTGATGTTCCCTGGTACTCCATATTTACGGATAAAGTTGAAGCAGTGAGCATCTTGCATGTCAGCTGTGCTAGGTATTATATAACAGACATTTTAAATACCAATTTTTGTATCTTAGGTTTCAAAAAAATGGAGGAGAGGTCATTAAGAGAAAAGTCAAATCATTTGATGAGGTGAATGTTTAGTTTTGTATCCGACTGGACCAGTAAATAACCAAACTGTATCCATTATCTAAATGGCATTTTATGCACCATGGTGCAATATGATGGTTTATTCTTCCATATTCCAGCTCAGTGCTTGGTCCAATTAGGAAAACAATGAAAGACAAACCTAATCAGATTGAAACAACATCTCTTTCAATAAAGTATATAGTTCTAGCTTGCTGGCAATTATATTCTTTTCCTTCTCTGAAACTAGGGGCTTGCATTTTTTAATATTATATTTCCGAATTACATAAAAATTATAAGTAGAGTCCTCAATGATAAAGCTAAATCCGTAGGGATAACCAACCTTTGGAATAAAGCATCGTTATAACTGTTTCAGTTTGCCGGAAAATTTGATGTGGTTGTTAACTGTACTGGAGTAGGCGCACGTGAGCTGTGCCAAGATGAAGAAGTTGTGCCAACAAGAGGATACATTTTAAAGGTATTGCAAAATAGGAATGGGAATAAGATGAAACAAAACTATAATTGTTTATATTTCATTGAAACATAATATGTCAGGTTACGTCCAACGTACATCCATTAACAATGTTTTTTGAAAGATTCTCCTAAGCAATATACCAATTAATTTCCTGTGATATAATTTTTTTCATAATTATTTTTCATATTCAGTATATTCCTAGTTGTGTTTTACATGTTTTAATCCTTTAGATGGATGCACCTTGGGTTAGACATTTTTACTATATACACAGAAAACAAGAATTGGATGCCGGCCTTGCAACATACATTTTTCCCAGGTAAAATCGCTGTTGGCATTTTGAAGAGGTTTTCTGTCATTACTTACACTGATATTGAAACCTAAATATGGTTATTCACCAAGTTCTAGACTCAAGTCTTTGACTTTAGATTCAAAGATGTCATTGTTGGTGGAACAGCTCAGCGTGGGAATTGTAATACAACTGTTAATAAAAAAGAAACACAAGAAATCCTTGACAAAGCCTCTGAGTTTGAACCTACAATAAAGGTATGTAGGTCTTATGTTAATAACAATGTACAGTTTTTAAACACCTCTCTGATACAGACAACTTTCTGATACAGATATCTCTCTATAATACTGTCATACCTCTCTAATACAAACACTAAAAAATAACCCCTCTCTAATACAAGCACCTTTCTAATACATACATCTCTCTAATACAGACATCTCTCTAATACAGACACCTTCCCAGTACAGACACCTCTCTAATGCAGACACCTCTCTCTAAGACAGACACCTTTCTCTAATACAGACACCTCTCTCTAATACAAACACCTCTGTAACACATTGACACCTCTCTAATACAAACACTTCTCTCTAATACACAGACACCTCTCTAATACAAACACTTCTCTAATACCTCTCTAATGTAGACACCTCTAATACAATCTTTTTTCTAATACAAATTCCTCTTATACAGACTCTTGTCTAACAGAGACAATTCTTTGAAACTTACATTGGTCTTATATAGTAATTAATGCCCTTTTTTATCATGGCAAAAGGGTTAATACACTTTTTGTTAATTAACAGAAAGCTAATATTATGGAAGAATGGGTCGGCTTACGTCCCGTAAGGGACCATCTTCGTTTGGAAAAAGAGATTATTGAAGTCAAGACTCAATATGGTTCTAAGTCCAAGTTACAGGTAAAAGGCTTTTTGTGCTAACTGCAATCCTGGACTATCCTAGACATCATTTTGAGATATGAATCTAAAAATGACAAAAAATACTTTCTATGCCACCTTTAAAATACAGGTGAGGGGGGGGGACCCACAACATAAAACATAAATTTTATACATTTTATGTTGCAGGTGGTTCATAATTATGGTCATGGGGGATGCGGTTTGAGCCTATTTTGGGGCTGTGCTGAAGAGGCGACAAAACTGGTTCATAGTTGTTTGTTACACAGTGGCCTATGATTTTAGGTGACATGAATGGAATTGATATATAAATTGTATATTATATATAACTTTTTGTTATTTTGTAAGGGATTTTTAATTATCAATCAAATTTTGAATTACTGCATAAATATATGGCAATAAATATATAAATATATTATGATAAATCTATTGCACCATAGGTTGTGTCATATGAGCCAAAAGTAAAACAAGAGTGATAGCATTTATCAGGAGTATACCAGCATGGTGATATTAATAAGTTAATTTTTGCAAGTTTTTATCAAATCCTGTACTAAAAGGTGTAAGTGAAGTGTAGTGTGCAATTTTTTCATTAGTACTAATCAAAATACTTGGGCCATAATGATATTCGTTGTCATAATCGTGAAAGCTATCACTGAACATTGATTCACGATGGTTATGATGATGGTTCATGGTTATTATGATGACCATAGATGGTCATGACGTATCCTGGCGCAGCCGCTGGAGAAACTATTTTTGCATTCGCAGGCTCTGGAAATGTCAAAAATATTTTGGTCCGAAGCAAACAATTGAGGATGTGGATAAAACGATATTACTTTAGATTTTATTGTAAAAGATTATAGCGCTGTTTGGCGGCAGAGAGCCTTCGCTTTTTGTTATGGCGGAAAGAGACTATTCTTCCTACCCTTCTAGCCTTGTGGAGGAATTAAAAGCATTAGATTTGGAGTTGGAAGAAGGTGAGGTTCTTCGGTATAGACTGCTTGCATGTAAACACTGCTCTTTCGTTCGGGCCTGAATATATCGCCGTAAGTCTAAAATTAACCGGCAAAACAGTCTTTTTTTATGCTATATTTCAGTGCAAAGCCGAGAGTTTGCAGTGTTTCTTTGTGAGCGAGTCTTTAATGTATTAATTCGTAAACCAAATACATAAATCTATTATGTACACTGGAGCTTTTTACTGGTGTGACACTTTGAATATATTCATTTTAAAAATATATTCAAAAAGAATTACATATTGGTCTGAATATATCGTCCGAAATGCCATTTACTATAAACTTTAAGTGTTTTAACTTGTAATACCGAGTTTATTAGAATCTCAATGATCTGTGTCCGAAATTTTATTACATTCAAAAGACCTTTTTTATTTCGGGTTAATCGAGATAACTTGTATTTTATACCATGTGTGAAAACGATACATATTTTTCTGTATATGGCATGGTCTAATATCATTTCAATTCAGTTATTTCGTATTGAGGCTTTCTAATTTGGATTTCTTGTCGTTTTCTGGGGATTTTTCATGAAAGTTCAAGGCGTTGATTAATGCAATATTGATTGTATACAAAGTGGCGCATAAGTACGAAAGATAAAGATCAGAATAAATTTAAGGAAACCATGAAGTGTCTTTGGGAAATAGCTCCTTTTAGACCTATCTTGTGACAAGCACAAGCTATGATATTCTGTTATTACCCTGCTGATACGAAATTACAGTGTATAGAACCCTGCAGTGAGGTGACAGTACAAGGTCTTTGTTATTTTTAATAAATTAATTCTATGTGGGATGGTCTTGAATTTTAGGTGACATTACCCAGAAAGGATATGAGAAAAAAAAGGCAAAATTATTGGCCAGGCTTCCTCAAGGTATGCAATACCATCAATTTAATGTGTTCGACAAAGCCTGAATTAGTCGCTCAATTTATATTTAGCCATTGCTAATACAGCCCTTGAGCAAGTAACTTAATCTTAGATTTTCATGAAACTACAGATCAAATTTCATACTGCTTGATTTTCAATATGCTTTTTCAAGTATTTTCTTATCAGTCGAGGTTTATTATATATGATTAGGTGGGGAAAAACAGCATGTTAAAACCCAACCCAGCATTGAGGGTAATTGAGCTTCAAACAATACCATTTGGGTGTATATTCTAAAATGTTTGCTGAAAATATGTTGGGATCCAACTTTTATATTTTTAAATTTGGAAGTGTTGTTGCCAATGCACTTTCAAAAAAACTTGCATATCAACTTTTTTTGAAACACACTAGTAAAATATCTCAACTAGAAGTTGAGGAGGTCTGAGGACATTAGAAAGTTCCCTTCTGTATCAGCTGAGATTCCCATTCCATTTCACCTTTTAATTTGTCCTAACAGCACCACCGCCTGTGGAACCACGACCCAAACCTCGACCTGAGCAAAGACCAGAACAAATTCCTTTTAGTCCTGGTTCAGACTCCCCATATCACCCTCTTCCTGGTATGTACTGTATATATTCAATATTATTAACTCCTACATAGATAACACTGTTCATGGAACAAATTATGTCTTGTCTGTTTGTACAATTGTGACATAAAGCAGATATGTCTATTGAAGGGCATATCTGCTTTATGTCACAATGCTTTATTTGGAAAGTTGCATGCTATGTCATGATGTTGTGATTGATATAATGTCAGAATGTCAAAACAGCCATAGTTCAACAAACTTGGGATAAATGGTTTTATAATATTAATGCAAAATCAATGCATCATATCTGAAAACGAATAGTCTGAAATATGCTCCCTGCCTTGTAATTTGGCTTGTTTACCCATATACAGATGCCATGGTGTTGTGGAAATTATTTATATTTGTATTCAAAATCCCTAGTATTGCGTGTTGAGGTGGTACAGGCTGCTTTAGCTCAACGAAAGTCTCAGATAGAGTCACATGGGCCTTCACCTTTTAAACGACAGTCCTTAAGACAAAAAGGGCCGACTGAACTACAAGAAGGTAGTACATCTTGACACTTCACTATCCAAATTAGCATTACCTGCAGTTTGGAAAATTAGCTGGAAAGTAAAGAAATTTAGTCTCAAATTTAAAGTCAATGCTTTTAGTTTGCATGCCAGATGATTTTATTGCTGAACCTAAACTTTTTTTCCAGTTGACATTCCACTTCCTGATTATGATGGGGCAGACAATTTAACTAGCGCAGAGATGCAAGCAAGCAACGAAGCACCACATAAATACAGACTAAAAGTAGAAGACACATCGATTCCAAGTGTTTTGAAAGCCACACCTAAACAAGAAGAAGAGGTTGTTGTGGCCCAACCGGTTGTTGAAGCTGATCGTTCCAAAGCAGGGGCAAAACGAAGAAGTCAGATGCAAGTGGTATCAATAAGACTCGATTCAGACTCTGACTCCAGTACTGGACGTAAGTATGAAAGCTTAAAGAGTTATTCATGTGCAGTCTTAGTTAGTTTACACATCCTTTGCTTGGTAAGTCTTGTACCTGGGTGGATATATTTCATGCAAGAAAGAGCATAAATTGGGATAGCATTGTTCAATCATATTTAATAATCAGATAGTAAAAGATAATCCTTATTGAATCTTTAGGGGGAACAGTTTAGAACTTGTAGGGCTATCCAGCATAGATTACATTAGTTAGGTTTAGTCATATCCAGAACAGATTACCAAATTTGAATAAAGTTAGTTTAGTTTAGTTTAGATAACCCATGTAGTAACACTGGATCAATAAGAGATGATCCTTGCTGACGGACCTCTATAAGGAACTGTTCAGACCTGATAGAGCTATCCATTATGAATGAAGTTAGTTTAGTTTAGGTTTCCTCCTGTAGTAACACTGGATCAATAAGAGATGATATTTACTCAGGATCTCTACTCTCTAGGAGGAAGTAGTTTGCATCTGAGCTATCCAGTATTGATTATATTCAATATTTTATAAACCTTTTCTTTCAGCATCTTCTCCAGGAAAGGTCTCCTCCAAAATCCAACAGCTGTTAAACACATTGAGGGTATTGTGCATAATTATACTATCCATTCAACAATTAGATATGTTCTTCACAGTGATGACTTTTGTATGGGCAGATTTGCAATCATTTTTATTCTCAAAACTAGTAATTTTATACAATTTTGTTGTTCACTAGATCTTAAATTTTAATTTCAGAGACCAAAGCGCAAGCCTTTGGAGCAATTCTTTACAGATGATTATGATGTTGTTGAAGGTAAATTTTTTTTTCATATTAACATATGTACCTCGGCAAATCAGTTTAGCAAAAGGTTATCAGCATTCCATTGGAAAACCATGTGTCTTTGATGCTGATGAAAGCAAGTGAAATGTGCTTTTTTTACAACTAATATTTTTACCACAGAAGCAATACTCTTTGAAAAGTTTTAAACTTCAAGTGCTCTTGAAAGACCCTTCAAGCTTTAAAGTTCTTTATAAATATAAAGGTCTAAGGAATACCACTTGAGTCTGTATCCGGATGAATTTTCATTGCCCAGGAAAGCTTGTGTTTTGGGTGGTAATCCATTTTTAATTCAATAAATTTGTATCTTTATATTTGATAGAACCAAAGCTTGACCCAGGTGCCCCGAAACCTGAAGGAACGACAACAAAACCATCCATAGGCGATCCACTCCAAGTAAGTCTTCAAGCACAAATGAATAATAAATGCAGAAGCAGATACAATGCTGTGGTCAGCTCGCGAAATTTTGTTGAAATACGAAATAGTTTTTCCTGGGAAAATTATAGAGCCATAGTGTAACAGCATGAATGGCATCTGGGGGCATTTCTTTTGAATTTTAACTTACTATGAAATGTGATTTAACATCCTAAATATGCAAGAAAAGTTTTTGACATTTTGACGTAAGTGCCTTAAGAAGAGAAACAAACCAAGAAGGACGGATGATATGACAACATATACAGTATTGTAATATCATTTGACATTATATATTTTGTCCTTTAAAAATGATGTGAGATATTAAGAGAATATATAGGGTGTCGCAGGAAATTGACTCATAATATTACCATATATAGTTTGTTTTAGGAGAATGATGCAGATATGACCATATATAGTTTATTTGTAAAACTTCACAATTTTGACAGTTATATATGCTATATGATATGGCCACTGGCCACACATAGTTTGTCCTGTGAAACTGATCCAGGAGAACAAGGAATAGTTTGCTTTAGTGGGACAAAGCTGTGTTTTGTGACAGTGAGTCCAATTTGTGTTTGTAATTTTAGCAACTTGCCCAATGGGGTAATAGTTTGGAAGAAGCTTTATACCGTTATGGGACAAGCCATCATAAAGCTGCTGCCATATCAACCATCGACAACCATTGTAAAACATCTTATACGCTATCATATGGTAAGCAAAGTCATTCACTACACAAGCTGTGTATATAATTCATCTAAAGCCTTCAAATTGATGCAGCTTTGGTTTAATTCAATTTTATGGACTCTACAATCACACTAATGCATGGTCTCTTTTCTCAGGGAAATTGTTAAGCAAGGCACAAAAAATAGCCTTCACCCTTTTAAACAAGGTTGGCAATCCTAGAGAGGGAACTTCAATAATGATGGGAGACCGGGTGAGTACTGCGATGTATATATTTTTGAAGAACTATTCCCTCCTATTGTGGGAAACACCTCAGGGATTGATTGATTGCCATTCTCCTCTGTTTTAAAAGCAGGGAAGAAGATTTATATTAACTGTCTTAAAATCTTTCTTAGGTGGCATTAATATATCATCCAGATGATATAGTCGGCTTTTCCACAGCATTCTATGGTTGTTTACTGGCTGGTATCACCCCAGTTGCTGTTGTACCACCAAAATCAAAAGATGTGAGTTTTTGTGTGTTTGTTTTCCGGCCGGCTTACGTGATACGAAATATTTACCCAGCTATGAAACCAACATTTCAGGATCCAGGTGGGCAACAGATAGGATTCCTTCTTGGCAGCTGTGGTGTCACGTGGGTTCTTACCACTGAAATGTGCTTCAAAACTTTACCAAAGGATGATACTGGGAATGTGGTACATTTTAAAGGTAGGTACTTCTGTTCAGTGGTAAATTATTAATGTACAGATGATGGATAATTCATTATTTTATATCAGAGACAACCTACTTTGAATATTTTCTTTCTTCAACCTTCATGCATTGTAACTAACTAATACAACGATGTTATTCCACTTCTAGGTTGGCCAAGCATTCGTTGGTATTATACCGAGAAACTTGGCAAACCACCAAAAGATTGGCGGCCACCATCAAGTCTGGATCGTGCGTCACCAGCTTATATTGAGGTGTGTTCTTTGGTGCCCCCGATTCGCCTTAATTCACCCCGTTCCTATTGAATTGTTTGCCGTTTCACCCACTACTATCCTAAGAACCGTAATATTGTTACCAACGTGAAATCCAAACTCTAAATCCTTTTACCTTCAATTTAATCACAACCTCTATCCTTTAATCCCGATTCTTACATTAAACTCAATCTAATCTTCTCCCAAACATACCCTTAATTCCAATCCTACATAATCTTGGCGAAGTCTTATGGTTGCAAAATTGAAATAGCCTGAATAATGTGATTCATTTCAATGTATTTAAAATATCTTGCATCGGCAGTCAACGACAGGCAAAGATGGTTCCGCCCTTGGCGTGTCCGTCACTCGTTCAAACATGTTGACTCATTGTCAAATGGTGACCCAGGCTTGTTCATATACTGCTGGTAAGTAACAAAGATTAAATCATACAATAATTATGAAATATTGGAGTATCCAGATCATAATTTGTTTTCTTCTCTTTGTAGGTGAGGTTATGGTCAGTGTGTTAGATTTCAAACGAGAAGTTGGTTTATGGCATTCTGTTTTAACAGTAAGACAGTTTAATTGGAGTTTCTTATAATTATGCTACTCTTGCCATCATATTCTTCATTCCATTTTTTTGTATATTTCCAGAGCGTTTACAACGGAATGCACGTGATCTTTGTTCCTGGAAGTGTTCTGAAAGCTAACCCCGCCATGTGGTTGCAGGTTGTCACAAAACAAAGAGGTAGGGTGGGTGATGGGTACAGCGTTACCTTCAGTCGTTGGGTGGGTGATGGGTACAGCGTTACCTTCACCTTCAGTGGTAGGGTGGGTGATGGGTACAGTTTTACCTTCAGAGTTAGGGTAGGTGATAATATAGGTACAGTGTTACCTCTCAGTTGCCTGGGGGCGTAGTTAAGGTTTTCTTATGTAGTAGTTCTAATATATGGTATTATATTTCTTTCAGCAACGTGTGCTCTGGTGTCATCTCGCGACTTACACTGGTCTCTTCATGCGACGAAAGAAATCAAGGATGTCAATCTTAGTTCACTCAGAATGCTGCTCTTAGCAGACAGAGCTAATCCCTGTAAGAATTTATGGCCATTAAAAGATTGATATATATTTAGTAATGACTCAGACGCTGGTAATTGATCTAGCCTGAATACCTCGTTTTAGTACTAAGATGATTTTTTCCACACAGGGTCACTTTCAGCGTGTGATGCATTTATAAGTGCGTTTGAAATGAAAGGACTGAAATCAGAGTCTCTCTGTCCTTGTGCGAGCTCATCTGAAACACTGACTGTCGCTATCAGACGGTAAGTTCACCTAAGAAATACTTCACCTAAAGTAAACTTCAACTAAGGATTACTTCACCTAAGGAATACTTCACTTGAGTTGACCTGCACACTTCCACCTACTTCCTTGCTATAAAATGTCTCTTGTTTCCCTCATTTCTCCAGACCAGGAAAGCCAGGATCGACTGCAACGGGACGTGGTGTGCTGTCTCTGAATGGTTTGAGTTATGGCGTGGTCAGAGTGGATAAGGAAGGTTCTGTTACCTCGTTGACATTACAAGATTGTGGTACGGTCCCCCCTGGAGGTATGTAACTCACGATAACAAACGAACATTTGGACGGGGGGCTGAAAAGCACCAAATTACTCTCTTTCTTTAGTGAAAATTGTGGTGGTGAAACCCGAAGGACCTCCGAAGCTCTGCAAAACAGATGAAGTCGGTGAGCTGTGTGTTGCCAGTGGTACAGTTGGCAGTGCTTATTTTGGTCTTGTTGGAAAAACCAACTACACATTCAAGGTATTGCCTGTTGTATTTAGGCGGCCTATTTCAGATGTTAACTTTTCATGTGCACAATCGAATGCAAATGAACTGAAACAGAGTAAACAGGGTCTCGTTAACATTAGTTTCGGCATGTATAAAAAGTTCGACGTCTGAAACGGGCCTAAGTATCGTATTAGAGTTGACGAGTGTTTTCAGGTGAACTGATTTTCAGTACTAAACTGTAGTAAAGTTTGTAGTTACTTTACGTCTTAGCGGTTTATCTAGCTCTAGTGAAAATCGATGCGATTTCTGTAGTTGTCATCTTGAATCTCTTACAGCTATTAATATGTGTTGTCCTTATTAAGGTTCAACCTCTCGGTGCAGATGGTGGTCCAGTAGAACAATATTCCCACTACTCTGAATATGTTCGTACCGGCTTACTCGGCTTCCTTGGACCAGTGAGTGTCGACTTTTTTCTTAAATTTAATATCGTTAACTTGAAATAAAATCCTCCTCTTGAAATTTCCACGAAGGGTGGTTTGGTATTTATATGTGGTACTGTCGATGGTCTTATCAAAGTGTCTGGTAGACGACATAACGCAGATGATCTTAAGGCGACTATTCTGGCTGTAGATCCTATTAAATTTGTCTATAGAGGAAGGTAAGCAAGTTTCTAAGCTCCAAAAAATCTTCTAAACTCCAGCTGCAGATCTCTTTAAACAATTTAAAACTATTAATAAAAAAAATAGTTAGATCTCTTATTGATTCAGTGTTATTACAGGAGGAAATCGAGAAATTTGCTGCATGATAGCTCTACCAGTTCTAAACGTTTGGAAAGATCTTTTAGTGATCCAATATGATTTCAATACCACAGTAACCTCTTCACCTAATCTGACTTTTTTTCTGTGTCAGAATTGCGATATTTGCAATAGATGTTTTACGCGAAGAGCGAATCGTTGTCGTCGCAGAACAAAGACCAGATTGTACAGAAGACGAGGTAACAAGACGTTTCATCCTAGCTCCAAACAAATATAACTCCGTCGACTTTTAAAAAGGTTTCGTGTTGTTCTTCTTCAACTAAAGAACACTTTTGTTTTCAGGCGTTTCAGTGGATGAGTCATGTTATCCCTGCTGTCGACAGCATTCATAGCGTAAGTGATGGTGTTTGTAGTTGATACGAAATATATCATTGTTTACGTTCATAATAGAGTTAGTTTTACTACATTCAGGGCCATTTACACTTGTCATTTTTACTGCAATTTTCGGTGAAATTTTCGTCTTTCGATTGATGTAAAAGAGAATATAGTTGTGAATGCTTTGATGTATAAACTCGCTTGTTTAAGCATTTGAAATCGCCTTAAAAATTGCAAGTGTGTACAGGCTTTTGATGGTTAGATTCGCATGAAACTAATGTACATTTCGGATTCCTAGGTTGGCATTTATTGTTTGTGTCTGTTAAGCCCGGGAGGTCTACCAAAGGTAAATCAATTATTCAGCTAACGAATGATTACAGAATAGCTCTTGTCATAAAGGTCTTGGATACAGACACAAATCTGTACGTTATAAATTTTGCTTTTCCTTTCAGACCTCGACTGGTTATGTTCATATATTTGAGACAAAACAAAGATTCCTAGACGGCTCCTTGCATCCATCGAATGTCCTCATGTGTCCCCACTCGTGAGTAACTTATTCACTTTAAGAAATCTTCCCTGTCTTCCCTGCTGACCTGGAAAGAAATGAACGCTCAATTAGTAAATGACAATGGCATTTGAACTTCATGTTAGAGGCTTTCTTAATTTAAGTGAATATCTTTCTTTAAGTCAAACACCAGATTTAGTTACGAAAAATACCGCATTTTCTGACCATATCCACGGATTCTTCTTTATTTCTTCAGATGCGTGACTAACCTTCCCAAACCTCGAGGAAAACACCAAGGTATGACTTAGTATCAACGATGTTTCTCTTCCAACACCACTGATTTTCTTCATACGATGGTTAAATGTAAGAATTTGCATTATTTTCCCAGAACCTGGTCCAGGGGCTGTGATGGTTGGAAATCTGCTACGTGGAACAAGGATTGGAGAGGCATCTGGCAGAGAGATTGGCGAAATAACAGATGCGGATAAAAGGGTATGTACAGTAAATATCGATGAAAGAGCTTTCATATACATATTCACAGTCTTAGAACAGTCTTAACCATCATCGCGAGTATATACCAAATGCTTTCGACTAACATCTGTATTATTGTTTGTTTTCAGTTCCAATTTCTTTCAGAAGTTTTGCGATGGAGAGCTCAGTCGACACCAGATCATATCCTTTACTCATTGTTAAATACTAAAGTGAGCATCATTGTATACTCTTTATAAACGTATTCGATTGCTACATGTGATTCTTTTAAGATCTCTAGAGCTATCGTATGATTCTTTTTGTTAGGGAGGACTGGCGTCCACATTGAATTGTGTTCAGCTTCATAAACGCGCAGAAAGAGTAGCTCAGATGGCAATGGAATGCGGTGATCTCAGCTCAGGAGATCGTATAGCCTGGTTTATCCTCCAGGTACTGATCGTAATACATACTGAACCTAGTAGGCACTGATCCTAAGACCAACATCACTCCAGTCTCTGACTTCTGAAATTTTAAGACTTCTGAAATTAAGACTTCTGAAATTTGCCAAAATCTAAAATTTGCCAGAAGGCTTGAAACCTTCTTCTTACTTTGGTTTTCGAATACTACATTTGATAATATAAGAAACTTTTATATTTTTCTGTTCCTAATTTTAGGAATTGATCTGGTCGTTGCTGTATACGCTTGCTTGTATGCGGGTAGGCGTGCACTTCTTTTACAGACTATGATGAAACCCATAGACTAATATTTGTTGCATCTGGGGTGAAAGTTTCTTTAAAATTACCCTTTAATGAAAGTACCTGGATTGAAAGTTGTGCCACGAGGACAAAGAATGAGCTAATTTTTCATAGTTTTCCTACCTGAAGTGAAACATTGCGATTCATGTTGTGCAAGGCCTTGTTTTGGCTAGATCATTTCTGACCGCCTCGCAGGATGCTCGTCCTTCGTTTGCAATCCTCTTAGATAATCTTCTATCTTGCAGGTCTTATTCCAATCCCTATTCGACCACCCTATCCAAAGAACGTGGCGACGACTCTCCCAACTTTGCGTATGGTGATCGAAGTGAGCCAAGCACAAGCATTCTCACCATCGGCCCTCTGGCTAAACTTTAAAGTCCAAGGAAGCGTTAAGCGTGGTGAATAACAAACCATGGCCTCTTATACTGAACACTGATGATCCACCCAAGAAAGAACTCCTCAGACCTTATAATCCCCCACTCCGAACTTTTAGCTTATGTCGATTTTAGCGTTTCGACCACGGGTGTTTTAACTGGCGTCAAGGTGAGTTTCGTATCCCATGATTCAATTCAACAGGATGCGCTCTCCAGTTTTTGTATATATCAGTGTGTGGTAAACCTCAGGTTGCACTTCCACTCCTCTTTCATACGTATTTTCTAAAATTTTTCCTTGTCCAGATGTCTCATGCAGCGGTGACGGCGTTGTGCAGGTCTATTAAACTATCATGCGAGCTCTATCCTTCAAGAGTATCTGCCTCTGTCTCGATCCATACTCCGGACTTGGATTCTCTTATGTGGGCGTTGACGGGGTAAGTTGCTAAGACAAGCAATAGCTTTAGCATGAACTGACTATTTTTCCACATCCGTGATGGCACTTCTTGTTTTACCATTAGTATTTTCTCTGGTCATCACACAATTCTGGTGCCTCCTGGTGACTTGGAAGCCAACCCAGCCTTGTGGTGACAGTCGTGGTCATACAGGTACGTGTCTTCTTTGGACACAGAATTGGTCGTTTCATTGACTACCTGAATGTCATCCTACGTCAGTCGTTTCTCTTTACAGAGGTTGTTTGGTTCAATTTCAGTCGCGATACCTTCTGTTTCAT